CTCGGGTGTGCTGCCAGTGCTGCACCAGATCCACAAGCCAGCCAGTAACAGTACAGGGCCAGCACTCTCATCACACTTGCAGGCATGCTGCCATTAGTTACTGGTACTTGGAGTATTTCCACAGGGAAGGAGCTGATTGCCGTGTCGATCTCTGTTCTTCTAGCTTCACGAATCACACCCTCAATACTTGATATCAGGTTCCTCTCATGATCTTCATTGATGGCAATACGGACGGATGGAGGGAAGATTTATGAAGTTGCTGCCTGCCGCACAAAATCTAGTAAGTTATGCTAAGAATTATAACATGCGATTGGTGCTGTTCAATCTCATCGATGTATCGCGTACTACCTGCGGTGCCACTTTATTTGTTTCCGAAATAATTACCAGTATGTGTTTTACAATTTTTCCATTTTCTTCCTCTTTTTCTGTCAAATCCTGTCAAGTTTGCACTGCTGGATTTAGGAATTTTGCCCAATATTAAATTTTTTATTCTTCAACCTTTTCGACCAGATTTTTGGCAATTCGGTTCTCAAGATATTATGTTTCTACGTGAAACACGTGTTTTCACGGTAGGCTGCCACTAAAAGAGTTGAGCTACAGGCCCGAAGAAAAGGTCTGTTCAGCTTCCGACAGTTCCGAGTATGTACAAGCTCCTGAGTGAAGGAAAGTTTGATTTGAATTTGGATCCGCCTGTCCTCTTCGTAGCAAACTACATTGTATGTGATCAACTCTGTCACGCCAGATCTCATTAACAGAGACTATTGGTCATCTGTTTTTGACCCTCCCTGACCTCGGTTTTCGGTTTCCGTTGATTTTGCGAGCATTGCCTACATTTACTTCGAGCCAGGGCTGGCAACGTCACATTGTCAAATTGATCTCTGTTTTTTTTTTAATGGATTCATTTACTACCGTAGTAGTAATTTTGTCCTTGTTTGAAAATACATAAGTGCTGTAATAGCAATTGTGAATGGTTCTTCAGATATTTGATGAACATCAGTTGATGCTAAAGTTTGACCTGCCAATGGCCTTTGGTTAACATGGTTTGCTAAAACGAGACCTTTTGTCACGGAAGGGGTCCTCATTTTTCAAAATCCTTTATGTAGTAGGATTTGGACCAGGGAGTCCTAAATTAGGCTAAACGGGCTTTTACGACTCCCTGATTTGGACCAGGGAATCGTAAAATACCACCTACCGTAAAATACCATTTTTACGACTCCCTGATTTGGACTTCTGAAATTCTTTTGACGAGTTTTGTGGCATGCACCATTTTGGCTGTGAGATCTCACGTTCGAAATCAGGGAGTCATATACGTACAAGCAAGAGTACATACCGGTAACCAGTTGTTATGACTTATGACTTTATGTACTCTTGGTACAGTGTACAAGCAAGAGTTTCTTGGTACAAGATTACCGGTATACTCTTGCCGTCTTTTTTTATTATTATTATTCATGATGAAATGACCCAAAGGCAATCTCTTGGTACAAGCAAGAGTTTATCTACTTTTGAGTTTTGTTAGTCTACAAGCAAGAGTATAATTATAACCCCCCCCCCCCCCCCCCCCAGGGGGGTTATATACTCTTGCTACAAGTTGTAGCAAGAGTCCATACTGTATAATGTCTAGGCTAATAATGTCACAGTCAGTGCTGAATTCACTGGCCTGGGCAGCCATGCACCATACCAGGGAGGTATTGTACTACAGTCAACTTCCTTCGCTTATAACGACACTCGGCAGGGCATCAAAAAGTGTCCTTATTCGCGAAGTGTGGTTATACCCGAAGTCTCATTATGTATTACACTTGGATGGAACTTTGCTCTGGGCATGTCGTTATTCGCGAATTGTCGTTATATCCGCAGTCGTTATTAGCCAAGTTGACTGTACTCCCTGCACCATACCAAGACTAAAAGTACATACACCGATGTATGTACTCTTGACCATACCAGTCTTTCAAGGATCTACTATACTGTACGACGTCGTGTAGTGGGGAAGGCGATTCTTCACGTCATCAGCGCAGACATCCAGGAAGCTGCTGGCGGTTTGCAGCTGTGTGCCGGGCAGGATTTCGGTATTGAGGCCGCAATACACGCTATGCATGATGTGTACGATCAGGAGGACACCCAGGGCATCATCATGGCTGATGCAACTAATGCGTTCAACAACATCAATCGCGCCTGCCTACGGAATGTGCAGCACCTATGCCCCTCGTTTGCCACGGTTGTAATCAACACCTACCGTCAGCCCAGCAATCTGTACGTGGATGGTGAATGTATTCATTCCAATGAGGGCACAACACAGGGCGACCCCACTGCGATGCCGTTATATGCGATCGGCGTAGTCCCTCTCATCCGGGAGATCGTAACACCGGCGCCTGCCAGCTATGGTATGCGGACGATTCGTCCGCAGGTGGCCGACTCGTTCCTCTCCGAACCTGGTGGGACAAACTGCACGACAGAGGGCCTGATTTCGGATACTTCCTCAACCCAGCAAAGTCCGTGCTCGTGGTGAAGCCTGACGACTATGATGAAGCTGTCCAGCTGTTCGAAGGCACAGGCATCCACATCACCGCCACAGGCAACCGCTACCTGGGTTCAGCCATAGGCACACCTGCGTTTGTCGAAGACTACATACACGGTAAAGCCCAGGACTGGTGTGGGCAGGTCGAATCACTGACATCAACCGCCCTGCCTCAGCCACAAGCAGCCTATTCTGCTTTCACCCGAGGCCTCTCCAGCCGCTGGTCTTTCCTCTGCCGGGTACTCGAAAGTGCGTCTGCTGGCCTTGCTTCACTGGAGCGGGTCATTGCCACGAAGCTCCTCCCAGCTCTCACAGGCCAGAAAATCAGCTCTGAGCTCCGCACCCTTTTCTCCTTCCCCTGCCGGAATGGTGGTCTAGGAATATTGGATCCCACCTCTCTGTCGGCCCAGTGACCAATCCTCGTGTGCCATCACTGCTCCTATGGTTGCCAACATCCTCACCCAGAGTTTCAACCTGGGAGACTCTTTGGCAGAGGTCGCCAGCCTGAAGACCTCTAATCGCAAGGATGTGAAGGCAGCTGCCACGGAAGCCCTTCGGCAATTCACCGCCCGAGCCTCCTCTGCCCTCCAGCACTCCATCAACCTTGGCAGTGAGGCGGGTGCGTCCAGCTGGCTCACCGTGTCGCCCCCTCAGTCGGCATGGGTTCAGCTTGTTGAAGTGTGAATTTCGCGATGGTCTGGCATTGCGGTATGGCTGGCACCCGGCACGGCTCCCTTCTACTTGTGTCTGTGGTGCCACCTTCTCTGTTGAGCATGCTCTTTCTTGCCCCACCGGTGGTTTCCCGACGCTTCGCCACAATGAGGTACGGGACATCATCGCTGGCCAACTGAAGAAGGTGGCACACAGCGTAGAAGTAGAGCCTCATCTGAGTCATCTCCAACCCCTCACCGGCGAGCTTTTCCGCTACCGGACGGCGTCCACCGAGGATCAGGCCCGTCTGGATGTGGCGGCGAGTGGCGTGTGGGGAGGACGGTTTGAATGCGTTTATCTTGATGTACGGGTGTTTAAAATCCATTCGCTCCTTCGAACCGTTCCTCTTCTCTCGCTGCTCGCTACCAGAGCAATGAGCGCAAGAAGCGTCGTAGGTATGGTCCGGCAGAGAGTGCAAGAAGTTGAGCGAGCCTCCTTAGTGTCGTATTCTCAGCCACAGGTGGAGCCGGTCGAGCTGCTTCCGCTCTTCTCAAGCGAATTGCTGCTCTGTCTGCAGAGAAAACCGGAGAGCCATACGCAATGGTGATGGCGTTGCTGCGTTGTCGTCTTGGTTTTGGTCTTCTGCGTGCCAGTGTTGCCTGCCTTCGCGGTGCCCGGCGGATGCGCCGCGTCAATGATCAGTCTGCTGTCCTCGCCGCAAACGCGGAGGCAGCTTGAGTTAACTTTCTTTGCAACTCCTGCAGTTTTTAAGTGCAGAGTATCATTGTTATCTTGTGTGTGTGTGTGTGTGTGTATGCGTGTGTCAACAGCTTTGATAAAGTTATTGTGTTTCAGTAACCCTCTTGTTTTCTCATCACTGATTTAAAAAAGAATTCACGGTTTGCGTGAGACTCGGCTGGAAACCGAGTTTTCCGCATCCGTAGGAACGCCACCACCCTTCAAGGATCAAGGCGCAGATGCAGCTCCTAAAAGCGGTGGGAGCTGAGTAAATCAGCTCACCAGAAAGTGGTCAAAGACCGAAAATCCCATCCATGTTCTCTGATCCTAGATCCTATACTGTACGTCATGTATGATTCATCGGCACGTAATCAGATCATGTACTGATGATGTAGTGCAGACTGCAGAGTCTGCAGACCCCGATATGCGATCTACATGATTGTTTTTTTGATTTTTTGAGCCAAGGCCAATAAGGGAGCATCTCATAAGTTCGCATTTATTTTGCAAACGTAACGCATTTCGAATAGACTTTACCCCCCTACCTCCCCCCTCTATTCGAAAGTCTTATCGCACATTTTCTGTGTTTATCTACTGTATACTACATGTACAGTATACGTCCATGCCCCATGCTATGGTATGCTTATGTACATGATTGTACATGTACATGTACATGGATATGGATATGAATGTTTTGCTAGAGCGGTCGTGAATGGCATACAGTAGTACCGCATTTACTGAGTACAACTACAATCAATGACATGTACACGCACATAAACATAGTTCCTCCACAACAACTGTACTGCTGTAAACGCTGGCCAGGTACATGTACACGGTTTGATCAGGCTGGTGTGACATTTGACACCTCTGAGTAGCCTGCATGCATGCAGTGCAAGGGTTAGCTGATCTGCAAACACAGGTAGATCTCCACCTAAACACACTCATTTGCTGCAGGGATCTAGCATGGTAGCAGATTGCACAGTTCCAGAAAATGTGCGAACAGTCATTTTTCTATTCGAAAAGGGCGCTACCCCCCTACCCCCGTTTCGAAATGCGTTACGTTTAGAAACAAAATGCGAACTTATGAGATGCTCCCTAACACGATATACATTTCTTTGTTTTGAATGAGCCATTCTCAGTTCTTTCTAGATGTTTCTCCCATTGCATTGGCATTGGTGACTCAGCTGCGCTGAGATACTAGATAGTCCAACTCCAGATGTTACAAACCTCGTTCTTTTTGAGTCACTTTACTCTCGTCGCTGTTCTTTTAGCTCTGTTTCGTGGCTTTATTGGCTTTGTGCTGACTGAGAAATGGCGGAAGGAAATGACGTGAAACTGTACGTGTATGACCTATCGCAAGGACTAGCGTCTCAGCTATCATTGCCACTGCTAGGCAAGAAGATCGATGGCATCTGGCACACTGGAGTTGTTGTATACGGGACGGAGTACTTTTTCGGTAGTATGGGCGTGTGTGACTGCCCACCGGGTGGCACCATCATGGGTCAACCACATCAGATTTTGAACCTTGGCTCAACATATATCCCCAAAGAACTGTTCCAGGAATTCCTTGTCGAGGTCGGCAGCAGTACATTCCAAGGCATCAAGTACCACCTACTAGAACACAACTGTAATAACTTCTCAAATGAAGTTTGCCAGTTCTTAGTCGGCAGAACTATACCAGCTCACATCACAGGCCTGCCGGCTGAAGTTCTCGCGACGCCGTTTGGAGCAGTCATTCGACCCTTTCTTGAGAGTATGTCCGTCCAACCCTCTGCTGGAGCTGGTCTTGAGCAGAGCGCTGGTGCTGCAGAGCCGTATGTTGCACCAACATCAAGTGGGAGCAGCGCACCTGCGTCGCGCCCGCAAGCCACTTCATCCGAATCAAGTTCGCCGGATGCTACATCGAGAACGAGGCATTCTGCCGCTTCATCTCGGGCGTTGAGTGCTGTAACAGGAGGGAAGCATGAAATGTACTCCTGGACGGCACCTCTTGTTCTGTTTGAATCTGAACAGTATCAGCCACCATCGTCTCGACAGAACAATGGTCAATTCAATTCTGCTCGTCAGGCAGCAGACTTTTGTCCTCGATTTGTCATGCCACCCAGTTTGGAGGACTCCTTGTTCTTGGGCACTATGTCAGACCATCTATCTGGTAATTCACCACCTGAAGCTCTGGACTGTGTTCGTTCCTTGCAGGAGATGATGAACGGTTACGTAAGAGAGTGGCTTCGAAAAGCAAGAGTTTATGGCCTTGATGTTAAGGATGATGAACTGCCACATAGGCTGTTGAGCTCGATCCCATCCAGTGATGCTGGATGTTTGGATTCGGTAGCACTTCTCTCGTTCTCCCTGACTACAGCGATGGGCGAGCTTGACCAGCAGCATGGCAAGTTGGCACAGCTCGTGTTGCAGTTCCTAAGCTCCACATGGCCGAAGTGGAAATCAACCGAGTTCAGGGACATGCGCGTGTCGGTGCTGTATCTTCTGGCATGGCTGTCGACTCACAGCCTGTGGCTGGGTCACATGCTGATGGAGACAGAATGGGAGTCCAGCACAGGGAAGAAGGTCAGTAATGCTCAGCTGGTGCTATCCATACTTGTGGATGGCTTGCTGGATGAGCACCCAACTGCCCAACAGCTTGCATTGCGCTGTATCAACAATGTGTGCCTGCGCATCACAAGTGAGTCAGCTGCGCTGGAGTATGGCGCTGCTCTGCTCGAGTTCCTGCTGGAGCCTCGCCGAGACCTCAGCGAGGTCGCGTTCTTGGCCATGCTGCGGTGTCTAGCTGTCAACGAGGAGGAGCTGAGTGCTATCATGTCAATGACTCGCATCCCGGAGGAGACGTATGCGATTATTACGAGTCCTGAACTTAAGGAAGTTGTGAGATATGTGCGAGACCTTTTTGCAGAGTAATAACTGGATCATCTGGTATACTCTGCAACGTAGTAAGTTCAGAATTGATCATCAATTAGCCTAGTACAGTATTGTCCGAACAGTGCTGACTGACTGTGGGATTGTGCTGGCCAAGTGCCACCTCTAGACTGGGCTTTCTTTGGCTTGCTGTATAGTGTGTGTGTGTGTGTGTGTGTGTGTGTGTGTGTGTGTGTGTGTGTGTGTGTGTGTGTGTGTGTGCGTGCGTGCATGCATGCACGTGTGTGCGTGTGTGTGTCTGTGTGTGTATGTGTTTGTATGCATGATGTCTCTAGTGTAGTGTACCGTGTTGTATATGCAGCTGGTATGCCTTATGATCAACACCGATGAACACTGTGTAGCCATATTGCATGTTCCCTTTTAGTGCTTTCACCCAAGATTGCTTCTTCCAAGCTGGTTGTGTTTCTCAACACAAATATAGCCGGTGAAAATGCGGATGTGCGAACTTTACTTTATTCGAAAATGCTGTGTAGTTTGTCACCCAGACTCCTTGGCATGATTATTAAAAAAAATTTCAATAAATACTTGAGTTTCATAGGTTTCACATTAATTTTGAAAGTTTCATGAAATTTATACATGTATGCACACTCTGTGTTCAAGTAAAAGTAGTGTGTTTTGGTCTTTTGGATACTCCATTTTGTTGTTCTTTGCAAAAAAATTCTCATGCTGCTGTGTATTGAATACTAAATTAACATATGAGCACAAGAAGTTTTTTAGTAAATTAACATACATCTATATCAGCACTTCAACGTGCATTGTCACTGCAAGAAAATTTCCACACCTAACAATTTTAGTGCCCTCCAAGAAACTGCATGTATGTGCTACTATTTTCATTACTGGGCCAGCCTGGGGCATAGTTCCAAGTCATCACTAGTCTAAATAGTGCTGGTTTGTGTGTGTGTGTGTGTGTGTAAGTGTGTGTAAGTGTGTGTAAGTGTGTGTGTGTGTGTGTAAGTGTGTGTGTGTGTGCGTGTGTGTGCGCGCGCGCACGTGTGTGCGTATGTGTGGGTAGGTCAGAGACTCAACAGTAATGTTCAAGTCAGACATCAGTAGTACAATGCAGTATTCCCGACACTACTGGGTCAGTGTATCCTGTAGACCAGGGAGTATTTTTAGTACTCCCTGATGAGGCTTTAGATCCACCTGCATGGCTCAAACTGGTCAGCTGGGAGTTATTCGCAAACTCACTTGCAAACATAGTGCTTCGCTGTCCGGTATGCCCACGCCATGTACATACCCCCCTGCGTACTCCCCAACGCATTCACGCTGCACAACTTTTCACTACTTTCACTTTAGCTCATACATGTACAAGTACATCCTTCAAAGCGGTGAACCCCTTGATAGGCGACACGCCTGTGGGTCATCCTAATAAAGAGATTATAATTATTATTATCACTCTTCTATCGACCTCCACTAATTCTCGTGATCCTTGACTGGTCCTATATCAGATACTTATTACCCATATCGCCGCAATATCGACCGCTTATATCGACCGCTTGTATCGACCACTTAGGCATTGTAATCTTTCGACTTTGGAGGGACTTAGAATTTTTCTCTCCACTTCAAAAAGAAAAATTGAAAGAAAGAAGACAAAGGAAGAGAACAAGCAGGATTCGAACTCACAACAGTATGGATGGCACCCAGCCACTGTGCTGCAGATGCTGAACTCTGTTGTTCTTACAGTCTTGTACCCAAAATAGGCAACATCCTATGTACACTATAGTACAAATGCTATACTAAAATATCTCTAGTTTGTCTCTTTCCCTCAAACTAGTGAAGCTATACTAAAAAGGTTAGAATAGCTCCTAAAGGTTCAAATTTTGGGGTTATGGCAAAGGAATCATGATAAATAGGATATTGACCTCGACTTCGGTTTATATGGGAAATATAGGCCTCGTAAAAGACCTCGGCGGACCTCGGTCTTTTACTCGGCCTATATTTCCCATATAGACCTCGTCTTGGTCAATATCCTATACTTAATATATGAATATGACAGTCATAAGGACATCAACATGAGCAGGACTTGGTTGCAATACTAGTACTACTAGTCTGTTGGCAGTGTTGCTACACAAGCTACACTACTCACTAGTCACTACATGTTTTTCGATTTTGACAGCATGTTACAAGGCGAGGACGCGTAGTGCTCCTGACTACAAGTACAACCATAAACCGGTTGGCAGAGTCCCGGTCTTGCGACCATTTGAACCGTATTGGGAAAACCCAGGTTCGGTCTGCCAACCGGTTTATGGTTGTACGAGTAGTCAGGAGCACTACGCGTCCTCGCCTTGTAACCATGGTAACATGCTGTCAAAATCGAAAAACATGTTAAAGGGGAACTCCACGAAAAAATGAAAATTTGATAGCCTGTAGAGTTTCGGGCGCTGAGTCGAATGGTCTTGGTCCGAAGTCTCTACGAGAAAGCGTTCTTGAGATATTTCAATTTTAGCCACGCCCCATACCAATGTATGTGTGACGTCATTGTGGCAATGTGCGAAAATACTTGGATTTTGAATCTCACTTTCTTCAGGACGAAAGTCACTTCAGAAAGTAGTTTGCCAAGTCGCCTGAGCCGCTGCAATGCCAAATTGTTGTGTTGTTGATTGTGCCAGTATCACATCATCCTCCTGGGGTTAGTTTTCTCAAATTCCCAAAGGATGGAGACCTGGCAAAGCGCCGAGATGTTGCAATGCGTCGTGAAAATTTCAAGCCTATTTTCGCAGCACGAGCTATGTTTGCTCGCTGCATTTATGATCCAGAGGGACTTGAGAGCTGAGTTTTGACGAGTACGCCGTCCAGGAAAGCCCTCATCAGTGTACCAGTGCCCTCCGAACCGTGAGCCTCCAGCAAAGCGAACTCAACAAGCTGCAACTGAGAAAGCAGGGCGAGATACGTCCCATCAGGATCAGAAGAGTACAGCACCCCATCAACTCCGACTGCAGCTAGCTGATGAACGATATTACCCCAGTAACTTTGCGCATACCAGTACTCAAACTGTGCACATCTGTCATCAACTGGGACGCAAACAGACAGACCCCCAGCAAGTACGAAGGTTACAGAACTGTTTGCTTGCGATGTGCAGGCAGCATGCACGACGAACTGTCTCACCAATCCTGCCAAACTGAACCAGTGTAAGTTGATTGCGTGGATATGTCTCTATTTATAACAGCTACCCTACTTCTAGGCATGGTTGCATGAATACCATATCACTCAGAGCAGTTGTTAGAAGTCTGGACAGCCTTGGAATAGTGCAAGTAAAGTGAAACAAAAATATATTACACTCCGAGTTCCACGCTTGCGGGATCACCAGGCCAAAAAAATCTAATTTCGAACAAGGAATGGGTTCTGGTTGTATGCGAAAGAAAAGTAAGTGAAGACCTATTGTGCAAGGAATACAGTGGGAACTACACATATTATACACATGCACTCACACCATCACCCACATGCGCGCGCGTGCGTGTGCGTGCACACACACACAAACACAACAACACACACACACACATACGCACCCACATACTCAAACTCACTCGCACGCACGCTAGCCTAAGGATAGTACATATGCTGTAGTAGTGGTATACTTAGTGAAATGACTATGTGTACATCTAATGACGCCGCCACTCCACGCCAGAAGACAACAAACATCTGCTGCAACATTTTTGCTCCCGTCTCTTATGGGCAACACAGGGAATGAAACGAACAATGCAATTGAGAACAAGAGTCGTCCTGTACGGTGAAGTTTCCATTTTCTCATACAGCAGTATATTGTCTAAGCAAGTGTGTTTTCTCCACATTCTTTTTGCCATGCAGGTATATCACAGTGTCATGCCAAACTACATTCTCAAACGCATTCGTTTCTCAATTCTGGGGATGATTGGACACGCACATCTCGAAGCTCTTGACGACGTCAATGTCAACCGTCGCCACAGCACAACCAAAAAGACCGCGATAGGAAGGTATAAAGTCCAGTTCTCAAAGCATAAAGAAGACTGTGGCCAAATAGAAAATTATACGACAGAAAGAGCTATGAGTATGTTGACAAGCTCATGTGTGAGGTGGTAGCGGTTGCAAATGGCAACCTCCATGTTCCTGCCTTGGAGAAGCGTGTTTCCCTGCCAAATTCCAGGTGGAAGCCTCCTGAGAAGGCTGAGGTGGTGCAAGATTTGGATATCTTTGCCTGATGGTATTCACAACGCAGGCTGGAAGACGACAACGAACGTGCTTGCCCAATTTGCCGTGTACATAGTGTGTACTGCCTGTGTGCCGCATAGCGTAGAGATCTACACAAACACAGAATGTCATATGGAATGTGTATGATGAGTGCTTGTACACATACCACATTGCTGTACCGTAATAATTATTATAGTCAAATACTCATTTACTCTACATATGCGCTGTATTGCACCTACCGGTACCTACCTGCACTTTCAGTGCGCGCGCTATACTAATTTAGTGTCCACTGGTACAAAGATGGAGGGTCTTGTAGAATTTACCATAATTGCTGATTTCAAATTGAGTTCCAATGATCTGGGGGATGAATACTGATTAGGACGCGTTCGATTACTTACTAGTACAGAGATGTCTTGGTCAGAAAGTACAGATTTCTTACTCTCCTGCCAGAATTTGTGCATTATTTTGGTGTACGCTTTCTTGACCCCACGCTTGTACGTTGCATGCCATGGTATACTAGAAAACGAGTTTATTGACAAAGTCTATCGCTTGAGACGATAAAGTATGGGTTCGGGTGTGATCAAATGCACCCATGGTGCTCATAAACTGTGTGCAGTGCTCTCTTCACCAACAGAACACTACCTACCATACTTTGTAGATCTTGTACCAATCCAAGGGAAAATGACAAAGACAAATGTGAGTCATGCATGAAAACTTGTGATAGCACGGTCTATAGTACAGAACAACGTTGTTCGTGCTATGCCTGACAACAATAATTAGTTACACACAAAACATTACGCGCATCGATCCTCACAAGATAAGTCAAGACATACTCGGAGCAAAGAGAAATTTGTTTGTGTCATGCATGAAACTTGTGATAACTACCAGTACAATGTCTTTCTTGTGCGACGCCTACTGTAGTGCGCCTGACAACAATAAATTTCCCCCCAAAAAATAAGAATAAGTGTATCATGCTGATACGCGATCCTCACAAGACAAGTCAAGGCAAACTAATTGAGGCTTACCTACTGTCAGACTCTTCTGTCACTGGCATTGGCGGCTTCTGCATGTCGAGATAACCTCGAAGAGCAGTGATGAGCACAGCCTAATGCAAGGATACGATCTCGTAATCTGCGAGGTCCGCTACGCAAGAAACCTTGGGCCGTCTTGTCGACAGCGACGGCAGCATCCTACCAGCAAAATCATTCCCGCGGGCTGGGCATGGCTATACACTTTTGTCCACGCTCGCACCAGTCGGAGTCCCAAACGATTCGAGATTCTGGTGGCCAAGCTACTCGTCTTCTGTCGGACGCAGCTGCTGACGCATCTTCTTCCTCCACATTTGTTACACGCGATGGCAGCTCCTCAGCAGAGTATCTGGGCTCCCTGCCCCAACCATACGCGGCGGTGGGCTGTTGGTCGTCCTCACTGGCCTCAGCATCGCTGCCTTCATTGCTGGGGACAGAGGATTGTTCGGAATCGCCCATCTTCCCTTGAAATACCAACTAAAATTAGTGCTTGTAGACTGGCGAAGAGAAACGACTTTGCCACAATGACGTAGGCAGCCCGTGATGATGTAACCAAATGGCCGCATGACGTCAGGGCGCGGCCCCCGTTTTTGCAATTTCAAAGTGAAATATCTCAAGAACGCTTCGTCGTAGAGACTTCGGACCAAGACCATTCGACTCAGCGCCCGAAACTCTACAGGCTATCAAAGTTTCATTTTTTCGTGGAGTTCCCCTTTAACAAGCAAGGCTTCTGTATAGTCACTACATGTACTACCAAGAGTACATGGGGGTTATGTACTCTTGCTACTACTACTAGTAGTGAGTACTAGTACTACTAGTACTCAGTACTAGTAGTAGTAGGCACTTCAGTCACGTGACACGACCTGTCAAAAAGTGCTAACGCTGAATCGCGTACATGCGTGGCACCACGGAAAGGCGCATGCATAGATCGATCTGCTGTCTGTAGCTGCACGGAATCTGCGCAGGGCCTTCTCGTGTGGCGCAGCGTGTAGCTGAGGCCCTCAGCTTTCGTTTGAGCCCACATACGTCATGATGCGGCAATTTTTTGAACTCACGTACAGTTCGAGTAAAATCGGCAAGGATTTTTCGGGCATTTCACTTGATTGCACGCATTTGCCATGTAGCTCATCGTCTTCAGCGTCGTATTTCCTTTCGGAATCAGTTGTCCTCGTTTGTCCAACACTTTGCGCATTGCTGCGCAAGAAGAAATAATGCGAGGTGTTATTGAAAGCGAGCCGCGGCAGGCGTCCTCCCGGCAGTAGTCCTTGTTCGTCGGAGCCCATGCGCATGGCTGCGCAAGAAGAAAAATTAATATTGCCAGGTATTATTGGAGTCGCATCGGAGCAGTCGTCCTCTCCTGCAGGCAACGAGTAGGACAGTATATACTTCGGCGACTGGACCAAGAGAGCTGACATCAAAACGGCCTGCTTGGAACAAATCGTCAGCTGATCAGCAGGTGGCTTCCAGCGACCAAGAAAAGCATTGACGGTGATATAATACCAAGAATCCAGCACACACTCTATGCACAAAATCTCTCATGCTGGAGTTGCTGAAGTTTCAGTAGTCCCAAACATTTGCAAACGATGTTCTACATGTAATAGTTTGTCATTTCTTTCCGTCAAATACTCGGTAAAATTCTAGTTTGCTCCGTCTGTGGCTCATTGTTCTTCTGTACTCATCACCACGTCAGTACTGTACATGTAGCAACAATGTGTTCTGGCACTGAATTATTGTAGTTACTTTATCTTACCTCAAAGTCTCATCTTATGCTTTTCCAAAGGCTTCTCTGCACTGTTTTCATTCTGTTGCGATGGAGTTGCTATGGAGTTGCCATGGTGACCACACCCGATATCTTCGTCTGAGCTGCCGGACGGATGAAAAATGCGAAGTTTTTCCAAACCATGCTGTTTCTGCATTCATCTGGTTATTTTGACCTGCTTCGAGCGAGCCTGGTATTTTGCCAATAGACACTGAAGCAAGTCCTACCAATTTCTGATATGCTGCTGGTGCCGTCGAAATACTGAAATTGCCGTTATTCAATTCTCCGACTTTGGATGGCTATATCTCTGTGCCAAGTTATTCTTTTTGCTTCAAATTTTCTGTGGAGTCTTCCTAAACCTATCTGAATCGGATACAAGAAAGAAATACGAGTATTTCTGGTTTTGAAAAAACCGCCTGGCTGAAGTGCCTACTACTAGTAGACCACTAGCTACTACAGGCTAGCTACACCCGGAAGAAGTCACCATGGCATGGTTGCATCATGATTGTATCGTGTGTGTGGAGCCGGGTGCAAAATGCTCCTTCCACACTTGTACCATCAAGAGTGCATAAATGGACTCTTGGTACCATGCATTACCAATAACAAGAGTACATAACCAGTGGTTATGTACTCTTGCCAATAATTATTATTAGTATTACCAAGGCAAGAGTAGATAAACTACCCTTGATAAGGCCGAGTAAAAAAAATTACTAGATGATCGTCCTTTTTTTTGGAAAAATCGGGGAGGGCGGGAGGATTTTATTTTTATTTTTTTACTTTTTACCCTCTCATGCACACAGTGTACACAACAACATCAAGGTTTTTTTTCTCTTTTTTTCTTTTTTTTTCTTTTTTTCTTTTTCTTTCTTCAGCAGATCGATACTGACGTTGTGATATACTAGTAGTATGTGGTCCATATAGTAAAGAAAGTATTAAACAAAGCGTGCACATGTTTCCTGCATCCGCGATCGGTAAAAAACCAACGATTTCGGCAAAAACTCACGATTTAAGGTGGCAGGCTACCTTCAGAATTGGGAAAAATCGAATTTTTGATTTGAGGTTAACTGTGATACTTTTCTGATTGGGGTAGCCACAAAGCATTAGAATTTAAAATTTTGGGTCAATCGGTCCAGTGGCTCCGGAGTTATAGTGGATTGTAAGTGCGACAATTACAAAATTGAATATGAAATAAATTGCATGAAATTGCAAAAACAATTAAAATTTTCACCAAAGTCATTTTTGCGCTATTTTCATCAATTTCGATCGTAGCGCTCTAATCTTTTGACGCGAGCTAGCGGGCCTCCTCTGTGATCCGTTGCCGTGGCAATCATTTCCAAAATGGCTGCCCTTCATGACGTACGCGAGGTAGACAGTCAGCTGACATCAAAATAAATTTTGTCAGCGAAGTGTCAGCATGCAAAGCAAATAATTGTTGTAGCTTTGTTTCATCAAGCCTTGTCAGTTTTGTTTTGACATTGCTGGAGACGTAAGCCGTGGTGGATCATCTGCCATGGGTAACAAACGCAAGAGCAGGGTTCTCAGCAGGCCAAAGAAGTGCCTTCCCCGCGGAAAAGGACTGTCTTGGCTCGTGAAGAGCCCACAACTGAAGATGGTGATTTGGACGTATTCGTCGCAGCATCTGAGGATGTTGCAAATCAATCTTCCGTGGCATCTGATTCTTGTACTGGTGATTCAAGCGATGAGGTTATGTCCAGCGACGAGTCTGATGATGATGATGATGATGATGACAGTTCGGACGAGCACAACAGTGGTAGCAGAATCGTCCACTTGCCATCCCTGACACGTCTTCTTGGCTCATCATGTGTCTGTGCCAACTGCAAGACTGGGTCATTGCTCGTCCAGGAGTCGACTCGATATGACCTAGCCCCAATTCTTGAGCTTACCTGCGATCATTGTGGGCATGTATTTGAGGGCCGCCTTGCTGAAAAACATACACCAATGCGATTTTATGATGTGAACAGACCTTCAGCAATGGCCATGCGGATGATTGGCAAGGGAAGAGAAGCACTGAGGATGTTCTGTGCCATCATGGATATGCCTGAGCCCATGTACGGACGGTCGTTCCAGTCTCACTGTTCAGCATTGCATGATGCAGCAGTTGAAGTTGGGACAAATAGCATGCGGCACCATGCTGCAGAGTTACTGGCTATGCGGCAAGCGAGTGGATCTGACCATCCGTCACACGTGGCCGTAAGCACTGACGGCACATGGATGCGGCGTGGGTACTCTTCTGTGTTTGGTGTCCAAACAGTAATTGCGTACGACACACTCAAGGTGGTGGATGTGGAGGTGTTATCGAAGCATTGCAACCATTGCAAGGTTTGGGACAACAAACGCGACGCGAAGACAGTCACGGCAGCGGAGTTTGCCACCTGGAAGGCTGCACATGCTGACAGCTGCGACATCAACACCAATGTCTCATCGCCAGCCATGGAGACTGCAGCAGTAGTGAAGATTTGGAATCGATCTGAGGCTCTCAATGGCCTTCGCTACACATCCTACATTGGCGATGGTGATTCGAAGGGATTTCAAAAAGGGTTATGCAGACAAGGCCAAAGAGACGGAAGGCGTTACGTACTGTCCTGGTGGTTTTTGAGTGCTAAAAGTTGCCCTTTTTGGGGGGTACCGTGTGACCTTTGGTACACCATATCTCCAGTTTGGTATGTCCAAATCCAGTAAACTATATATGTATTCATATCTACGTCAAATTTGCAAGGTGCTCACGTCTCTACTTTTGAAGATTTTGTCACATCTACTGACGTATGGGCACAGAAAGATAATTGGACCAACGGCGCGTTCTTTACGTGATTTCTTTATGTGTGTGTCAGCCAGATTCTTTACATCTAGAAGCATAAATCTCTTCGTGAGCATCTAGTATTGAGCAAGAACACTCATTATGTAACATAAGTATCTGGCTATTGCTAAAATCCTTGCAGAAAACTTGTACCAAAAATTTGTTGACCGCATTTTTGCGATATTCTTGTTTGGTGTGTCCAGCATCCTGTTCTCCAAGTCGAAATGCATGTGTGGTGGTTGTTCAAGTGTTCTTTATTATCTGACCAGCATGTGTAGAAAATTTGGTGCAAAAATAATGAGGGATGCCAATGTTACAGACATTTGAATGCATGTATGTTATCGGCTGGCGCCGAAGGTAGCCTGCCACCTTAAAAAATAAAATATTTCTTGGGGCGCTGACAAAAACTGGGGCGGACGGGGACGATCATCTAGCTTTTTTTTTTACTTGGCCTAAACTACCCTACATAATATTAATATAAGTTGTACTCTTGAGTCTTGTTTGTACTCTTGCTAGTACCGGGGTAGATACAGTACTTGACACACAGACCAGTCGAGTCATGTGCATACCTACAACAGTTACTGTACGAGGACGACTCGTACAATCATGTACAAGACTACAACCAACAGATAGCAGCACATGTACAGTCTACAATGATTATGTACAACTACAATATAGATTATAGGAGTAGATCTACCATAGATCTACGACTCGTAGATCTACTCGTAGATCTACTCGAATCGTATCTAGCTACGACTGATCTTCATCACATTCATACGTGTAGCTCAAACTCAAAGTAACATTAGTTGTTGACGTTTTGATTTTGAGAGTTCTCAGTTGAACGAATATTGTTATTGTTTAGCTTTCAGACCAGTTCAGTCATTCAGATCACGGCTTCAACTAAGTTCAAGGCGACTTCTGCTTAGGTTCACTGTATGTTCGGCTAGCAGGCGATACATGTGATCCTCCTTTCTACGCGCTTGGTCGTAGGTCTTCTGTTTCGCATACGTTCCGTGTCCAACTATTCCCCCCCCCAGTACTTGTGGTTCAGTGGTGTGATTTTTGACTTGGAAACATGGCGACAGAAGATCCAGATGAAGGCGGCGACCAGTTCCATTACCAGCAAACTTTAGTAAGCAAGCTGTAGTTGACCTGAATATCGGATTCGTATTGTATTGATGTGTGAATTGATACACTACGAGGGAATTTCTTATTTATTTTGTGTTTGAAAAAGCATCACGTCAAATTTGAAGAAAAAGGAGAGAATTATCTGCCTCCTTGTAGAAATTACAATACAGGATGCACGAATCAGCAAGCTGACATGAAATTCTGATATCGTGTGGGAAAATGTGTTTGTATAGGCTGAATATTATGGTTAATTAATGTCAAGAGTACCGTATTTCCACGATTACAATTCGCACTCGATTATAAGTCGCACCCCCCCCCCCCCCCCACTTTTAGGTTTGAGCCATATTGTTTCAATATATTCACATAAGTACACTCGATTGTAAGGCACATCCCCTTCTTTGCTCTTGAAATTCAGCGTGAAAAGGTGTGACTCATATTCTAGGAAATACGGTACATGAAACCCAGAGCGCGCAGCTCGGATGAGTTGGTGTCAGTCACGGACTCACGGCGAATTAATTCCTGGATTACATAATTTTAGTAATGTAGTGCGTACAAGCAGGATTCAAACAGATTCCTTTCTGCACAACTGCAGCTCAGTTGTACGCACTACTACGCCACTTCTCGCCGTTTACCTGCACCAACTATGATGTAATCCTGGAATTTCGCCGTGACAGGCACAAGCTGCACACTCTGGGTTTCATGTACTCTTGGTAATGTTAGCGAATGAACTTTTAGGTGGAGCATGTAGACAAGAAAGAGGCATTCAGCATGCGATAGGAGTGTTTGGATTGCAGTATGTGTACATCGTAGCCTAGGAATGATTGGATAGTAGCAACACAACACCCCTCCCACAGAATATGCAACTCCACTATCAGTGCTTTCATGACGGGATTTCAAGTTGACGCTATTTTTCTAGTGATGCAATGTGTGATGTGCACACATCTTCAAACGTGTGGTACACCAGTGGTGGACACAACGCCATTGGCCCTGTACAAACTTGTAACGCGCAGGACCGCCAGAAGCAATGTTTGATTGGTCTGCTAGTAGGATACTGTAATTTCACAAATTTTCGGTGTTACTAGAACTTTTATTTTCGGTACTTTCGGTGCATCTGTTCCATACCTAAAATTTCGATACACCGGGCAAACACTAACACACATAATCCAATAGGGGACTGCTTCTCTGTGCCTACATTTTCTGTTCACCTAACCTGGCCTTTTGCCCTCATACCGAAAATATTGAGCACCTAAAACTTCTGAAATTAGAGTACTCCTTTTTGAATTCATTGTTTGTGTATGGTATGGTGACTAAGCATGACCTCCTGAGCAGTAAACACACGTTGGTGGCCAAGAGGTTTGTCCAGCGATGACCTGTCCAACCAGACCGGTTCCCGTGGGTCTGACACACTTGGCACAGTGACACCTAGATACAAACGTTGGAAATCTTACCCGCGATGAGAATTGCATCATGAAAATAACGGCAGCTTGAAATTCTGTCGGGACAGCACTGTATGTGGGAGTTGCACACTGGGAGTATGTACTCACCATAGTGGTGAAAGTTGAGATTGCATTGGGTTACCAGGGTCATTCTGAGGCTCTCTCTCTCTCTCTCTCTCTCTCTCTCTCTCTCTCTCTCTCTCTCTCTCTCTCTCTCTCTCTCTCTCTCTCTCTCTCTCTCTCTCTCTCTCTCTCTCTCTCTCCCTCTCTCTCCCTCTCCATCTCCCCTGCCTGTGATGACTGTTGGTATTATCTTTGCAATACTATGTACAAGTACCATTCTGTGTTAATGCTGTTGCTTTTGCTTTCGCAGATGATGGGTACGTATGAACGTAATCAGTTGAGTAGCTTCGGGTACAACTTTGGTCAAAAACTCAAGTCAGAACGCCCAGAACTCAAACACGAAAGTTCCCGTCGCTGGTCCCGGGATGGCTGTAAGTGTATGCATGACACACAGTGCATTTCAAAGCCCACACGGTCAGATTAGCATCATTTTCAGTGGTGTTGAGAATAAAAACCTTTTGGTGAACTTTGAGCCGCGAGTCAGTCAAGTATCACATCAAGTCGACAGGAAATGCACGAGCTACCACGTGGGGAGCAACACACACTTCATCTCGATACAAATTGATTAAATAAAGTCTGCATGTGTGTACTTTGAAACGTGCTGCAGTGGTTATTTTACTGTTCTTTTTCTTGTTGCTGGTATTGGCATGCTGATGAGTGAATAAGCATATTGCTATGGACGCGGAGGATGTGGGTGATCTCATGCAGCTGTGATCTGCCAGTGCAGAAATGCGTACCAGATGTCTCCACTTGGTGCAGGTGCTGAAGTCTTGATTGCGCCCAGCAGGCGCCTTGAGATTGCAGGGATTTGCGTACAATCCGAGACGGAAAAGCTGCCGAACAAATACTGCAGTCCAGTGTAGCCTTGAAGCATGTATGCCATCTCTGTATTGAATAGCAACTGAGGTGCCATCACCTTACTTTCTACAGTTTCTTTTCTCCTGCTTTTTTGTCCACTTTCCTCACTGACATACTTGAAGAAAAATGAAGTAAAATCATGAGTGTGTCTTTATCATACTCTTATTGATTGTGTATCTGCAGGCTGGAGATCTGTAAAGCATTTTGTCAAGGATCACATTGGCGAGGATTGGATTTTTCTTCTTATCTTGGGAATTTCTATGGCGCTGCTCAGTTTCTTTGTCGACTACACCATTCAGCAATGCCTGAGAGGTATGTATTCACAACGTTGCCTAGGGTAAACATGTGTGTACGTGTGTGTGTGTGTGTGTGTGTGTGTGTGCGTGTGTGTGCGTGTGTGCGCGTGTGCATGTGTGTGTGTGTGTGCGTGTATGTGTGTGTGTGTGTGTGTGTGTGTGCGTGTGTGTGTGTGTGTGTGTGTGTGTGTGTGTGTGTGTGTGTGTGTGTGTGTGTGCGTGTGTGCGTGTGTGATGCCCCTCCGGGGCCCATGTGACCCCTGTGGCAGTGGCTCTACAGGACAGGACAGGTGTGTGTGCGCGTGTGGGTGTCTGTGTGTGTATGTGGGTGTCTGCACGCGTGTGTGTACGTGTGTGTGTGTGTGTGTGCATCTGCATGCATTAATGAGTGTGGTGTACGTGCATGCATGAGTGTGTGTTGGGGGGGGGGGTAACACTTTCACACTCTAGTAGCTACATGCCTTGTGCTGTTTGTTTCACTTGTACATGTACTGTATTTACATTCCATTTGTGTTGTTTTTGCTTGTTTGTCACTGCCCAGTGCACTTCTGGCTATACTCTGAGTTAACACAGCTAGTTGGCATTCAGTACATCATTTGGATCATCTATCCATGTATTCTCATCATGTTCTCGGTGGGATTTACGCACATCGTGTCCCCGCATGCCGTCGGTGAGGCCCCTTCCGCTGTAGTGGGTGCTGCTGTTTGATGTGCTTGTGTGTGTGTGTGTGTGTGTGTGTGAGCGCGCGTGCCTGTGCGTGTTCATGTGAGCACGTGTTTCTACTTTGTAGTGTATAGGCTATTGTAGTGTATGGGCTATTGTAGTGTATGGGCTATTGTAGTGTATGGGCTATCGTAGTACAATCTACATAGTACCCTGGATATGACAGATGTTTCTTCGGAACTTTCAAACTCCACCGCATCGTATCTTCTTTTCTTCGAATGTCCATTAGAGTCAGGGCATTGCCAATTCTGTTCCAGTCGTTTGACCTCGGATATAGTGCATTGAAAAGTACTGATTTTATGGCATTGACTATACATGTAGAGTACTGATTTTATGGTCCTTGGATGTATGTTATACTGGAGTTTTACTGTACAGGTGAAATCCTGATAATTCGAACCTCGAAATGCCAGGAAAAAACTTCTAATTATCCGGACATTCTAATTATCCAAACATGAACCCACAACTCAATATGTATGTCAAAATGCTCTCATGGTCACGCAGAGTTGCGCTATGGACCTTTAATAGACACAAATTTTACGGACACTGAACTGACTGGCACAGCCTGCTCATGCAAACTGAACTGACCAGTACAGTGTTCAGTGAACTTTAAATTACACTTTGCTAACTTCGAATTATCAGCACAAATCCCACACATTTTCTATGTAAGTGGAATCTGTGGGACTTCTAATTAACCGAATATGTCCAGTTCGAGGTTCGAATTATCAGAATTTTTTGTGGGAATCTTATTGATAGAAATCGGTCCTGGAAAAACTTCTAATTAAGCGGTATGTTCGAATTAAGCCATATTCAAATTATCAGGATTCCACCTGTATCTGTGTTCTGAGTTCAGTGCCAGTGCCAATCCGGCAACAATAGGTCCGTTGGCCCCTGATGTTTCTGTTCCCACCCATGGGAGTGCTTGTTGCATTCTATTAGAGGTACTAAGGTTTCTTCTATGTTGCTCTGATGACAGGATCTGGTATTCCGGAGATGAAGACGGTGCTGCGAGGTGTCAGTTTGCCAAACTATCTTTCCTTGCGAACGCTTGTTGCCAAGTCGGTAAGCTGGGCGCGTATGCATTTGCCAATATTGCCAATATTGCATGCTAGTATTCTATTACTAATTAAATTGGTTATTTGGTGATAGTACGTCCGTTTTTTTAAGAGACTCATCCCCTCTCCCCTGACTCACTTGTGAGGTCTGCATTCGGCACTGAGGATATACATGTATGGGCGAAGTGGTGGCCCGCCGATGCGAGTGTCAGCGTCAACGCTTGATGTGTTCCTCAACACGTCAGGTGATGCGGCTGCGAATCCAGCTAACTTTACTTTACTTTTACCGTATTTCCTCGATTAATAGACCTGGTCTTTTGTTTTTTGAAGAGGGTTGGACCCCTGGTCTCTTATTTGGGCATGGTCCATTATTTGAGCATGGTCCACTATATTTTTATCGGCACATCGCTGGAAATGGTGGATTTTTAACACGTCATAATATAGAAGTTCTATATTATGGCGTCTTAAAAATCCATCGTTTCCAGCGATGTGCCGATGAAAATATAGTTGACCGTGCTCAAATAATGAAAGAAAGCACTAGCCACTACAAAAATTGTAGTTGCGCAACCTAAAATCGCGTCTTTTTTTGATCCACCACGTGCTTTCTTAGTGCGCATGCGCAAAGCGGTGAACTCAAATAAGAGACCAGGTCTCTTATTCGGACATGGTCTACTATTTTTCCGTGAGGCCTCCAGGAGGGTCTACTATTTGAGCATGGTCTATTATTCGAGCATGGTCCATTAATCGAGGAAATACGGTACTTTGCAGTAGCAGTAGTTCATGTAGTTGATAAGAAAGATCCACTGTCGCGCCCTGATTGGTTGGTGAAAATGGAGGTAAGCACACACACGCCAGCCAACGCTTTCTCGCTCTCCATGTTGTGACAATGTCGTCTTTAACGTTAGGCAGTCAGCGCTTGCTTTGCGTTCCGTCGCCGCCGCCACCACCACCACCCCTTGGCCGTTGAACCTGTCTCCTGGCCAATGTATGCCTACTCAAAATACCGACTCTCGCATAGCCGACCATGCTACATTCTGCCATAAGTGTACTGGTATCTGTTTCTGAGAGTTAGAAGAGAGTGAACTGTAATGTCTCCCTTGTCAACTCGTATGCTGTAGTGAGTTGCAGCAAACCCTGATGGTGCACCTTTCCTAATACCTTAATTATGAGAGTAGCTGGTATTTCATGCTCCAGCTCATTGTCGTGGACGGCTTGCCCGATACTGAACTGGTTGTACAGTACATGTACACTGTGGTAGTATTGTGTTGATTTTGTTCTCTGTCTTGCGTACGTGCAGGTGGGTCTCATTGCATCAGTCGGCAGTGGCTTGCCCATTGGAAAAGAGGTGAGTGGTTGGTTAGCTAGTGTAGAGTACATTAATTTTACAGTCGTACACCATGACATGACTCCTTGCTGGCATGGTGAATGGTAGCTCTGCTTCACTGGGGGGGGGGGGAGTGGAGTGCTCTAGACTAGAATTCCACAAGAGGGGGGGGGGGTGCTATTGACTGGAATTCCACACTCTGTGAACGGTGTGCTGCTTGTCTGCCTGTGCTGCGTATTCATTGCTCTTGCTGGCCATGGGTTTCAGTGGGCATACGGAGGTGCTGCGTATTCATTGCTCTTGCTGGCCATGGGTTTCAGTGGGCATATGGAGGTACCCACTGCAGTAGCACATGCCTCCACAGCTAGCTACAGACCTGTGGACCAACTGCTTGTCCATGGCCTGCAAGCGTTCATGAGAGGCGTACGATTTGGGTGCCATGCCGCGTTCTCCAACATTGACTTCGGGCAGGTACACTGCGCTCAGGGCAAGTCCACACGCAGTGCAAACATAGGAACCTTCGCATATCACTTGATCCTGATGAGTGCACTTCGGTGCCACTTCTTCCATTTCTTTATCTGCATCCACACGACAGCAGTCACACTCGTACTGCCGACCTTGTCCACCTTGCAATCGCTTGCCAGTAGAATCTTGTTGCGCTCTCTTATACTCTAGCAATATTCGAAAATCCTCCATATCACACATAACTGTATGAAGAGTTTTGATGGCAACTCTGTCAAATCTGGTATTCAGGAGAGATCGAAATACCTAGGTCAAAGAGAAAAAATAAATTAAAGTGATTCCCACCCAGTACAAATTTAAATGAACCCTACACGTCATTCCGTTCTCATTATAGAACCTCGGCAACGAACTCGATAAACCATCACGTGCCCCCCCCCCCCCCCCCCCCCCCCCCCACACACACACATACAAACCAACCTCTCACGTGTAGTACCCCAAGGTCAATCAAGGTAAAGGATCGTGCTATAACCATACCATTTCCTGGTGCCCACCCCGAAGGTCCCCAAAAATCCCTCCTACACCATCCAAACCTTCAATACAGGGGAGGAGTCTTGACATATGGTACCAGACGCTTCCTTTTCCACGCCTGTATTCATGACAGATTTAGAGGTGCAGCCGGTCTTCTCCTCTCTGCTATGCCAGCAAGTAAAGCTGTGGCTGTTGGCATTGAGTAGTCCTGGGGACAGTGGGATACACCATTTGTTTGTACACCGTACACACACACAAAATATCTGTGTTCCTCGCCGCAAAAAGGGCTTTGCGTCTATGCACTGGGGCGGAGCGTATACATTTTAAAAGACGTGGGTATTGGCTTTGTACACGTACAGTATATGGGATGATTTATCTGCTGGCAGCAGTTGATGTGTAGACTCCAGTCAGTACTGTACTGTACTGTACTGTACTGTACAAGGAAAAGTGAACATGGTCATGTTTTGCTTGTTGGAGTGTGCTGTGAGACATTTTCTGTGACCGTGTAACGTTATTTGTTTTTCCTGTTATTTGTGTATTTTTTAGGGTCCGTTCGTGCATCTTGCTAGTATTCTTGGGCACAGCATGTCCAAGCTCCTAACCAACATCAACAGCTCTTACATGGTCAGTTTCTCTCTCTCTCTCTCTCTCTCTCTCTCTCTCTCTCTCTCTCTCTCTCTCTCTCTCTCTCTCTCTCTCTCTCTCTCTCTCTCTCTCTCTCTCTCTCTCTCTCTCTCTCTCTCCCTCCCTCCCTCCCTCCCTCCCTCCCTCCCTCCCTCCCTTCCTCCCTCCCTCCCCCCCCCCTCTCTCAGTCTCTCAATACCAGCTTTGTTTACCAGTGGATCACCACTTTAGCACTTGTATGTGTTTCTCTTTAGTCTGATGTAGACACTGTCAACAGTTCTACTTTTGAAGAGCAATATTACTGTGTTTGTTCTCATACTGTAACTTGTTAATGTGTTTGTTCTCATACTCTAACTTGGCTATCTCCACCTAAAGGCTAAAGTGCAGCAGGCATGTTGATAAGCACTGAAAAAAAGTCCTAGCACACCTCTTGCAATAAGCCCATTGCCCATTGCCAAATATGGATTGTATGAGTAATGCATGTGAGTACACTGGGATCAGCAGTGCACTGTTCAGCACCCCAGACGGCCATGCCCAGGTGGCTGTGTGGGGTGTTCATGGTACAAATTACGTCGTTGCGCAATGGGCTTAGGGGCCGGTCACACTGAGGGAAATTTTGAAAAAAATCCGTGGTTACTATGGATATTTGCCGCTGAGCGGGAGATTTGAGAGATTTAATCCACTCGGTGAAAATCAGCTCGAGGCCTCGCTTTTCCGCCGAAGATTATAATCATCCGCGGCTTCCACTGGATTTCTTTGAGTTTCCTTGTTTTTTTTATTGCGTTATGAAGTGGAGCGATACTCTAGAGGCTGTGCTGATGCAGCTCTGGCCCAGGAGCGGGGCTGACAGACTGCCAGAAGCGAATGGTGACAAAAAAACTAGCTTGTGTGGGTGAGATTTTTTTAATTGTGCGTATCCAGTGTGGCCGTGATGAAAAGTAGAACAAATTATTCCTGGTTTATAATCTGAGGATTGTTCCCTCAATGTGACTGGCCACTTATGGATTTCCGCTTTGGCTGTTGTTCATGATGCAGAATGAGAGCCGAACATCTGAGCTGCTGGCCGCTGCTTGTGCTGTCGGAGTTTCATCTAACTTTGCTGCGCCGATCGGGGGTGAGTGCATTGCCGAAGAACAGAACGCATCATGTTTTCAATTGGATCCTATTTGAAAGGCGATCTTGATCCTGGCTAAGTGATGAACTGTAGAAGATTGAAATTGTCCTTCACATGCCACAAATGTGCCCTTCACTTGTTTGTTTTGTTCGGGAATGGCCGCGGACCTTCATCCCGTCTGCTATATGTGGTTTAAACCAAGATTTCTACTTATACCGTAGTTTGTGTTTGCAAGAATGTTTGCAAGAATAAAGCTGCGCGTGTGTGTGGCGTGCGTGTGTGTGTGTGTGTGTGTGTGTGTGTGTGTGTGTGTGTGATATATGTGTGTGTGTGTGCCTCTGTGTGTGTCTATGTGTGCCTGTATGTTTTAACTGGACAGTCTCTCGGCTGAGTCATATCGGCACGGCATTGAATTCTTAGTCCATGCGAACATGGTAGACTGACGTGCATTAAATTTTCCATTGTACAGTTGTGGCAAGTGAAATCCGACACTTGGCATAAGGGACTGCACCGTGCATCCTGCAGCCTCTGCAGCCCTGCATACGTACAGTACATGTGTTGCATGCAACTTTATCTGTCTGATGACAGAATTCGTACTCATCACAGTCAAGGTTCAAAAGGTGCTGGCAAAATGAATGGGAATTGGATACCAATACTCCTTATGTGTACCATGTTTGTGAACTGTGTGTATCTAAGCTGTGACCTTTCGACCTGTTTGGGATGCATACGGCTCTATAGTACAAATTAGGTGCAGTGCATTACATCATTGATGTCCATTTGAGGCGCTGTCCCCTATGGCAAGTGTCGGATGTCACTTGCCACAACTGTACATGTCAGTGTTTCAGTGCTGGATAACAAAGTAGTTGTGTTTGTTGTGCTGTGCTTGTTGATTGGCAGGTGTGCTGTTCAGTATCGAGGTAACATCAACATACTTTGCCGTGCGTAACTATTGGCGTGGCTTCTTTGCGGCCGTATGCAGCGCATTTGTGTTCCGTCTGCTTGCTATCTGGATTGACGATGAAGGTAGGACTGCAATGTCTGATGGCGGTTCAGACTGACACACTGGCACTACTACTGATATGTAACGGAGAATGTCTTGTCATTGGCAAGTGATCCTCTTACATGCTATTGCGCAATGCCCGTGCCAATGGCATTCCAGTTGTTTATTCCACCTTTCTGTTGTGCTCACTTTAGTGCAATGCAAACCCCTGTGCATGTGCTCCATTGATTCTTAAATGCTCGCAGTGTCTCGAGGGTATACAGTCAACTTCGCTAATAACGACTGCGGATATAACGACAATTCGCGAATAACGACAGCATTTCCATGCCCAGAGCAAAGTCCCTTCCAACTGTAATACATATAATGAGACTTCGGGTATAACGACACTTCGCGAATAAGGACACTTTTTATGCCCCGCCGAATGTCGTTATAAGCGAAGTTGACTGTAATTATGCTTTACCTTCTCTCTATCCTTCCAACTACAACAGTCATTGAATGCCATGCTCATACTCTTGCTGTGCACAATCCTAATTTTCTGACTGGTACTAGTACTCAGTTTCCAACACAATTTTTTTTAAAGGGGAATTCCGGAAATTTGGTATGACCGCATACTGATGTATCACTCGTATAATTATGTATGGTGATGCACGGGATAGGAGTTGTCGAGCACAACAAGCAGTCTCTTGTATCACCCCTGTCCCAACACTATACTGTACTGGCAGAATTGACTGTGGACCGAACCTTTGCTTTTGTTGTTGTGATGTTGTGATGTTGCACAGCTACGATTACCACACTGTTCACTACCCATTTCCGCGTGGACTTCTCATTTGACCTGCAAGAGATGCTTGCCTTTGCTTTTATCGGGTAAGTCAACATCTTTTGGTTTGCCATAACCTTGTGGCGCCTGGGGCTTTTTGGCCCGGGGCGCGGGCGTCGCTTCCTGTTCGTGTTTTTATTCCCTTATTGTATTTGGGCATGTTTGCTGGTGCATTCCCGATCGGTAACTTGAAGGTGTGTGTGTGTGTGTGTGTGAGTGTGTGTGTGTGTGTGTGTGTGTGTGTGTGTGTGTGTGTGTGTGTGTGTGTGTGTGTGTGTATGTGTGTCACATCGCGTGCGTGTGTGCATGCTTCTTATGCCCAGAGTGATATGTGGACTTGGTGGCGGCCTATTCATCTGGTTTCATCGGCGTATTGTTGACCTTCGACGAAGCTATCGCCACACCGACGTTGGCCGCATTCTCGACTACAAGTGAGTGCCAGTAGTTGCTGTGTTTCTGTTACGCATTCTACGGGCTCACATAACCGCAATCTCCCGGGAGAGCCCCCCACCCCCGCCCCAGTCCCACCGCATACCGGCGATATGTGAACCAACCCTAAACGATCAACATTATATACGGTGATGAGCTGTGCTGCTGCTGCTTTATCCTGCTTGTGTTGCGACATTGATCTGAAAACGACTGGCCGCAGGTGAACAGAATGGTGGAACTGGAAACGTATTGACCAGGGCTGAGCATTGTGTGTCCTGTAATAGGGCCTGGATGAAGTGGTAACACACGGGGCAAGATGGTGGCTGGATGGTGTGGTGTGCAGCCCAGCAGCAGAATCAATGCTGCATTCTTCTAACGTTCCATGTCAAGAGACAACGCTGTGCATGGTGCCGTATTTCTCTGCCGTGTGCTATGCTATGCTTGTTGACTGCTCTGTCTCTCTCTCTCTCTCTCTCTCTCTCTCTCTCTCTCTCTCTCTCTCTCTCTCTCTCTCTCTCTCTCTCTCTCTCTCTCTCTCTCTCTCTCTCTCTCTCTCTCTCTCTCTCTCTCTCTCTCTCTCTCTCTTGTGTTCTCTTTGCACCCCCGGCAGTCGGTTTGTCTTCCCTGTGCTGTGGACCATTGTTGCCATGACATTCATGTTTCCTGGTGGTCTTGGCAAGTATCAGGGTGGCAAGGTATGTATGGGACAGGCTTAACGCACACATGTATGTACCATGACGTATGTTCTCGGTACACATTAGAGAGGTTAAGATGCACGTTGTTTCTGACGTGACGCGAAAGTTCAGGTCACGTTATTTGGCTCACACGTGGAAAACTACGCCAGTGACCTGCAGCTCACGTCGGAATTTGGAGTTTTACGCCAAATTTGACGTGAAATTGCGTGTCACGTCGGGGAAAAAACGCGTATCTTAACCTCTCTAGTATGCCACATAATGTGCTGTTCTGCCATACTATAGTCTGTAATGGAATAGCATGCTGATGGTACCTTATAGACAAATCAAGACTACTCTAATTTCAGAAATTTTCGGTGCTCAATATTTTCGGTATGAGGGCAACAGGCTAGGTTAGGTGAACAGAAATTTTCGGTACAAAGAAGCAGTTCCCTATTGGATTATGTGTGTTAGTGTTTGTTCGGTGCATTGAAATTTTAGGTGTGAAACAGACGCACCGAATGTACCGAAAATAAAAGTACACCGAAAATTTGTGAAATTACAGTATTTCATGCAGCTCTTTGAAATTTTGTGTTTTTGTGTGCCAAGGCTGTGTATGAAATTATAGCGCCCACTAAGTGCATATTTTTGTTAATCCAGAAGGTATGGTGGATAGTTGATATTATGGTGGATAGTTGATATTATGCAAGCAGATTGTGCATATGAATGGCCTAGATGAAAACTTGCGAACATACGAAGTTGTTTGCGTACGTAAGGATACGGATTGCATGTGCGCACTAGTTTTCTTTTCATCGGTGTGTGTGTGTGTGTGTGTGTGTGTGTCTGTGTGTTTGTCTGTGTGTGTTTGTGTGTGTTTGTGTGTCTGTGTGTGTGCACGCGCGCGTGCGTGCGTGTGTGTATGCTCAGTGATCACCACCAGCCCACGATGCACTGCACAAGTGCACATGCACACATTTATGCCTGGCTTGCCGGTGGCCTGTTCTTACGGTCGCTTGATTTGTTGTCACCTTCGGTGGTTGTCTTTTCCGTGCCCTGCAGAACACGTACAAGGATATCTTGGGTTTGTTCTTCTCCAACATTACATGGGTGACGGCGGTGAATGATCCGGAGTCGTTCGCTGATCATCGAGACACGGCTGACCTGATCGTGGAAAGCTTTGGCAGCACCAACATATTTGTCTCCCTCATCATCTTCATTGTGTTCAACGTAAGCTCGGAAGCTGCTAGTTTCAGTTCTAGGCGCCAGTCTTCAGCATGCAGCTGGTGTTCCCGCAGATGTCTTGAGTCCTTGCTTTCTCCCAATCTGATGTGACAACTGGCGTGGCAACTGGTCTTATGCAAGCACTGTTCCGCATTGCACATGGTGTTGGTGGATGCTTGTCCGTCTGTCTCAGTCTGTTTGTCTATCCGTCCGTCTGGCTGCCTGTCTGTCCATCTATCTATTTGGCCCTATAATACCCTGCCCCCCCCCCCCCTTATCTGCCTCATTCTGAAGAATACCAATATGGTCGAAACGTTTTAAAATAGTTGTCAGTATCAACTATCAAGTCGTTCTTCTGTTGTGTGATTCAGCTAACTTCTACTGTTGTCCGTCTGTCTGTCTCTATCTGTGATCATCCTGTGATCATCCTGTGTTGCTGTATTGTGTGGCTGCCATTGCTCAGTTCATCATGACTGCCATATCGGTCACACTGCCTATCCCAGCTGGTATCTTCTTTCCTGTATTCATTATCGGTAAGACTGACTGACAGTGCACTGTGTTGATCTTCTATCTATTCATTTTATTTATTTATTTATTCAACATCGCCTGGCTCGTCGTATGACTGCCAATATTTATGAGAAGTCGGGTGGTAGCCAACCACGGCGATCTTCCACTCTTTCTCACAATGGCTGACACTTTTTTGGGAGGACAGGTTCACAATGGTCCAGTAGTGGAAATGATGGTTCACGAGTTTCACCAAGCATGAAGCGCTCTATGAGGCGTGTTCCTTTTTCTTTTGATGTATTGTTTGTAGCTTGTCTGCTGACACACCCTACGCCTGCATGCGTATGCGTGCACCTATTGTGGAATGTTGTGTAGAATTGCATACCTCTTCTGGTGTGTGTGTGTGTGTGTGTGTGGTGTGTGTGTCTGTGTATACATGCGTGTGTGTAGGTGCTGCCTTTGGTCGACTAGTCGGAGAAGCAATGGCCGTCTGGTATCCTGAGGGCATTATCCATTTACAAATCTTACCTGGAGGATATGCAGTAGTAGGTATGTTTCCTTCTTCTCTCTCTCTCTCTCTCTCTCTCTCTCTCTCTCTCTCTCTCTCTCTCTCTCTCTCTCTATCTATCTATCTCTATCTCTATCTCTCTTGCGTGCGCTCACTCTTTCACTCATTCTCACTCTCTCTCTCTCCTCTGTCTTTTATTTTACTGGACTGAGAAGGTTGCTGATTTGTGTTGACGTCATTGATGTAAATGTTGGTGTTGTTGTTGTGTTTAGGGGCTGCTGCAATGGCAGGTGCTGTGACACATACCATCTCCACGTCTGTTATTGTGTTTGAGCTGACAGGTTAGTCGTGATGATTTACTTGCCCAGCAGGTTGCCGGCCTTCTTTCTGTGGATGATGTGTGTGTGTGTGTGTGTGTGTGTGTGTGTGTGTGTGTGTGTGTGTGTGTGTGTGTGTGTGTGTGTGTGTGTGTGTGTGTGTGTGTGTGTGTGTGTGTGTGTGTGTGTGTGTGTGTGTGTGTGTGTGTGTGTGTGTGTGTGTGTGTGTGTGTGTGTGTGTGTGTGTGTGTGTGTGTGTGTGTGTGTGTGTGTGTGTGTGTGTGTGTGTGTGTGTGTGTGTGTGTGTGTGTGTGTGTGTGTGTGTGTGTGTGTGTGTGTGTGTGTGTGTGTGTGTGTGTGTGTGTGTGTGTGTGTGTGTGTGTGTGTGTGTGTGTGTGTGTGTGTGTGTGTGTGTGATTGCATTTCTCTGTTGTCTATCTGTCTGTCTGTCTGTCTGTGTCATGTTTTGTCATGGTGTGTCTGTGTTGTGTGGATACCAATCCGCTGTGTTGCACTGAAGGGAATGGCATGACTTACTGTTACTAGTATGGTGTTCCTGTATTACTTTGTCACAGCATTCTAGTGCATGTAGGTAGTACTCCCAACTCATCTTGCACTTTGACTGCCCTGTGATAGTGGAGATTTACGTGACTGAGGTCTTTGTGTGCTTCTTTGTGCAGGTCAAATTACTCATATTTTACCTGTCATGGTAAGTCGCGTTTGATAGGTGTGTCTTTGGGGACAGCCTGAGTCAGGAATTTTTGTCCAACTGTGCAGCTGGTCCCAATGCACATACTAGGTTGTGTGTGTCTAGTTTTCTCTTGTTGGAGGATTCTTGGTAGGGATTGGTGTGTGTGTGTGTATGTGTATACGTGTGTGTATGCGTGTGTGCATGTGCTCCATGACTTGCATGACTTGCATGGCTGAGCAGCGCAGTGTTTGTCTTGATATCTGTGTCCCTCCACCAGGTGGCTGTTCTTCTAGCCAATGGCATAGTACAGTACTTACAGCCGTCTATCTATGACAGTATCATACTCATCAAGAAACTACCGTATTTACCCGACTTGAAAGGCAATCGGCCCTATAACATCACGGCGGGTGACATGATGCGCACTGAACTCTATTTCATCTCGCAACGCTCAACCTACGCTCAGCTAAGGCGATTGCTGAAGAAATCGACGTTCCGCTCCTACCCACTTGTGGACAGTCAGGGTAAGGAACTCGACTTAATTTTTGGAAATTATTGCAGTCTGTGGCTCTAGCCGTCAGATGCATTCATGTCTGCAACTTTGTTCTGTATGAATGCTAACTGATGCCCTTGCACTTCTAGTATGGAATGCAGATTACCGTACGTCCAGTTCACTCGGTTGTGGTGCCTATGACGTGTCCTCCTTGTTTGATTTCTGACTCGGAAGGTCCTGTGTTTGCCCTGCCATTCCCACTCCCCATACACATTCCTAGCTACTGTAGCCGGGTGTGTGTATGGGAAATGGCACAATGTTATACATATACCGTATCTTCCGGAGTATAAATACGGTAGGCGCAGTGTAGACCCACCGCCGTATACCACTATTTTGTTTGCTTTGTGCCAGCTGTTTGCCATCGACTTCAACAGTTTAGTATATAACGTTTAACCTGTGCTGTGCCTGTCTTGCTGTGTATGTCGTCCACCCAGCCTCTATGATCTTACTGGGCAGTGTGCAGCGCAGTAAGCTGGAGCAGATCTTGCACGACCACATCCTGGACATTCACACGGAGCGGCAGCAAGCCATAGCCGGTGCGGCGGTGCATAGCAACGACGGTGACGACGACAGCCTCAGCAGCTTGCCCGGAGACATTGGCAACGGGTGAGATGATCATGAGCTGCTGTCGGCGGTGGTGGCGGTGTCTTGCAGATATAATCCCTACTTGGTTTCCGTCCGTGTGGTTTAACAGCGATGCGAATGCAGCCTCTCTTTTGTAGAGGCATGTGGCCGACTAGCATCACATGTATAATTGTGAATTTGTGATTGTGGTGATATATTTGAAAATGTTTGAAATTGATGAATTTACCGAACATCCGTGATCGATAAAATATTACCACAATCACAAATTCAATACTTGTAATATTTTGGTCCGTCGGTGAAAGGTAGCGATGTTGAATCTGCCGCCTTTCCCCGATTGTCAAGTACCACCGGGTACCAGTTTGCATGGTAAATCCCTCATTGTTGAGGTGCAGTGGAACTTCAGTATATTTAGTTCTCTCTCCGTATGGGACATAAAATCTGTACTTTTATATAGCCGAGGCACTCTATATTCAAGGTCCAATGACTAGAAAAGAATACGCAGTCCTCAGAATGTACTTTATAATTCTGAGATGCAAGGAGAAAGTATGTTGTATCCGGGCACGGTATACTGAAGTTTCACTGTGGGTAGCAAAGCACACAGTTGTCGTGTCTGTGTATGTCATTTTTGGCCATGTAGATTTCCATGTTTGTCCGTTTGTTTTGTTGCTGTTGCTTTTTTTTGTGCTGATCTGGCTTTCTCTCTTCTTTTGATGCAGCTATGAAGAAGTTGAGAATGATACCAACACTGGTGTCGGTGCACCCAAGGTGAGGTTTGTCTTTTGACTTTGCACGGTACTATAAGTACAGTGCTACGTTCAGTTCATCCATAGTGAAGTACCTCAATGGGCCGTACAAATCTGTGTTTTATAGCCGAGGAGGTACTAGCTACTGTATATCCCAGATCGAATGACTGATATCGCATTGTGCAGGATCGTAACGAAAAAGTGCTTTATGGAGGTTGTGGGATTGCATCATCATTTGAGATTTGCTTCGGATCCATTCTGAAGTATATTTTCTGCCTCGGTGTGGTGTTTGCATCACTTCAAGTGGACAGCTGGTACACAAAGCTTCATAAGTGTATTCCCTAATCCCTACATGTGCATATACCGGTAATCTAATTATACTACTCGGTTGTGTCATGTAACCGATGGGGCCACCTCTCTAGGAAATCCACATGATGTGTGGTTCGGGAAAGGAAATGTAACATGTGGCGTAATCAAATGGAAGTACATCTTTTGTACGCTATTCTTGCCCCACGACTCTTGATGAGGGGATGATCAAAGGTACATCCAATATCGTTCGTGTACTGTACTATGCACGTATGGTGTGTATGTGTACGTGTGTGCGTGTGTGTGTGTGTGTGCTCTTGTGTAATCAATGGTGCTAGTGACGCTTATATCAGATTCACTCTGATTTAGCCACCCACACTAGTAGCAAGTATTACCTTCACTGGGGGCAGGGGTAACTGCATTTGGATCCCGGGACGGATACCCTGATGCCGTCAATCCTTTTTCTGCACCTTGTCCTCACCCACTTACTGAGGTGTGGTGAGCCCATAAGTGGGATCATTTTCAAGTCCACCCAGAGTTTTGGGGATTTCAGGGGGTGTCGGCCGTTGGGGGATTCAATAGCCAATTGAGTCATCTTTCCAAGATTCCTTTTGAGTCTCTCTCCCCTCTCCCGGGGAGACCCACGTGACCAGTTTTGGCAGTGAGCAACAAGTACAAGTAAGTACAAGTGTGTGTGTGTGTGTGTGTGTGTGTGTGTGTGTGTGTGTGTGTGTGTGCGTGCATGCGTGTGTGTGTGTGTGGTCGTGTTTCTCTTTTTTTCTATCTTCACTTTAGTCCCACTCAGCTGCTGTTTCAGGCACACCACAGCGTTTGAAACGATCACTTGGTAAGTTGGCAAGTTGTGTTCAGTAATGCTTGTGGTTTAAGTTTTCATTTTAACCCAGGTGGCCAGGGTTGTAAAGCAGGTGGCCACCTGGGTTAAAGGGGAAGTTCACCCTAAAATGAAAACTTCACAACTGGCAGCGGAAATGCACTGGTTCCAATGGTGAAGGTCCAAGGTTGATCGGAGCAGCCTTTTCCGAGTTATAACAGCTTGAAGTGTTCACTAAATTTGGTGACATCATTTTGACGTCAGTAACTTGCCCAGACTAGGCCGGATTTATGACGTCAGAGAGATGGACTTTGTATGGAAGACGGGAAGTAGAACGCTTTAGGATTGAGGAAGATCAAAGCTGAACGGTTTCGGCAGCTGCCAAAGAAGACATAGACAGCGAGATAGACCCACACACACACACAGAGCCAGACAAGACAAGAGACGGAAAGCAAAACCACCAACATCTTGTTGCAAGTAGCGTGCTTTCACAACATTTTCGTAACCTGCCTAATCTAGAAATTAAGTTCTAACTATTGCCTGACTGCGGGCCCTGCAGACTGCAATAGAAAATGTGCACGATTACCAACATGCACTGCAATACTAATAGGAATCCATTTCGTTGATGGCCCTGGCGATTCCAAACATTTCAATGTCATGCTGTCTGCCCTGAGCTGAATGCATTTCACCTGTGTAATGGGGCTGGCCTCCTCTCTGGGTTCTAATACCTGCTGTCTTCCTGCTCGCTGTGCATCTTTCTTCCACAGTTCGCACATCGACACGCCTTCGCAGTTTGTTTGCTAGGACCGACACTAACTTTGATTCTGCCGTAAGTAGTGTTCGCCGCAAGATGGTGGAGAGGAGGTGGCGCGTTGCCTTTGATCTGTTGTGCTGTGACCGCTCCAGTTGAAATAATCTCTTCAACAATGTCTCTTCCCCCGTGTGCATGTACAATCAGCATAGCCTCCTTTGACACCATTTATGTTTTGCTGTCATCAGTCGGTTGCTACTCAACGTCTGACTTTGGAGCATACTTCCATGCATTTTGTCCTGCATTCCTGGCTGATTGTGTGCTGTAAGCTATGGCGGCTTGAAGACTGGTTTTGCAGTGCTTCCTTGGTTGCCAGTTCCTTGTTGAGTCTTATCTTGTGGCCGTGCTCTGTTGTCTATTCTATGTATGTTCTTGTAGGATGGCGGAATCAGTCCAGCGTTGATCGAAGCAGTAAGTCGGTTGTGTGTGGATGTATGTGTTCACTGTTTGGTAGCAATACAGCATGCCATGACCTTTTGCTCAGCCTGTGTGTAGGAAAGGGTGGGTGTGGGGGCTGGACATGCTGTTTGTTCTGTTCACTAACTTTGTGTTGTGTTCCGTGTGACTTGCATTGCTGGTATTTGTTTGGGAGACAGAATGCCCTCTTCGTTTTGTGTTATGCCTGTGTGAACTGTTTGTCCTGGTAAAAGATTTTCCGTACGCATATAAGTTATTTATGCCTCTGTCCGTGTCTTTTAGAGTTTGCGCGAGGACGATGCTGTGCTTCAAGAAATAGTGGATCTGAGTGGTCTGCAGATCGATCCAGCCCCCTTTCAGCTCGTTGAAAGCACCAATTTGTACAAGGTGTGTGTGGCTATGGGGTCAACTTTCTTCTATTCCTGATGCATTTTGTGCATGCATGTCTTCCGGTGCGTAACGTTTACGAGTGAAATGAGTGAACCGTTAAAAGAGAAGTTCACCCTAAAAAGAAAACTTCACAACCTGTAGCGAAAAATGCACTGATTCCGATGGTGAAGGTCCCAGGTTGATCGGAGCAGCCGTTCTGGAGTTGTACCTGCTTGAAGTTTGCACTAAATATGGTGACATCATGATGACGTCATTAACTGGCCCAGACCAGGCCGGATTTATGACGTCAGAGAGATAGACTTTGTATGGGAGTAGATAGGGGAAAAACCAATTTCTTTCTTATTTCTCTGCAACAGTGAATTTCATACTAGATTTTTTTCCAGTTGGGATGCCGGTAGGGTGCCATGTGTCCCATACCGAAGTTTGAAAAAGATCCGGTTTCTTTGGGGCAATGCAGAGCCAAAATACTGAAATTTCCCCTATCTACTCCCATACAAAGTCTATCTCTCTGACGTCATAAATCCGGCCTGGTCTGGGCAAGTTAACCCTTTGAGCACGCATGACGTATTAATACGTCACGTACAGTGCCACTGCACCCACGCATGACGTGTTATTACGTCGTGAGTGTACATAGCGTACAAACGCGATTTGCATGAACCGCGTGAGTTCAAACTATCGTAACTCGGTCAATTCTTGGCCGATTCTCCCGATCGAAATATGTATCTGCAAGAGAAAACTCTCAGCTTGCGATAGAAACAATCGCCGAAGCGATACGACCCCGGGTTGTTGAGATATGCGACTCGACACGGCAAATTCAAATCGATTTTTTGCGAACTCTGCAGAACGCGTATTTTCCATTTTCGATCATTTTCGCGCTATCTGCTGCCATGGAAACTAGATTCAAATGATGGCAGCGGATCTGGGGAGTCCTCAAAAAAATTTGAGCTCGATACGAGCAAGGAGAGTGAAATGGCAGCTGAGGATTTGATCTCCTGGCCGTGCTCAAGTCTGTCGAGCGCGTGGGTGAAGTTTGCCAGACTGTAGCATGGGCTTTTGGTGTCGCTCCGAGCTGAGCTTGGAACTATTTTGTTCCTCGCCTCAAGACCTTTGCAGGAAGCTCAAGATTGTGGAATTCGTCCAAAGAAAGGTAAAGTTATCGATCCTTGAACAGCTACTACTTTCATAGGAAAAACGCGATTTTTGCAGGTGTTGACGTGGGGCGGCATTCAGGTAGCGTCGTGCTCAAAAGGTTAATGACGTCATCATGATGTCACCAAATTTAGTGCAAACTTCAAACATGTATACTATATAAGCAGAAATATCCGTCTGGAATTTAATTTCGTCTTTTTCGTCCAAGAAACTTTTGGACTAAATTAAGTAATGCAATGAATATAACTAAATGCGCACTCATATCACAACCATGGGGACGAATCATGTATTCCAGAACGTTTTCTTGTCACAATTATCAATGGAATTCGTGACTAAAGAGAATGATGAAACTACAATAGGATTTATACACTTGCAGTGGAACAGCGAGGATACAAGCATAGTAAGAAAAATAGCACAAACCTAGGAACAATTTGCACAGGTAATAAACTATAGGTGAGGTGAGAAATGATAGGAAATTCAGCAAGTGCAGTGTGACAATGGACATGCATGTGTATTATTTATGTCCATTGTCACACTGCACTTGCTGAATTTCCTATCATTTCTCACCTCACCTATAGTTTATTACCTGTGCAAATTGTTCCTAGGTTTGTGCTATTTTTCTTACTATGCTTGTATCCTCGCTGTTCCACTGCAAGTGTATAAATCCTATTGTAGTTTCATCATTCTCTTTAGTCACGAATTCCATTGATAATTGTGACAAGAAAACGTTCTGGAATACATGATTCGTCCCCATGGTTGTGATATGAGTGCGCATTTAGTTATATTCATTGCATTATTAAGATTATTGTCTCCACGTCGCCTTTTTACTAAATTAAGTGCCGGGCTAATGTCGATTTGTCCAGCTATTCTATACATTATTATGATCCATGAACGAAATTTTCAACCGGACGAACTCCCTTTCTTAGGAGTTGGATGAAATTTTGACCGACGAAATTGTCTGCCTCTACAGTAACTCGGGAACGGCTGCTCTGGTCAACCTGGGACCTTCACCATTGGAATCAGTGCATTCTTTGCTACAGGTTGTGAAGTTTTCATTTTAGGGTGAACTTCCCCTTTGAAGCTTTCGAGTGTGCCATCTGTATACTGATCTGTACAGTAGTGGTCGGTGAAGTGTAGACTCATCCTCTGGGCTCTGGCACAGCACTGGGACCTTGCATGCAAGTGCGGCACACATGTACTGTGATGCAGTGCGCCGGGTGCAGTACTCAAGGCCGATCTTGCGCTCCATTGTCCACTACTGTATATGGGCATGTGGGCTTTCTGCTTTGTGTTTACAGTTTTACACGTGCCCTGTGCTTGTAGCGGCAGTCCTTGCCGCTTCTATCCTATAACCTTAAGCACTTTTCATTAGTATCATCATTGCTGTCTGAGGAATGGTGGATAGCCGTGAAACTGCGAGTTACAGCTTAATTCAGCCTAGTCCCATTGCTAGCTTGTGTCCTGTGCTTGCGTTGCATTAGTGCAGTATGCAAACTTCAATTTCCCAAGCGTGCTGCTGGTCCTTCATTTTATATACGCAAGGTTCGTAGCACCCTTCAAAACCCTTGAAAACCCTGAAAAATTTTCTTCCCCCGGGAACTCCCTGAAATCCCCTCAAATTTTGTATTTTATAAAAATTTCCCTTGAATCCCCTGAAATTTGTTATAATACGCGTGTTTGTATCCAGGTGCACACCCTCTTCTCTCTGATTGGACTGACTCATTCCTACGTAACTAAAGTTGGACGCCTGGTCGGTGTGGTCACTTTAGACGAGGTAAGTTATGTCTTTGCCTGTACGTGTGTTCCATCCTGCTCTGTACACAGTCGTATGCACCCAGTTGCCGTAAATCCACAAATCTTAGCGACAAGTATAACTCAGCGCGTTCATGGTGTCAACGTTTCAGCGGTGATATAATTTAGCGGTCATACGGCTTTTGCTATTTTTTTGCTGAAAATACCTGTAGTGTGGGAACTCGAGTATACATACACCTGCTTGTGCTGTGCATTGTTGCCATCTTTTGTGGCATCAGTGGCCCATCCAGTATGTCCACATGTACAGTCAACTTCGCTAATAACGACTGCGGATATCACGACAATTCGCGAATAACGACAGGATTCCCATGCCCAGAGCAAAGTCCCACCCAACTGTGATACATACCGGCTGGACAGGAGACTGCGCTCTTGAACATTATCCTTTCGAATTGTCACATGTGGTCACATGTTGCACGTTGGTACTATTTAGTGTATTGTAGTTACGAATTGTGTACAGAACTATCACATGCTGCAAGGGCAGTATTGTCAAGACATGCTAGGTCGCTTGCAATATTGGTGCGGTGCGTATTACTGCTATGCATTTCGCGAGTGTCATATTTATTTGTTAGTCTGTTAGAATTACATCACGAGTGCATATCTGTAACGTTTACGTCGAGACACATTTTATGATACAGTAATCGCTATGCGTGTGCGTACCACGACATGTTCACGAGCGGAATATCTTGTGAATTGTGCTAATATTTATTATGTAAGTAGAATTGTTGACACACTAATTGGTTGCAATGTACATGTACTTACTCGTACTTGATCCGTTGCATTATCGCCATCCGCGGCAACTCCGCTACGATCTACTTGGCGAAACTTACTCTCGCTGACAGGGTGTGCTGTCACCCTGTCGCTGGGTGCAAGCACCCCTTGACAGACACTGTTTTCACCTCCGTATTATAAATCAACAATTCTTTATTCTTTCACTTCAGCAGATTGTGAGTTTCTGTTTGTTCTGCATTCAAATTATTGTGAAGAAAGGAAAGAATAAATAACTATATTGGCTCACCATCCGAGTTTAATAAAATTCAAATTATTGCTTTTCTTTTCGTTGCACCTGCACTCCGCGCTGCACGCGGACTTTGGCAGTCGACATATTTAGTATCTCTATGGCTACGATACGAGAATTGCCAGTTGGCATCTGACAGAGATGCCTGGCAGTCGCACTGTGCATCTACTGCTTACACAGCTGCATAATGCCGTTTATTATTATTATTATTATTTTTTTTTTAAATTTCGGCAACGCAGATGATGATGGCTACGATGATTGATGCATTTTCTGTACGCTGCATTTTCTCTCTATGCCACGTACATGTACATCGTTGTGTGCATGCATGCGGCGCAAGCCAAATGCACGCACGCTGCACGTTTTGCTCAGGACAGCGATTTGGCGATCGTTGTTCGGTGTGTTCTTTGGTGTTCTTGTTGAAACGAGTGGTAATGTCGATTAAAGGAGTTTCTGGGTTTTTGTGGTCTGCCTGACGATGGTTAGTTGCGGGACTAAGTCGCACCGCAACACCGGTATATTGAGACTTCGGGTATAATGACAATTCGTGAAGAAGGACACTTTTCTGATGCCCCGCCGCCGAGTGTAGTTGCCGAGTGTAGTTGAGTGTAGTCGAGTGTAGTTGAGTGTAGTCGAGTGTAGTCGAGTGTAGTCGAGTGTAGTCGAGTGTAGTTGAGTGTAGTCGAGTGTAGTCGAGTGTAGTTGAGTGTAGTTGAGTGTAGTCGAGTGTAGTTGAGTGTAGTTGAGTGTAGTTGTCGAGTGTAGTTGAGTGTAGTCGAGTGTAGTCGAGTGTAGTCGAGTGTAGTCGAGTGTAGTCGAGTGTAGTTGAGTGTAGTTGAGTGTAGTTGAGTGTAGTCGAGTGTAGTTGTCGAGTGTAGTTGAGTGTAGTTGTCGAGTGTAGTTGAGTGTAGTTGAGTGTAGTTGTCGAGTGTAGTTGTCGAGTGTAGTTGTCGAGTGTAGTTGTCGAGTGTAGTTGTCGAGTGTAGTTGAGTGTAGTTGAGTGTAGTTGAGTGTAGTTGTCGAGTGTAGTTGTCGAGTGTAGTTGAGTGTAGTTGAGTGTAGTTGAGTGTAGTTGAGTGTAGTTGTCGAGTGTAGTTGAGTGTAGTTGTCGAGTGTAGTTGTCGAGTGTAGTTGTCGAGTGTAGTTGTCGAGTGTAGTTGTCGAGTGTAGTTGTCGAGTGTAGTTGTCGAGTGTAGTTGTCGAGTGTAGTTGAGTGTAGTTGAGTGTAGTTGAGTGTAGTTGAGTGTAGTTGAGTGTAGTTGAGTGTAGTTGTCGAGTGTAGTTGAGTGTAGTTGTCGAGTGTAGTTGAGTGTAGTTGAGTGTAGTTGTCGAGTGTAGTTGAGTGTAGTTGTCGAGTGTAGTTGTCGAGTGTAGCTGTCGAGTGTAGTTGAGTGTAGTTGTCGAGTGTAGTTGTCGAGTGTAGTTGTCGAGTGTAGTTGTCGAGTGTAGTCGAGTGTAGTTGTCGAGTGTAGTTGTCGAGTGTAGTTGTCGAGTGTAGTAGTGGAGTGTAGTTGTCGAGTGTAGTTGTCGAGTGTAGTCGAGTGTAGTTGTCGAGTGTAGTCGAGTGTAGTTGTCGAGTGTAGTTGTCGAGTGTAGTTGTCGAGTGTAGTTGTCGAGTGTAGTTGTCGAGTGTAGTTGTCGAGTGTAGTCGAGTGTAGTTGTCGAGTGTAGTTGTCGAGTGTAGTTGTCGAGTGCAGTTGTCGAGTGTAGTTGTCGAGTGTAGTTGTCGAGTGTAGTCGAGTGTAGTTGTCGAGTGTAGTTGTTGAGTGTAGTTGTCGAGTGTAGTTGAGTGTAGTTGAGTGTAGTTGAGTGTAGTTGTCAAGTGTAGTTGAGTGTAGTTGTCGAGTGTAGTTGTCGAGTGTAGTTGTTGAGTGTAGTTGTCGAGTGTAGTTGAGTGTAGTTGAGTGTAGTTGAGTGTAGTTGAGTGTAGTTGTCGAGTGTAGTTGTCGAGTGTAGTTGTCGAGTGTAGTCGAGTGTAGTTGTCGAGTGTAGTCGAGTGTAGTTGTCGAGTGTAGTTGTCGAGTGTAGTTGTCGAGTGTAGTTGTTGAGTGTAGTTGTCGAGTGTAGTTGAGTGTAGTTGAGTGTAGTTGAGTGTAGTTGTCGAGTGTAGTTGAGTGTAGTTGTCGAGTGTAGTTGTCGAGTGTAGTTGTCGAGTGTAGTCGAGTGTAGTTGTCGAGTGTAGTCGAGTGTAGTTGTCGAGTGTAGTTGTCGAGTGTAGTTGTCGAGTGTAGTTGTCGAGTGTAGTTGTCGAGTGTAGTTGTCGAGTGTAGTTGTCGAGTGTAGTTGTCGAGTGTAGTTGTCGAGTGTAGTTGTCGAGTGTAGTCGAGTGTAGTCGAGTGTAGTTGTCGAGTGTAGTTGTTGAGTGTAGTTGTCGAGTGTAGTTGAGTGTAGTTGAGTGTAGTTGAGTGTAGTTGAGTGTAGTTGTCGAGTGTAGTTGAGTGTAGTTGTCGAGTGTAGTTGTCGAGTGTAGTTGTTGAGTGTAGTTGTCGAGTGTAGTTGAGTGTAGTTGAGTGTAGTTGAGTGTAGTTGTCGAGTGTAGTTGAGTGTAGTTGGCGAGTGTAGTTGAGTGTAGTTGAGTGTAGTTGTCGAGTGTAGTTGAGTGTAGTTGTTGAGTGTAGTTGTCGAGTGTAGTTGTCGAGTGTAGTTGTCGAGTGTAGTTGTTGAGTGTAGTTGAGTGTAGTTGTTGAGTGTAGTTGTTGAGTGTAGTTGTCGAGTGTAGTTGTCGAGTGTAGTTGTTGAGTGTAGTTGAGTGTAGTTGTTGAGTGTAGTTGTTGAGTGTAGTTGTTGAGTGTAGTTGTTGAGTGTAGTTGTCGAGTGTAGTTGTCGAGTGTAGTTGAGTGTAGTTGAGTGTAGTTGTCGAGTGTAGTTGTCGAGTGTAGTTGAGTGTAGTTGAGTGTAGTTGTCGAGTGTAGTTGAGTGTAGTTGTCGAGTGTAGTTGGAAGCGAAGTTGACTGTACATGTAGCCTATGAGTTGTTCTTTCAGCACATCCAACACTTGCCTCTGATATGCATTTGTCAGGACTGGTTTTGTACTTTGTAGTGCTTGTTTAACTGTGCATGTGTTTGTTTGTTTGTCTTTGTGTCTGGTAGCTTGCTAGATCTGTAATATCAGCACACCGCAGTGCACCTTTTCAAGCACTTTCCGCCGCCGGAACCTCATCATCATCAACAAGCAGCATCGAACTGCAAGCATTGACTGCGAATGCAGCGAGCACCAGCGCCTCAGATCGGTAGTTGTGAATCTGTCTTTTTGTCTGTCTGTCTCTCTCTCTCTCTCTCTCTCTCTCTCTCTCTCTCTCTCTCTCTCTCTCTCTCTCTCTCTCACACACACACACACACACACACACACACACACACACACACACACACACACACACACACACACACACTCTCTCTCTCTCTCTCTCTCTCTCAAACTCTCTCTCTCTCAAACTCTCAAACTCTCTTCCATATCTTGTCTAATGGTACACCCAGTATTCAGTAATATGTGTGTACTGTGCTGCCCAGGTGAAAGCCAGACTGAGCTTGACTGGTTGAACTTGATCTAAACATTTATTTTCGTTTCCTCGTATTGACATAAGTTGGTATTTGTACAAACTAGGAACTCCTTTGCCTGCCAGATGGCCATGGTGCACTGTATCCTCTCTACTGGTCTGAGTTTCCAGTAACGCTTTTTGCAATTCTATAATACTTCTCCACGCTGCTGAATTCATGCTATGCCCCCTTTGACAACTGCTCTCCTTCTCATTTGCGCATGTACCTATGAAAGCCATGTGATCATACATGCATCCATGCACACTATCCATAAATTTAAAATTGGTTTGAATCTGGCATTCAAAGTTTGTACTGGCGGAGCATGGCATAACGTAACAGTCGCCAGTTATGATCAATTTGTGCCTGTTGTTGAGCAACGGCTGCCTGTTTTAATGTTGGCTAACCCCCCTCCCCCTCCCCCCCCCCCTTTCTCTCTCTCTCTCTCTCTCTCTCTCTCTCTCTCTCTCTCTCTCTCTCTCTCTCTCTCTCTCTCTCTCTCTCTCTCTCTCTCTCTCTCACACACACACACACACACGCACGCACGCACGCACGCAAGCGCACACTCATTCTTTCTCACTTTCATCATATGAAATCGATACTGTTCGTACTCGACCGTTTTGCCATGAATGTTCATACGAATAACAGCTTGCTCCCTTCTGTATCTATAGTACTTCAACATATTGTTTTATAAGACGACAATACCTATGACAATACGCTGTTACTAGTGTTAGGGATTTCACCAATGTTCTACATTTTAGTAGTGTTCAAAGTTTTCTGAAGTATTAAACAATGCCGAAAATCTTACTGCTTGAGTGAGTGGAATTGTATGTGTCATTCAAGACCTCCTCCTGGTCATGGCATTTGGTATGTGTGTATGCCAAGCGAATGGTGCTATACTGTACCCTTGCACTCTTGTTGCACTTTAACAAGTTTTTGCAACGTTACAACGACTCTGGCACCATGACAGCACGGCTTATAAGTTATACGGGGTAACATTCACCAGGTTATTTCCTGTAACATGCCGAAATATGCCTGGAGCATTATAATCTTCATCCAGCATCGTACGGTTATGCCGACCGTCTGGTCTCAGAAATCCCTTTATGCCACGGCATATTTTTTAGACAAATCCGAAGCTTATGCCAGCATAATCCGCCAAGGGCTATTGCTCCCCATGTGGGAGCTCGTGCTTTTCCTGCCGACTTGAATTCTCACTTGACTAATTGGACTATCAAACACGACGAAGAGAAGAAAAATGGTTGAGAAATCTGGCTTTAAGTTCGATGGAGAGTGTGATAATTCTGGAGAAAGCAGCATCCAGGACTTAGCTCATCATTAGTTGGAAGCAGGGAGCAGTAAAACACCAAAATCACTACTCCCTGGTTGGAGGTTTGTCATTCACTGATTGATCTTAGCGTCGAATGTGGGGCTAAATTAGATTTCATGCTTCCCCACCTTATTGCGGATCAAATAATACGCATGAAAGGACCAACATATTGTGCATGTCCTTTTGTGAGGTCTGTCGCATTGAAGGATGATGGTACTGCCTACTGGGTACAAGAAGAGAGTACAGATTGGGAAGGGGGGGGGGGGGGGGGGGAGGAGGGACTACTATGAACAGGGTAGCGGCATGCAAGCGAGTAGACCTGAATTAAAGTGAATACTTACACTTGGTCTTTTACAGGAATGTTTGCGCAGCTCTTTCTTGAAAGTCATAAGTCATAATCCTGGCTACGCCCCTGGCATAAGAAATGCATGCCTGACGTCGCCGTCATCTTGTCATCGTCGGAGATCGAGAGTGTACTGACTGTGTAGTGTATGTAGTGCAGTGGTTGATTGGGACGCTACACTAGCCTAGGCTTATTAGCTACAGTCTTAGTCACTCTTACTAGTCTTAGTACTAGTACTAGTGACCAAGCCTGAGTCCATTATCATGATTATGGACTCTTGGTAGGACTAGTACTAGTAGAGTCTAGACTAGTACTAGTACTAGTAGTACAAGTACGACGACGACTCCCTGCCTAGCGCCTATCAGTATCACACCACTGGTCTTCTCCTCTTGCGGCGGAATGGGTCCAGAGGCAGACATCGTCGTCAAGCGGATTGCTGATGCTCTGGCTTCTAAGCGCAAGGAGAGCTACAGCAAAGTCGTTTGCTGGATGCGCTGCTGCTTGGCTTTCTCTCTTGCTAGGTCTGCGATCCGGTGCGTTCGAGGATCACGCTCCGTTCGCCGCCGTCACATCAACCTTGTGCCTGTCGACCTCGTCCAGGCTGAGGCTCGCCTTGCTACGCATTAGACTTACTGTCTTCACAGCCATTTTAGCTCCCTCTGACTGTTTTCACCGTATCTTCCTCCGTATAAGACTGTTTTCACAGCCAAAAAAAAAAAAAATCAGTATCACAGTCAGGGAGTCGTAAAATACCGGTATTTTACGACTCCCTGATTCACAGTACTGTATCACTCAGCGGATCAGCCATTTTTTGGCTGTGGTTACCATGGGGGTTGACCCCCGCCGGGTGGCCGTCCGTACCGTACAAAATGTACGGTAGGTAGTAGCGTGATCCATGCTTGGTTTCTTTCTGGCGTTTTGCTGACTGAAACTGTAGTCTGTACTTTGTGAAGTTGAAATGCTTTTCAGTAAATATTTGTCTCAACCAAGAAGGGCTTGAGCTCTCTCAACGTACCTGTTAGTGTTGTTGAAGGCGTGTGGCCATGGCCAGCCCGGCCATACTGCCGGCTGTTCGCCACTGGCCGGATGACTTCCACTCTATTTTTGTAGATTGGGCGAAAAGGTATGGAGTGTGTGAAAGCGGGCGTGCCTATCTTGAAAATGGATTTATCTCAACTTTGGAATTTTTGAATCTGGACCTTCAGCGCTCAAGAGCCGAAAGAAGATGAAGGGAAGAAGAAAAAGGATGACAAGAAAAAGAAAAAGAAGAAAGTGATCAAGGCAACCAAGAAAGGAAAGGACAATGGCAAGGAACAAAAAGTGAGATTCAGATCGTATAAATACATTGCAAGTATTTGCAACGAAAACTCACATCACTCATGACGGCGTCATACTTGTACTTTTATCCCTTTCGTGATAAATCTACATGTTGAGCATTAGCACTAGGTTCAATTAGAGCGTGTAGCAGTCAAAATAACTTTATTTTCAAGATACGTAGCAAAATTTGGCTTGTGTGCAACACTGGCTCACACTCAATCACTGCTTTTCACAAATTCATTTCAGAAAAAATTGAGTGTGAGCCAGTGTTGCTCACAAGCCAAATTTTACTTATGAAGCTGCGTGATGCGTCCTACAGGATTTTAAAAAAGATACATAGCGTTAAGGAAATTTTAATGGTCGTTTGTTCTAGGGCTGAGTCGGGTAGCATTTTCTTCGGGTATCGGGTTCGGGTAGTTTTCCACGGGTAGCACGGGTACCCGATCGGGTAATGTTTCCATAGTAACACCACAATGCACCCCTGGCCTTACACACTGGGTAGACATGCGGAGTATTACATGAATTTGTACACGTGCACTGTACATGATATCATCTGCGACTTCGGGTTTTCGGGTACTATTCTGTACCCGTCTACCCGAGGTCCTCACGGGTAGCGGTACCAGACTACCCGTGCACACCACTATTTTGTTCTGTCTGAAAAATTTCCAAACGCTGACATAATATACTACTACAGTCCATTCATAAAAAGATGGGCCCTGGCTCCGGTGAGCTCCCGTATTTGGCGATTTTTCGTTATTTCATCGTACACAGTGCAGTGCTGCAAGATTTGAAATTTGAAAAAGGGTCCAAAAAGGGTACCTGAACTGGGGTTTCGAACCACACAATGCACTGTTGCAGGCGGGGTCAAACACCCTGGATTTTTATGGTTTTTCCCAATTCAGTGCATTTGGGGCAAAACCTGGCCGAAATCCTATTCTTGTTATGGCTTGCTTTTTGGACAAAAAAACTTCAGAAACACAATTGGAAGAGGATTCCATAGGGGATTGCAGAAAAAAATTGTAAAAAAACTCAAAGTTTGACCCATTTATGGCCAAAAGCTAGAAGTCCATCTTTTTCTGAATGGACTGTAGGCAGGGTTAATTTAGTCAATCGAGGACAATTGAGAAACCTGATTTTTGCGACCAATCTGGTGGTGTATCTCACTTGTGCCTCGTGAAATGCTTTCGTTGTGTTGAACCAGCATGCCTGACTTGTTCCCATGAAACGATACAGCACACACAGCATGACACACACACCACACATTCACACACACACTAAACACACATGCACACACACTAAACACACTAAACACACACCTTGAACGTGCCCATTGCTGATGGCAATGATAGCGAAGGGACTATCTGCTAGCTTTGCGGTACGGAGCGTGGCGCTTGAGATCCCCCGGACAACGGCAGACCTTTCCACATGCGCAGCGGTAGCCAGAGTCAGGATCAGGGGGAGCACGGGCGGGAGGACAACGGTGAGCAATCTGCCTCCAGGCAGAGCGATCTTGGGCAGCAGCAAACCAGCAGTCAGAAGGCACGGGGGGGGGGGGGGGGGCTGATGGAGCAGAGGTCATCTATGATGACGTCACGCCACCGCTTGCGTGGACCATGGCGAGGGCGTGTTGCAGGGAGCTCCCCAAACAAAACTCGCTTCGGCATACGGTCGTCGGTCATCCGGCCAACATGTCCAAGCTAACGCAGTCGATACTCTTGGATGATGTCCGCGACATCACAATCAATGCCGACGGTTCTGGCCATGGTAATGGAGGTGACGCGGTTGTCCCACTGGTCCCGTTTGGAGATGCCAACGATGATGCAAACACACTGGTAATGAAACACGTTGAGAGAACGCAGGTCTAGTGCCTTTGGCATCCACGTCTCTCCTCCGTACAGGAGGGTCGTCAGTACAAGGGCGATGTATACGCGGCGCCGGCAGCGGAGAGATAACAACCGATTCTCGAACACCGAGACACTTGGACCGCACACGAAACGAACAATTCCGTGCATCGATCGAAAGCCGGCTTAGTGGTGTCATACACTGCAGCATCGTCCGCAAACTGAGACTGTGACGATATCACGCTGCACGCGGGACTTGGCAGTGCGGTCTCCAACCAACTTCCGGCCAACTCGGTAGTGCAGCTCCACACCCTTGATGCGGACCTTCACCTCCATCGACACGTGCAAGGACTTGATGATGCTGAGCATCCTTGCGGGGACACCAAACTTCTGAAGCAAACACCACAGCGCTGGACGAGGGATCGAGTCGTATGCCTTTCGCAGATCGACACACACACACACACACACACACACACACACACACACACACACACACACACACACACACACACACACACACACACACACACCGTGACAGGCCTGCCACGAGGAGAAACACAAACACTTACTACCTCCTTAAATATAGCTTAGGCCAAGTAAAAAAAAAAGCTAGATGATCGTCCCCGTCCGCCCCAGTTTTTGTCAGCGCCCCAAGAAATATTTTATTTTTTAAATCGTGAGTTTTTGCCGAAATCGTTGGTTTTTTACCGATCGCGGATGCAGGAAACATGTGCACGCGTTTTCCGTGACGAACTTACTTTGTCAAAAGTAAATTGTTGGTAGTTGCTTCGCGATGTCGAAGTTCTTGACTCTGTTCCAGCTTGACGCAGATCTGTAGAGTGAGTTGTTGTCCTCTGTTTCGAATCATCTGGTGCTGTCGTTGCGATGCCCTTCGTTCTCTTGCAAATTCGTGCTGCAACGAAAGTGTTGAAGTCGTGGTATGGCTGCGTCGTTCCTGCCGATGCAACAGTTGCTGATGCGTGTTGAATGTTGAGCCAAGTGTGTGCATCATCTACACTGTCTCTACTGCAACTGCTCTTTGTTTAATACTTTCTTTACTATATGGACCACATACTACTAGTATATCACAACGTCAGTATCGATCTGCTGAAGAAAGAAAAAGAAAAAAAGAAAAAAAAAGAAAAAAAGAGAAAAAAAACCTTGATGTTGTTGTGTACACTGTGTGCATGAGAGGGTAAAAAGTAAAAAAATAAAAATAAAATCCTCCCGCCCTCCCCGATTTTTCCAAAAAAAAGGACGATCATCTAGTAATTTTTTTTACTCGGCCTTAGCAAGGTTTTTGTATGATCACCATTCTCAATGGACCAAGATTTATTTCACGGAGGAAGTACGTAGCTATCAAGCTCCCACTCCTTCCCCATTGGAACCATATCCAGCCTCGAATAAGGGCTGACTGCTCAAGCGGAATATTATTATGAGTGAAGCTATTTGAAAACATTCTGAAATACATCTATACTAGTCTGTTGTAGATTTGCCAATAGAAATAGTTTCACAAATATTTTACGATCACAACAATTATTACTTACCTTCTACTTCAAGTTGTTCCAGTAAGTCTTGTAGTATTCAACAAATGGAAAAATGCTTTCAGTCTAGCAGTGCTCTGAATGCCTTGTCCATTTGCAGCTGCTTACATATTCCTCCGTAATGCACTAATCTAGAAAACTCCTTCGTTCACATGAACTGCTTTTCTTACATAAATTATTTCGAAGCTACTGCAAGCTACATTCTAACGAACTGAATTCTGAGCAGGCGCGCGTCAGATTCTGTACACATAATTTTACCAACAGAGCTTCTAGATCGCTAAAGCTTCTGTCACCATTCTGTTTAAAATAACGATGTTCACATTCGCGGTACAATACTATTGTCCCGCTATTATTATTGCGCTACTATTGTGGCGCTTCTATTGTTCCGCTTCTATTGTCCCGCTTCTAGAAGCAATTATAAGCGCTTGATTCTCTTCATTCTAATCATCCTTCAACCACTCCAGCTAAGCCTTCCAGGCTCATGGTAATATAAGCTTGGATCCATTGTAACCATGTGTTCTCTATTTGAACTTGTTTGATCTCTGACTCGAGTAAAGTCAGGATTACAACATAGCCTAAATGCACAAAAATGTACCTCAACAGCATTGTCTGATTGGCAAGAAAGGCTCCCCGCGAAGGTGGCTGCTGCATATCCCCCCCCCCCCCCCCCCCGTTACATTTTCATATAGCTTCTTTTCTGGTGTGACGAACTGCAGTGTTATGTTGTGATTCTGTGAGAATTTTGATTCTGGATTCTGTATTTGTTCGTTGTGAAAGCAGGATGGTCCGAGGAGATATGCGCCAAGTGCACCAGACCTTGTGATTTCTTCCAACCCATCAGACTTCACTCTCTTTGCGAAGGTAACGGGCACTGTGTTGTTGTTGCTGTGATCAATGTGTGCATGCATAGCAGTTGCATGTCGTCGAGTGTCGGAACTTCAGTTTCGGCTAACTCTCATTGTCTGATCTTGCCCAATTAACACTTATTTGTAATGTTTAAATCGAACATGGATTCTTCGAACGAATAATCTATCGAATAAGTCCACCCTTCATCGAACGAATAATCTATATTCTATTATACTTCAAAAACGCATGATGGAATTTTTCAACACTTTTTCAGCAAGGAATTGAAGTATTTTTATTTATACAGTCGTGAACGGTACCATTTGACTGTTCAATAATTCAACAATCTCTACTCCTCTAAGTAGTTTTGAAACGAATAATCGAATAATTTAGAATTTGTGGGTTGAACGAATGATCGAATAATCGTAGGAATTGGCAGAAATCGAAAAAAAGAAAGAAAGAAAAAACTAGGGGTCAAACGGGTGTACCGGGTACCCGGGTACCCGCCCGTTAATCTCAGGTACCGTTAGTAAAAGGGTACCCGTTTGTAAAAAAAAAAAAAAAAAAAAAAAAAAGGTGATCCTATCGTATGCCAAGACTCAAAATAGGAGTGCGGATACTCTTTTCCTTTTTCCTGTGCATTCCCGCTTTCGACTTTAGACTTTATCAGGCAGGAGCAGGCTGAAAGACAGACTTGACAGTTGTTCTCTCCACTCTAGTGCAAGTAAAAATCCTCGTACTGGAGGTTTTTGATTGTGATGTGAGAAAATGCAAGACTTGAAACTCGTTCCAGGTGGCAGCTGAGTAACTAGAAAGTTACGATGGTTCTCCGACATCGAACCTGCCACAGTACTTGATGAACTAGTGTCACCAGGCTGAGTGACCAGTCGGAGTGTCACAAACGGTGATGTCCGTAGGTGGTAGCTACATGTATGATACTCATGGTTGTAGTTTGTTCCTTCAATCGACGAGCTGAAAAGTAGTTCGAAATATTGCATACAAGATTACGGATTTGTGAAGATTCATTTCACGAGTTCAACAAGCTAGCACTAGCAGCTAGCTGGCCAGCAGCACATCAGCTGTGTTAGGCACCCCAGCTAGCTATGGGCGCGAACATCTTCTGAATGCAACGAGTACCAGTTCTCTGCGAACATAGCAAATAGGATTGCGCGAGATCACGTGGCTTGAATCACATCGATCTGCAGTTGATTTGCGTACATGTATCAAAATACATGTAGCTTGTAGCCAATGTAGGACCATCTACATGTACGATTGTAAGTTACTGCCTGTGAAGTTATGTACATGGGCAAATGCACGGATGACATTCATTTGGAACCTTCATTGCCATAATAATATTATGATACACGAATCAATTGCGAATCATAATGTAGTATCAAAATACAACCTGAGAATATACAAATTAAAATCATGATTTATGTGAGAAATCCGCAAAAAAATAATATGGCTGCTAAAGGGTACCCGTTAACCTGCCCGTTAAGAAAATTACCCGTTCGTTAGTTAAAGGTACACCCGTTTGACCCCTAGAAAAAACCCTTGTCTAGCTCAGTGCTGACCCTGCTGATGTTGGCACTGTGTAGATCTGCTCGTAGTTTTTCTTCTCGATCTCCTCTCCTCCGAGTGTTAATCTCCTATCTAGTATTTACTTCTGTTCTTTCCACATGGTGCTCTTGCTGTGTGCACCCGGTAGTTGCCAGTGCATATACCGGTATTGCATATGCGCTTGTGACCTCAACAATACAAAACCCGATAATCTTATTGGTGTGTGTAATGGCCACCGAGGGTAGCCATGTGTCGACTGAGAGCGCATGGAGGAGGTTTTGTATTGTTGAGGTCACACGCGCACATGCAATACCGGTACGTGCACTGGCAACTACCGGGTGCACACAGCAAGAGCACCATGTGGAAAGAAGAGAAGTAAATACTAGATAGGAGATCAACACTCGGAGGAGAGGAGATTGAGAAGAAAAACTACGAGCAGACCTACACAGTGCAAACATCAGCAGGGTCAGCACTGAGCTAGACGATTTTTTTCCTCGATTTCTGCCAATTCCTACGATTATTCGATCATTCGTTCAACCCACGAATTTTCTAAATTATTCGATTATTCGTTTCAACACTACTTATTTGTGAGCTAACCTGAATAAACGGATGGCCTTATGTATGTAGTATGTATCTTATCTTCTGGGGCCTAGTCCGTATTTTCATTTCCGAATAATCGGCCTGAAATTGCCCTGTGGCGCCAGCATCCTAAACAGTAAGCAGGGTCATCATTTACTCATGCAGATATTCGATTTTGTGGCAAGTTGTTGTGCTAAGGATGTGTCGCTCCACGTTTGTTTGTTGTTATTCCTGTCCAGGTTCGCCAGGCAGTCCTTGATGATTTACTTGAGCGCAACCGCTGTGCCATTTCGGGCATCGAGGCGGGTCCGGATGATGACGAGTCCAGTGACGACGAAAAGCCCGAAGCAGCAGAGTTGACAGTACCAAAGGTAACCTCATGAATCGACTGCACATTTGTGCATGTATTTGCTATGCGATAAGGAAAGTGTGCAAGGTTGGGTGGGGAGTGCACATATTCGAGTATCGATTATCTGAGCCCTTCTGGGCAATTACATTTATCGCCCCTCCCCCCGAGACACACACATCATAGCACTGTAGAATGGGGTTGCATTTTTGTTGTTTTGCCATGTGATTATGCAATCACCATTGTGAAATGAGGGTTGCCTGCTGCTCCTCGTTGATAGTATTGAAAAAAAAATCAAGCCCATCTGCTGCTGCTAGCTGCCAGAACTGATGCTGACACTGCGATCGCCACCTCCAACTGCTGAGGTGCCTCGTGCCTGTAGGCTGTGTAGCACCACCACAGCTTGGTCCGCCCTGCGTTGCCCCGGCATCGTACTCTCGTACACAGGCCATGCTGCCGCATTCTCGCGTGGTGGCCTTCGTGAGTACGTCTTACACCATTTGCGTATGCCACGCGCTGGGCCTCTCTTTTCTGTCTTCCTGCCCGCGGCCCACCTTACCTAGTGAGCTCTCGCGCCTTATTTTCCATATAAGCATGGTGGTGTCTGTTATCGTGGGTCCGATAGCCCCCGGGGACTTCGCCTTTTCCATACGTGATATGCATTTCTCCGCCATACCGCCTGTCTCTGCCTGGCACTGTACTAGTCCTTACCCCGTACCGCCTTGTTGCAGTTTTATCTTGCATGCTCGGTTAGTACTAATACTACTATGCGTTGGCTGAGACTTAGTACGCGCGCCGCGGCTGGAGCCCTTTCGTGCCACGAAAGGACCTGCTTCCTAATATAGAGACTGGGCGCCATGCCCGCGCCCTGTCTGCCGTAATCCTTGCATTAATACTCCTAGCGCTACAACCTTCATGCAAATATGGGGTAGTCTCGCCTGTGGGCGTACTAGTGCTCCTGGTGCAACCTGGGCTTTCTACTAGTACGGATGCCTGCCATTGCATGCCAGACACCCCCATTGTTGCGCCTAGCCACGCGCGTGGCTTTTGCCTGCTGCTCGGTTGTCCGCGATAACTACGGTTTGCCGTACGCTGCAAACCTACATTTTTGGAGGTATTTGGGATAAGGGAAATATTCGAATCATGCAAGAGTCTTCTGTGCACAGACAGTGTATGGTGGAAAGTATACGTAGCAGTCTTAGTACACTCTGGTTCTAGTCAGCCCTCTCACAGCAGTCACTGTCCCTAATACCAGTCCTACAGTCGCAAACCCTCCGATGATTCAGTCACCAGTCACAAACAAGTGCCGGAAAGCCACAAGCAAGCCACCAGCTATACCAGTCGTGCAGTAACGAATCCTCTGACGCCAGTCACAAAAGGCAGGACTCAGGGACTCAAGAATTTCAGACACCAGATTGTTTTCGTAGTTATTTAAACTTGTTAGATATGTTGTACTAGTACTCTACATTACGGTATGTGGAGAATCCCTTGATCACTCTTCGCGTCCGCGTAACGTATAAGAAACCTATTCTACGTTCACTCAAAGAAATCACGGGATGTGTACTGGGAAGTTTCTGTTGCAAAATTTGGCAGTTTGTTTCCTAGCTCGAATGATAAGCAGCAGATCTGTACACATTTTCTCTGCGTGTACCACACACAACATAGTGAACCTCATCTCCGCGTAGAAGTCTGGACCCGAAACACTGGAAGCCGTAGACTTTAACCCACTGGTCAGGCACCTGCTCTTTGCGTGATTTCTCTACATTTCACATGAAGCGAAACCTCTCTATTTTCACAGCCAGGAGCATTGTTGTCAGAATGCAGCTCATAGTTCAGTTGGAAGTCACCCGGGTAAAGAACAGCAGGTCTCATGCCTCAAGTTTATGTTGTTTGAATTGGAAGTGCAAGATGTTCTAGCATCTCTTTTGTGTGTATGCGTATTGTGTTGTTGTTGTGCGCATAGGTGGTAGGTCTGGGCATCTGCGGTGTGTTTGAGCTGATCAAGGATGCTCGTGCGTATCACCCTGCACTATGTGCGCGAGCTCTGACAGCACTGCTCAATGTGCTGCAAGGACAGGAGCCTGAAGGATTACACGCCGAGTCGTCAAAGTCTCTTGGTCAGTTTTGCTTACTGCAGTAGAGGTTGTTGTCGCACCCATCGTCATGTGTGTTTTCTGGAATAGTTGGGAAAGTACTACCATAGTCGCATGCATGGAAGAACTTACTCTTTTTTTGGCTGAAATGCTTTTGCCTTTGCAACTGGGCATGGTTTCCTGAGTTCATTAATGTGTTCTTCTTACACCAGCTAAGTCGCTAGTTACTTTCGAAAGTGCTCGATACCGCGAGGGCAGAGCAGTGCAGAGCGAAATGACACAAGTTTGCAATGGAACAAGGTTATATTTTCATTGTCAGAGTTTCAAGTAGGTTATTATCCAGTTTCATTACATCTTGGGCTGATATTTCGTTTCCTCCATCTCTGTCTGCACTTTCTCCGTGTCATTTTCAGAGTGTCTGCATGAAGTTCTTGTTGACCTTGTCAGCTATCCAGTTGAGTCTGATGATGCCGGGCTTGGCCGCGAGGTGCAGTCGCTTGCGTGCGCCTGCCTGCTGAGCTTGGTGGTGGCGTGGGGAAAGACCGGTCCATTACTGGCAGCCATGTCCTCCGTACTCATCACCGCTGCCCAGAGAGGTGACATACAGCTAAAAGTAAGCCATAGAAGATAGAACTGTCGTGTCTATATCTGGTCTTGTGCTTCCTTTTATGCTCCTAAAATGTTGCGTTCATGGTACTGGTAGTGATACAGCTGTATTGCATAGCCTTGGCCTGGGTACTGTCTTTTACAGGGTAAATGCATGGTGTTTGTTCTGAAGATTAGGGTTGTTCAGACACTCTCAGTATTTTGGTGAGAAAAAAGTCATATTCGCCCCATCTGCATGAGTATGACTTGAAGTGTTGAGAAGCGGTCAATGTAGAGCCTTTGCTTTTAAAAGTGAGCATTTGGTAGTCATTTAGTGCGCATTCTCCACCTGGCAAGTAAACCTTTTTTATTTTGTATGCATTGTCCACCTGGCAAGTAAACCTTTTTTTATTTTGTATGCATTGTCCACCTGGCAAGTAACGCCTTTGCTTAAGTGAGCGTTTAGTATGCATTCTCCACCTGGTAAATAAAGCCATTTATCCACCTGGACCGTGATATCTGCTGTACGGCTAGGCCAGAGTACTATGAACAAGAGCGTGCATGACACCTCTCAGAAGGTGCCACTCTGAGCCACCCACGCTCATCAATTTTCAAAGCTCCTCCACTGCGCGATAATTGTCAACGCATAGCAGTTGACCGCTCGCTCCTTTCTGGCTGGCATTTGAGTACTTTTTCTTGGTCACCGGGTTTCATCCATGTTCTCACTTTCTCACTCTTTACAGATGGCAGCTCACCCATCACACCCCTCTCGCCATAGTGCTAAAAAACTTCTAATTCTCATTGCTTCCATCTAAATGTTTCACATTCGCTTCATACATCTCCTGAGATGCTATTTCAAGTGATGGTCGTCACAAGAAAGCCGTTTTTGAACCATTCGTGTGTGTGTGTGTGTGTCTACGTTTTGTTCTTGTTTTCCTTTACTCACTGTGTATTTAGTATTTATACCCTGGGGTACCTTTTTGTTGTGTGTGTGCTCGTTGTGGACAGGTGCCAGAGGTACTGTCCTCCCTCCAGCGCAGTGTTCAAGCTGCCTGCGTTGGCTATGATGTGTCAAACGATTGGGCTGCTGTCGGCATCACCAAAGAGGCCATGGTGGACAAGTGGCCAGTGTATGATGTGACGGTAGATGGTACGGTGACGTTGCCTGTTGTTGTTCTTGACTCGGAGTGTGTGCGTATGTGCGTGAATATCTTATTCTTTTATTCACCCTAACCACTGTCCAATGGCAACCACTGCCAACAGGTCGTATGAGTGTGATACTAACAGCTTGACAAGTTGCCACGTTCAAGAGTATTGTTCTGTACCTCTGTGTGCTTTTGCGTGCTGCAGAAGCCAGCTCGCTGGCTGTAGATAGCAACTACGCGTACGTATTCTCCAAGAATGATGGCTTGGCAAAGATTGGTACTGGGCACGAAGGGACAATCAAAGTTAGTGCTAGATGCGAAATGAGTACCGTAGTTCCCCGAATATAAGTCACACCTTTATGCACTAAACTTCAAGGCCAAAGAAGGGAATGCGACTTACTATTGAGTATGACATCCTACTTATTTGAATGTGCTGGAACAATATTACTCAAATTTGAAAATGGGGGTACGACTTATATTCGAGTGCAGGGAAATCGGTATCCTGCTACAGACTTATTTACTGAACATCATGTCTCTGTGAGATACTATTCGTACTATTTTTAAATCAGTGGGGTACTGTGGATTCCTTTCTACGAAGAAATCTGGGGTTTCCCTTTTCAGCGGTATCTTTTGTTTGATAGGGTGCTTAGGCCGTCATCACACTACGTTCTCTGACTCCCGTTTACGTCTACGTCCACGTAAAAAATCCGAAACGGGTGGTCGTATCATCACGCAGGCACAGTTCTTGACCCGTACACGCGGTCACGTTTTTGGAGAAATTTGAAAGTTCAAACGCGCGTACAAGGTCGCTCGGTAAAAAGCTGGGTGAGATACGTACGTTCACCCGTTTTAGTTTAAAAAAAAAGTTGTATATTCCCCCCTCTCCCTACCACGTCTACGTTTCCCGTTTCCTCTGCTCCCGTTTTCACCCCGTACATGGATCATCATGACAACCGACCAAACACTCCTATGGACGCAGACGCAGCTGCGCTTTGTACCGTGGTGTGATGACAGCCTTAGCTAGCTCTACCACTCACATTGCCTTCTTGGAAGACCCTACTGTAAATATACAAATTTTCGGCAGCTATTTAATTTCGGCTATATCCGGCACCGACCCAAAACGCCTAAATTAAAACGCCGATGAAATTTTTTACAGCATCTGTCGCAATACCATGCCCTCTACCCCACGCCGAAAATAAATCACCGCCGAAATGTCAAAAATCGTGAAGTGCCGAAATTTTGCAGCGCCGAAATTTTGTATATTTACAGTATTATGTACTATGTAGTGTCTGAGGCTCTCGCTACTTCCTCTTTCAAGTTTGATACGGTTCTGTTCAGTGATTTAGAGTGTTGGGTTCTGTTCCCCTTTCCCTGGCATCCAAAACAGTCTTGTGTCACATGAGAGTAGCTTGGAAAGACTTTGCCATTCTGGTACTCAAAGCGATGTACAGGAAAGCTCCCGAGATCCGGGCATCCCTAATCCGGGCACGTCCGTCGACCGGGCACCTTTCTGACTCATCTAGAGTGATCAAAATGGCTTTTCAACGAAAACGACCCCAAAACAGTCATATTGATTGTCCTAACATCTTTACTTGCATGCAGTAAGCATAATAAGTTCTGAGTTGCGGGGAATTCCTAGATATGGGCAGTGCTCGGTCCCAACCTGCCTGGATCTGGGGAGTTTTACTGCACTAGATATGAAGACTTAGTGTATGCTTTGAATGGCTTGACGCGTGAGTTTAAACACGCATTTCAGTCTAGAAAGCGTTGAAAACCTAATGTATTCATGCACGAGTACTGGATAGGGTTGCATGATTTGCTTGTTTTCTGCTCCTTTTTTTTGTGCTCAGGGATATGTGTACATCAAAAACAAGGAATTCTATCCCGGACAAGACGGCTGGATTGGATGTATCAAGGTAGATCTCTTTCTCCACCATAATAGAGATTTCTCGCCCTGGAGCACGATCCTTCTGTGCCCTTAAAAAATGGGAGTCAATTCAACTTACGCTCTTGGTATCTTAGGCCGCAGTCACACCTCCACTTTTGTTGGTGGTCCAATATGCGAAAAATGAGTTTTCTTCCATTTCGCCAGGAAACAAATGTTCCGGATACAAGGGCATGCCTTTCAATATGAGTACTCGGGTCTTCACAATACACTCTTGGCTCTTGAGTTTTTTTTCCATGCCTTTATAAGTTTATAAGTGGAGGTGCCCCTGTATTCGAATTTAAGTGCGTGCCCTTTTATGCCCGTGAATACGGGAGCTTGACAGCGACGATGCACCAAGAGCAATTCCTGTTGGAGAAATTTTAAATTGAAGAAGAGTTTGTTTGCCATGTTCTCTCAACATCATCTTGGTATGGCATGCATCTTCAGCTCTACTCCAGTGAGCCTGAAGGGCGCCTCAAGGAGGCTTCTTCACCTGAAGCTATAGTCCATTTCAAAAAGATTAGCAATCAGGTTTTGGTCTTAACCCTATAACGCCTATAGGACGGATATATCCGCCAGACTGTACAGTGCATGCTGAGGTGACTTCAAACTTTCGTCATTCAGTCAATCCTTGTTCGAATTCAACAAACGAAAGGTCTAATCGTATCAGAAAAGCCTCAGCTGTCGGCTCCAAAAAACCCGAAGACGATCCGAGGTCATGGCGCAGAGTTACGACACTCGAACGAAATTCGCGTGGGCGAGTCGGCTCGCGCGGCGTAAAATTTGAAACGCCAGCAAGGGATTTTCCCTGACTCGCTGGCGACGCGTGCACGACTGGCATACGTCATTTTCAAGCTGCATTTTGAAGCTCTCTCCTGCAAAAAAATTGACCGTTCTGCGATCGATATTGTTGAAATGGCTGAGAATTTAGTACCGCGCTCGCAGGTCTGGCATTGGAGCGCTCAGATCGCGCTGCGGCGTTACTCCTACGACTCTATCAATTGAGAACTGGGTATGGCTGTGTTCGTCTTGGAGAGAGCTTTCCATAGAGCCCGAGATTGTTGGAATACTCCAAAGGATATCGAAATTACAGTCAGATGAAAATGTGAGTTTGTGAATTTCATGCGTCTCCTGAAATAATTTAGGCTCTAAAGGGTTAAAAAGTACGAAGATAAGGGAAATTTGGACAACAAAGTACATAGAATGGCTTGTTAGGACACGGCAAATTGTTCTGTGAAGGTTTCGGAACAATTGGACCAGCCGTTAAGGATTCAGAATTTCGGCCAGGTTTCCGGCCTTTTCCCATGGTTTACAATTTGCCCTGGATGTCAGTATCGATTTTTTATCAAAACCCACGATTTATCCTTTCCTTTTTGGCCTTGTGGTTATGAATGCTGTCTGCTGGCCATGAAGTTGTGAGTTCAAATCCCAAACTATCTTCAAGTCAAACTTTTTTTTCATAGTTTTGGTGGTCACGCTGGTACAAAAAGTACAAGCCAAAGAAGGTGGCTGCGCCAAACGACTTGTTGTTGTTGGAGCTCGCGTTTCCTGCCGAACTTACTAACACTTGACTGCTTCACGCCATGTGAACACACCCACAACACTGAAACGGTGTGAGTGAACACGGAAGTCATTGCGCTGCAGCTAGTGTTGTTGAATTCAACGGCACATCGATCAATCGTTTTCTCTTTGAGAATTACATGTATTTCAGTATTTCAAGATCGCCAATTTATTTGAATTTAGGAGTCAACGCCGTCTTCTATCAGCTTTCACAGGTGTCTGCTTTTCTCAAAATGTCGTCGAAGTCCCACGGATAGCTTTGCCAAGTCATGGCCTTGGGAATGAATCTGTGTCGATGTCGTTTTCGTCACATCGTGAGAGTAAATTGCATCGCAGCTCAAAGAAATTGGGCAGGAAACGAATTGGGACCCATCCCGCTCGTCAACATTTACCACACTTTCGACATGTCCTCTCTGACTCCATGTCGATACGAGGAAGAACTCATTTGTTGTAAACCAGACGTACATGTACCGACGTGAGTGAGTTATCATTTTTCATGCTTCCGCGCGGATTATTTCTTCGAGTTCACAGTGAGTTTTTCCAGCCAGCTCTCGAGCGCGCATACGGTAAAACGGCAAACTCCCCGGGCGATCGCCAGGATTGCTAATCTTTTTGAAACTGACTGTAGATCTGCTGAGCCTCAGGAAGTTTGCTAGGAGACGTATGCTGGTCCTGCCAATAGTGTAGAATAGTGACGTATGCTGGTCCTGCCAATAGTGTAGAATAGTGCAAGTGTCAAGGAGACGTATGCTGGTCCTGCCAATAGTGTAGAATAGTGACGTATGCTGGTCCTGCCAATAGTGTAGAATAGTGACGTATGCTGGTCCTGCCAATAGTGTAGAATAGAGCAAGTGTCAAGGAGACTTATGCTGGTCCTGCCAATAGTGTAGAATAGTGACGTATGCTGGTCCTGCCGATAGTGTAGAATAGTGCAAGTGTCAAGGAGACGTACGCTGGTCCTGCCAATAGTGTAGAATAGTGCAAGTGTAATGATTGGCAACCGATGGAGACGGATGTGGATTGCCTGGTTACAGGGGGAGAGAAGCTGCGCCGATGTGAATTCCAATATGTGAATGTGTTTCAGTTACATCAGAACAAACACTGCGATGAGAGCCATGTACATGCTGATGGGAAACACCAAGAAAAAGGAACACGAGCTGGAAGGCCGGTTTAGAGACGAGAGATATGCTTGCAATCACATCCTCTTTAGCTGGGACTGGTACTGTTAGGGGCGATTCACACGGCGATACCGTGGTACTGGCGGGATGCATACGCAGGGTGCCGTACGCGGGAAAATGGAAATTTTGATTCACATGCTGACTTGTACTGTCGAGTTCCCGGTGGTGCCGTGGGGAGAAATAAATCTGTTCTCAAGACTCAATGTTTTTTTTTCTAGTTTGTCTCTCGTCGATGCATCGATGATGATCAAGTTTTCCTCTTGAACTGGTCGGATATGTGGCGGCCCCTTTTCTTCAACGTTTCGATCTTGTTGCCCACCTCCTTGATCGTGAAGCAACGCTGGTGGCCATGGGATTTGGCGTACTCGTTCAGCTTTGCCACAGCCTTTCCTCCTTCTCTTGGCGACTGACCATCTGTTTGTCACAGGTTGTCAAAAGCTCTGCCCAGATTTCAAGAAGCTTCTGCTTTAGCTCCGGTGTGACAATAGTAGCTGGCAGGGTAAAGACAAGCGAGTGTCAGACCACACATTTCTTTTCACACAAGCAGACTCGACTCAAAGTATGCGCATGCCGGCTCATGGAATGCTATTCATCCCCCCCCCCCCCCCCCCCCCCCAGGCTCCCGGCCAAGGAAAGCTCTCGGCACCGTGTATACCGACCACGGTACCCCGTTCCCGCTTAAAATGAGCATCACGTGAGTGAATCACCAAGGCTACATCATGCACGGCACTCCCGGTATCGTCGTGTGAATCGCCCCATACAATGTTGCAAGGAACGTCTGCCGGCACAACCGGATAATCTTAATCACCGTCTGGTGTTTTCCCAGCGAGCAAATCCCTCTTTGTCTGCAGCATCTCTTCAAGCATGGCAAATATATTTCCGTTATGCTGCTGACTTTTTATGTACACCTTCACCACCCTTTCCTTCTTTGATTTTGGAAACGCCAGTTTCCAACATGGCGAGCCATCCGCCGTCGTTGCCTGTTTGCGGCCGATGTTGTTGTTGTGATTGGGAGCAGCAAGCTGTTGCCAGGCGAGCGTCCCTGAATAGGAGAAATGGATCTGCTTCGGTGTCCACACAAGCTTGTTTGAATGGTACACCTCTAATGATCCAGTGTGGCAGAAGTTCGAAAGCTTTCCGATATCTGCAAGCACGGTCTTGTCGGATACAACCTTGGTCAGTGCTTTATGGCCCTCAGAGTCGCTAGCCAACCACTGTTCGGCAGCGGCTCGTGCGAGCTCAACATAATATCTCTGTAGAATCTGTCCAAGAATGCTGATTGCAGATGTAGTGGAGTAGGGTCGGTCCTTTCTCTGCCAGCAAGACAGGGTCTCCAACACAGAATTGAGCACACCAGCACATGTGATGCGATACGACCGGGATCCAGTTTCTTAGGTGCTTCATCTCCTTTTTGGTTGGGGCAAGCTGCTTAGAAATGGACTGGACAAAATGTCACACGTCAAACTGGTGCAGAAACTCAGGGAAAGAATCTCTCACCATTGCTTTCACTTGGGCGCTCCTGTCCGTGGCGGGCTGCACACCAGTGAATGGGCATCTTTGAGCCGCTGCAATATTCGTCTCAAGCCCTCCCGCTCCATAACACCGACATTTTTACTGCTCATACCAACGTGCGTATGTTCAGGTCGTATTTAGGCCGCTGAAGGATTTTGTCTCGAGCCTTCCCGCTCTATACTACTGCTATTGTTACTTGTCATACCAACATGCGTACGTTCAAAGTTGAAGAAAAGTTCGGTTTCTCCTTTCGTTAGCGTATACAGCTACTAGTATACGTACAATATTTGGCTGAGTAGCCGGGGCTGTCACACTTCCCGTCACCGATAACCTTCAGATTCTCATTCGTTCCAAGTATATGCTGCTGGCCAATGTGGTTTGACAATGCTTCATTCACAACTGGACACAGGATTTTACGTTGAATATCATAGAAAGCAGACTTGCCGCCCCCACACAAGTTGAGCAGTGATGAGAACAGGGTGAAGGTGCTAGACAAAGTGCCACTGAAGAGGATAGCGGCAGAGACTACAGATTTCAATTGGGTATGCGTTGCAATTTAGGTTGAGAGGTCCACTGGTTGATGTGCCCATCTTCACACTCAGATATAACAGGGAGTAGAGATCCCTGAACATGATACTTTGCTACTTTAACCATTATCTGCCCATTAAAATCCCTGTTTTTGGGTACATTTCAACATTGCCGTAAAGAATCAATCATATCTCAACAACCATAAGACTTTGTGATACAGGAAGGGGTACTATTCCACGACTCTGGTCGTCTCCACGGGTTTGTCTCAGAAGGCTGTGTTCGCGATCGCCATCCGTGTCACAGCTAGTACTATTTTCACTGTCACTGTCGTCGACATCCTCTACATCTTCCCCAGACAACCTGGTGAAAATTCAGAATCCGAACCAAGTAAATTATCATCAGGTTCGCGCTCGTCTCCTTCGTGCTCGTCTGCTTCACTCTCGTTGTGGAGAGTGCCCTCCTTGACATCCCAGTCACTGAATGCAACGATCTCCACATCGTCGTCGTCGTATTGGGGAACGCAGCATCCATCACTTGGACAACTTGAAATCAAGTTTTTACATACTTTTGACTAGCAACCTATGGCTTTCTATACGTCGTTGGAAAGCTGCTGATCTCATGCGTTGCCTGCAAAAAAAGTTATCGCCATGCGAACAACGACGTTCGAAAAAATTCGCACTTGAAGTGCATCGTCGAAATGCCGACGATTTTTGTACACATGGGCGGATAAGGGTTAAAGTTCATACTTTTTGATGGTTTTCTGCAAGACATCACGAAAAGAGGAACGACCTGAAAACTCCATCAATCTGACTTGAACAGAGGTGTTCCATGCAATTGTGACCTCTAGTCTTGCTAGTCGTCCACTAAGGATCTTTTGGGCCGTGGAAGTTACTTGTCTGCTCTTTAGTCAGTCTCAAGTGAGAATGTTTTGGATGCTGTCCCATGTTTGCGCCATTTGGATGTTTTCCTTTTTTTACATCAAATTTATACCACTTCAAGAACAACGCCCCGTACCCTTGAATGTGTCATGATATCTCACGGCTCCTTTCTTATTCTTGAGGAAACAGCATTGCTTGTCTTCTTTCTTGGCGTACAGGGCAAATTGTTCTTCCAGCTGCGCTCCGGCATGGACCGTAGCATGATAGTGGTCAACACGGACACACTGCTGGAGCAGGAAACGGTCGAGCTGGAGTGTAAGGATTGGACTAGTGTGGACAGCAGTATGCGTGGAAAACCTCTGGAATGCGCGTTGAGGTCATGCAGTACAGCAGTGTACACAGAACAGTAGTGTTTCATGGGCGCATTGGCAATAGGTTCTGTATTTCGTGCCAGTACACTATCGGTGTCCCATGATATTCTTTCCGTATACCAAAGAGCTTATATTTCCGAACAGCATGGAGCAGATTTTATGAGAATGCATGAAGTGTATACCAATCATGTTGTAGCTTCGTGTTGTCGGCATGTCATCAATTATTTGACAATTTTGACCGGCACTGGATATTGATCTCCTTCTTTTTGTTTTATAATTCTGTACAGACGAGGGCGGACCGGGTCCCATGCAGTTTTTGGTGGATGGTGTTCACATTGCTCAGCTGCAGCCACAACAAGTGAGTAAAATCATCATTCGCTCTGCTCTCTATGCTCACATTTTCAACTGCCACATTTCCCGATCCTAAGCTACCAAAACCCTTCTTGTGACTTTCAACCTAATGACGCTTAAGAGAGCATGTCTGAGAATACCAAAGTATGTGTGCAAGTGGATCTCTCCGATTTCGCTCAAAATTTGCAGGTAGGTTGCCTTTGGGGTGTGGATCGACTGTGCAAAGCCCTTGAAAAAGTTTCTGAAGGGAACCTTGAAATTTGCATACCCCTCAAAAATGGCCGAAATATCACATTATTTATGGGTCTAGAAACGAGTCACGCCACAGCGTATACGAACAAGCTATGAACAAAACTCCACCAAGCCAACATTGCCTCACCTTAGAAGAGTTCCTGGAGCAGTACCGCTTAGCCACGCCAGCATCCCAGAAGACGAGGTCCATCACCCCCTGACGCCACAAATGATCGTCTTGAAAATAGCCAATTTACAAGCGCTGGCAAAACAGCCAGCTACGTCCTCAATTGGCCAGAACTATACACCGGCAGATAGTAGAACACCTCTTCTAGCGCTGAGGACATGTCTCCCATCTTCCTTTTGGGGTTTTCTTGAAATAAACTTTTTTGAATTTTTCCACTCGACCATGCTGAAATACGGCCAAAGTCATACCTGCGCAGGAAAGCTCGCCCCTCCGCGACGTCTCCTCAGCAATTTCTACTCCAACACTACTCCCAGGGCCGCAGAACAAAGTATAGTGTTGACTCTGACAAGGAAAAGCAGCGGTGATCACTTGTCACTCCAAACGACAAGCTTCTCCTTGCGCCAGCAATAATTTTTTTGTGCGACTGTTGATGCAAAAGTGACTGAAGGCCTGAGCGCAGTTTTTGAATTTTTTTGCAAGATGCACGGTGAGATCGCGTGCTCTGTGACGTAGGATGACGCTTCCTGCATCAGGATACGCGGCCAACGATCGTGAAAGTGCCTGGAACGCTACTCGGAACAGACCATGATGGCAGAGGTAAGATGAGCTTCATTTCCTGCTTGAACTGCTGAGTACCCCAACAAACTGTCCTAGGAGTGTTGCAATGGCAGCAAGCCGTTGAAATATGCCCCGTACAGCATGGAGAATTATTCGTCTTTCACACTTACCTCCTGCAATCCCGAACATAGTCCAACAGTAAAAGTCCCTTGTTTTCATGTCGATTCTCGACAAAAGCGGCTAGCTCGGTCCCTGTGTTGACTGGCACGCGAGTAGCACTGACTGCACGCACTTGTCGCGTGAACTGCATGAGAGATTTCTTACGTCATAAAGAATGTGATTTCATCATCATTTCACTGGTTTTCGACCTACATGGTCAGGGAAAGTCCCGGTTCGTAGGCCTACAACACTCCCAGCGTGTTCTTGAGCGCAGTAACAACACAAGTGGGATCACTTCCAGACCAACGGGCGTTCAAGGCGAGTAACAAGCGCACTTGACGAAGGTGACTCTGAAATCTCGTGAGCCGTGGGCCACGCGACTTGGCATTCTTGCGTCACAAGGCACGTGATTTCACCGTGCATCTTGCAATAAAATTCAAAAACTGCGCTCAGGCCTTCAGTCACTTTTGCATCAACAGTCGCACAAAAAATTATTGGTGGCGCAAGGAGAAGCTTGTCGTTTGGAGTGACAAGTGATCACCGCTGCTTTTCCTTTTCAGAGTCAAAACTACACTTTGTTCTGCGGCCTTGGGAGTAGTGTTGGAGTAGAAATTGCTGAGGAGACGTCGCGGCGGGGCGAGCTTTCCTGCGCAGGTATGACTTTGGCCGTATTTCAGCATGGTCGAGTGGAAAAATTCAAAAAGGTTTTTTTCAAGAAAACCCCAAAAGGAAGATGGGGGACATGTCCTCAGCGCTAGAAGAGGTGTTCTACTATCTGCCGGTGTATAGTTCTGGCCAATTGAGGACGTAGCTGGCTGTTTTGCCAGCGCTTGTAAATTGGCTATTTTCAAGACGATCATTTGTGGCGTCAGGGGGTGATGGACCTCGTCTTCTGGGATGCTGGCGTGGCTAAGTGGTACTGCTCCAGGAACTCTTCTAAGGTGAGGCAATGTTGGCTTGATGGAGCTTTGTTCATAGCTTGTTCGTATACGCTGTGGCGTGACTCGTTTCTAGACCCATAAATAATGTGATATTTCGGCCATTTTTGAGGGGTATGCAAATTTCAAGGTTCCCTTCAGAAACTTTTTCAAGGGCTTTGCACAGTCGATCCACACCCCAAAGGGAACCTACCTGCAAATTTTGAGCGAAATCGGAGAGATCCACTTGCACACATACTTTGGTATTCTCAGACATGCTCTCTTAAATGCTTCACAGTGGAAACGCCGACTTGTGCCGTAATCTACCGCCAGATGGCCTCATCACTTCAACCCCTTCTGTGATGTGATCGTGGAGTAGGGTGAATGAAAGGTTTCTCCAAGCGTGTTGTACGACACAGTGCTGCTCAATGAAAACCGATCGCGGAGTCGAGTGTGCGCCCTATACGACGTCAGGGCCAGCCACTTCGTACTTGCATTGCGTAGGTGCTGTGTTGGCACTGTAGGGATTGATCCTCAACACTGACTAAAGGTCAAGAGGTTTGAGATATAAACAGTGCTGCTGCTCAAGGAAAGCCGATTGCGTAAGTCGAGTCTTACAGCGCCCGGCATTGCATTGCCTCGTGTTATTGGATTTCATTGAGCAGTACTATAGCACACAAGCAAACAGTTCCTGCAGTGCAGTTCAGCCTTTCAGGATCATACTGTGCTATAATCATAGTCCTTTCACAGTCCAGAAACGAAGGTGGGGCGCTCTGGAGGTATTTTTGGACAATACAGTCAGACCTCGCTTATCCGATCGTCTTTTATCCGGATCCCTCGCCATCCAGAAGAGGATCGCTGGTTACCGATTTACAGCATATGCCATGCATACATTCAGTACGTGTGTTCGATTATCCGGTTCCCTCGCCTATCCGGATATTTTTGTGGAAAACGGATGTGTGCGGTTATGCGAGGTCTGACTGTACGCACATTTTTACTGGTGCAGGTAATACCGTAGCATGGAAATTCCAATGGTGTTCTCAAGCATGTGTCTGCGTGTTTTCTCTCATGCTTCGATTTCTTCCACACTGTGGTTTGTGTGTGTTCCTGTGTATGTGTCGGCAGACTGGGCTAAAGTTGCGCCTGTTTGATTCAAGCAGTTCTCCAATGCCGTGCATCAAAGAGTCGGAGCTTGTTGTTGCGTCTCACTCTGTCATGGCGTGTGGCAAAGCAAGCTATCTCAAGAGCTCTGCTCTGCATGAGTGCTACTTTGATGACACACAGGACGCCATCATCGAGGCGGGCCGCGAGTTCTCCCTCTTGCTGAAAAATAGTGGCAAGGTATGGCTAATGGTTCAGCAAAGAACTCTTTTAAAAGCTTTACTGTTTTTGTCAACATTTTCCTTGTTCTCTGATGTCAAATTGGCGGCTTCCACTGTCTGCATTTCAAGCATCTTTCAAACTGATTGAATTACTGTTGTTCGATACGTTGTGTTTGTAAAGCCTTGTGTACGATTTTGCCCGTGCTTAATGTTTCTTTATTGGCTTTGATGGTTTGCCTTCGATGCAGCTCATGTGTTGTGGCAATGGCTCTGCGATAGGCTTCTCTGCTGCTGGCAGTGCGCCAGACAGTCTGAAGTGGATTGAGGTGGCTAGCAATGTGAAACAGGTATGCACACATAGCACACTGGCCCCTGCGTTCGATTGCGCACTTGCAAATTTAATATGAATAATTATGGATCCGCTGTACAGGACGGGTCAATATTCAAAAACCTCCTTTCCGCTACCTTGGGTCGCCACCACCCTATGATCAGGGCTGGTCGTAGTTCATGAAATATCCTGCTCCAATTGAAGCCATGGGCTGCATTAGGCTGATATTACTCTATAGTAGTATGCTGTGTTTCTGTATTGTACATGTACTGTACAGGGGCGTATCAGCCACTCCGGCCGATCCGGCTTTGGCCGGACCACTTTTTCGCCCGACCACGACCACCATAGTAAAACAATGCCAAAAGTGCCCAGAATGCAGGATTTTGCACCCTACTTTCAAAAAAAATCAGGGTGGACATCCCCCTGGCCGGACCACCGCCAACGGCGGTGCTACGCGCCTGCTGTATTCCTGTATTGTACATGTACTGTATTCCTGTATTGTACATGTACTCAGGGCCGGCGGAACCGGTCAGGCTGGTCCGGCCATGGCCGGACCGCTTTCCCAGCTGGATGGTCGATGTGATTAGTGCAAAACCGGTGTAAAAAATCCAGAGGTACATGACTCGACTGTACTGCCGACCTGTGATGTGCTTCAAAGTAGCTCAGGACTCCGTGACCGGCACTGTATGGCTTTAATGATATGGATAAAAAAGTTGTGTTTGTGTTGATTTACTATAATTTTCTGGATTTTCTGGAGCCTTAAGAGATGCCCAAATTCGCTCTATTTCACGTAAATTTTAAATATTTCTCCCGGGGGAGGTCCCCGCACCCCCCTCAAAGGTTGGCCGGACCACTCCCAAACTCCTTCCTCCGGCCCTGGTACTGTATTCCTGTATTGTACATGTACTGTATTCCTGTATTGTACATGTACTGTGTGCCTGTATTGTACTTATAGAATAGTAACTGAGTCCGAGGTGTTTACGAGAAATAAAAAACCGACACAAAACCCGAGGCGAAGCCGAGGGTTTTGTGGAGGTTTTTTTATAATTCGAGTAAACACGAGGACGAAGTAGGTACCAGTATTTTATTTAAATTATACTTATAAAAACCGATTTTCGTTTTGGATTTTCGTACCTATTTCGGCATGTACTGTATTCCTGTATTGTACATGTACTGTGTGCCTGTATTGTACATGTACTGTGTTCCTGTATTGTACATGACTTTGTACTGTGTGCCTGTGTGGGGCGGCATGGTGTTCTTGCAGGTGACTGTTGGACACAATGGCAACTTTGTTGTCACACTTGACGGCAATAGCAAAGTGGCTTGTTATGGCTATCCATACAATGGTGAAGATGGCAGCAAGGGTAAGCCATGGCCAATCTACACTGCTATCTTCCTTTTCTCTCTCTCCTCTCTCTATCTATCTCCCCCCCCACCCCCCCTCTCACGCACGCACACACACACCACACCACACACACCACACACACAGACACACACACAGACACACACACAGATACACACACACACACACACACACACACACACACACACACACACACACACACACACACACACATACACACACACACACACACACACACACACACACATGTACTCCTCTATCCAGCCGCTTGTTCAACTGCGTTATCTTGTAGAATGCCACTGTGACAAACCTGTCCTTTTTTTCTTATTGTTCAGCCAAGAACAGACGTGCAGTCAAGCAGTGCACAGGTTCTACTCCAGCAAAGGTAGCCCAGGTCACAGTGACATCAGTGGCCTGCAGCAGCACTGGCAGTGCCTACATCAGTGACAAGGGCCAGCTGTATCTGCTCGGCGTAGTCGGCGAAGACTTCACCGATTCTCAGAGTGGTGAGCATGCTTGTGCCGCTGTTCAGTCTCTTCACTTGCTGCTCCGTTCATGCACGTACAAACACACGCATGCACACACGCACGCACGTAAGCGCACGTAAGCGCCATGTACAGTGCACACCCGTCGCAAGAGAAGCATGCAAGTCTGCAATGCACTGGGTGTACACCGACAGATTTTCTCTTAATAATATAGGAACAGCAGTGGACAAGATCTGAATGAAGCAGATCAAGACTAGCACCAGATACTAGTAACTGCCTAATCCACACAGCTGGCAAAGGCATGTAAATCGTACCCCACTGCACACCAATACACACACCAAGAACCATGGCCATGAAAGCTACATTTATTATATACACACACTGCATTGTGGAGCCGAAACTAGTCCAACTTCCTACTACTTTGGTGGCAAGAAGGTAGCCTTCCGACAGGTTGCCACACACACACACACACACACACACACACACACACACTTGCACGCACACACATGCATGTACGGACGTACATATGCATTATGCAGAGACACTTAGCTTGTGAATGCCATGTATGCCTGCTGTATCATATCATGCAATAGTTTGTTCAACGTGTTCTCTATGCTTGTGCAGGTATTGTCCTGGGCCTACTTGGCATCGAGGTGAAGACGTGTGCTCTTGGCAAAGGCCATGTTCTGGCACTTAACAATCACGGCATCCTCTACTCCTTTGGTTTAAACAACCGCGGTCAGTGTGGTCGCGATGACAGCTCTGCAGAAGTGAACCCTGGTATGTGCACTTACTCGGTGTCTTGTGGCGGTGATCACGGTGTAATAGAGCATAGCTCTGTAAACTGAGACTGCTTTGGTTTCATTTCAAGACTTGGGGCCAAGTATGACCTCTCTATTCTGCCCAAAACAGCGACTTTTTGCATAAGCACATGGTCTTTTGTGTGCGGAAGTACGGTAGTTTGCGGTGTGCTTTGCTGGACCCGCCAGTGGTGCATGCATGCACTGGTTGGGTATTTGATTTCTTGCACTCGAAAATGCAAGAGGAGGGCTCCAATAGTGAGCACATAATACGTAACCATCCGTTGATCCATCTTTGAACCCATGTGTGTGCGTGTGTGTGTGCATGTGCGTGCACACGTGTGTGTGCATGTGCGTGCGCGTGCGTGCATGTGTGTGTGTGCGTACGTGTGCGTACGTGTGTACGTGCTTGTGCGTGTGTGTGCGTGTGTGTGTGTGTGTGTGTGTGTGTGTGTGTGTGTGTGTGTGTGTGTGTGTGTGTGTGTGTGTGTGTGTGTGTGTGTGTGTGCGTAGTAGCCCCATATGGTGCAGTGGTATGTGCAGCGATTTCCAATCGATAGGTTGCGGGTTCGATCCCCGACGATTACGGTCACATGCGTCTTTCTTTTCTTTCTCAGAGTCCTGACTTTTCTTTCATTCTCCTGGGTGGTTATCAACAGCCAGTGCATGCCGGAGTATGTGGTGTGATGTCTGTGCGGGAAAAAATAAAAAGTCCAAAAAATTAGGGATTCGCTGGCCAGAAAAAGCCACTTCATAGCTGTGTGGTGTAGACCAGGCTGACTAGGGGCGGTCAATTCTTCAACCTGGCAAGCTGTTGAATGGTGCAATCCCAGCACAAGTTGCTATGGCTTCTGCTGTAGCATCGCTATCATCGCCTCCGGCGATGGGCGTCCCAAGGTCAAACGGTGTGCGTGCGCGTGCATGAATGCATGCGGTGATGTGTGTTTACAGAGGATGGTGAGACTGGCACGTCCGAGGAGGAGGAAGACAGTGTCATGTGCAAGGACAGCCACAACTGGGGCAACACGGTGTGCATGATCTGCACTGTGTGCGGACACTGTACAGGCTATGGTCCAGGCTGCTGCAATGCTAGAGAACCCAATCGAGAACCAGGCACGTAAGTCACTGCGTTTCTTCTTCTTGTAACCATCGGCAATCTTTGTGCCACTCGTGGCTATACGGTGTCTTGATTGGCTATACTGTGTCTTGATTGAAAGCTAGTACTTCATCCAGAAATAAACACGTTGTGACTTTGTATTTACATTCTAAGGAGTTATTGTGCTCGAGAATTTGAGAATACCTACCTCATCGAGCCCATTGCATCGATGCTTGTTTGACAACAGAGGGTTAAAGAGTTATGCGGGTTAAAGCATGTACACTATAAGCTGCCGATGAAGCTGGAGATGCCATGTCCATCAAAATCCATTGGTCCAAAATGAATATCAGGATTTGAAAATCAGCACATTTGACTTGAGCAGGCACTTAAAAACTGTTCTCTCTTTATCTTGTCTTGTTGCTGTGCTGGCAGAGAATGCGGCTGTGGATCAGGATTCTCTGGCTGTGTTGCCTGTGGCTGTTGTCGAAAGTGTGCAGGGAATCATAAGCCTTCAGGAAAAAGTATGGCCCGTGCTACGGCAGTGTGCATTTTTTGGATTTCTCTAAAATTCAGGGTCTGCTTATTTTGGCAGTTGGTCAGCTGTTTTTGGACGGCATGAATTGTTGTGTTAGGTGCCATCCGTAAATATACTTTAATTTAATATAGATATTTATTTAGAAATGGAAACTAGTCGTTTTGGGGGAGGGGGTTGAGCGCCTGTTCGTTTCTCGAAAAATATCGATGTACAGTTTGTATGTGTGAGCACGTCCAGAAAAATATGATACTATGTATCCATTTATTGTATGTGTTCGTTTCTCAAGGAGGGGAGAGGGGGGTTGAAGAGAAATGACGAGTTTTCGTTACAATGTATATCAGAAAAGTAGCAAGAGCTACTGGAGCATTGCTCATTGTGCTGGGTGCAGAGCATTCACACATGTATCTGTGGCTTGCAAGTGCATGTGCTTATTATGTAAACTACGTTTGAATGACAACATGTCTTATGATCTGCACCCCCCCCCCCCCCCCCCAACTTGTCTAACCCACTTGTTAATGTTTCACGTTTTGTGTGCGTGCGTGCGTGCGTGTGTGCATGTGCGTGTGCGTGTGCGTGTGCGTGTGCGTGTGCGTGTGTGTGTGTGTGTGTGTGTGTGTGTGTGTGTGTGTGTGTGTGTGTGTGTGTGTGTGTATACAGAGAAGGAAAAGCCCAAGGACAAGAAGAGTTCTGGAAAGGCTCTGTTCCGACCAGGTCCGGTGATGCTGCCGGTGGACGGTAGCATTACTGTGCAGCAGATTTCTGCTGGCCACTATCATTCCGGTTAGTGTTGTCAGTGCTGCAGTGTGTGCATACTGCCATACGGTATCTCCTGGATTGTACTCATTGTAACTCACTGCTTGTGCTGTACGCTGTTCGCTGGAGGTGGAATATTTTGATAAACATGTGCTGGCTGAAACTCAGGATGCTGATAGTACCAAGAGTATAACCCCCCCAAGAGTGTGCAACTCTGCATATGGGGTATCCGACGGCGAAAACTTACATCACATGTCTCAGATACGTTCGTACTACGTACCAACGAAGGATAGCGTGCGCGCAATCCGAATATCTGCCATGATCATGCTGGGATTTGCATACCCGGCAGTGAGTTTCTGTCAGAGTGCTTTTTTATTACTCCGTTGCTCGCTAAAAACTGGCTAGAAACGTACAACTGCGACACTGCACCACGTGATGTGAGTTTTCGCCGTCGGTACCCCATAGAAAGGGTATCAGGAGTTGCACACTCTTGGGGGTTATATACTCTTGATAGTACATTGCAGTAGAAAAAAAGTACCTATTTGCTCTGCGGCAGTTTCTTTCTCCGTTCGTGTAAAATTGAAGCTGTGAGTAGGAGCGATCGATTATCTTGACTTTGCAGTGAAAGCCAACAGCAAGGAAGAAAGTGAAAGCAAGCAGTCGAGCACATGCAGCAACGCTGCCATTTTGGTTGGTGTTGCCATGGGAAGATAAAGCATTACGTCAGGCTAGACATAGTGCTTACCTGTAGCTGAAATGTGAGCTCAGTGCGGGAAAAAGAAACTCAAGTAGCGGTACATTACGAGCGCAAACGCGGCAGCATGTTTAGGCAGTGGATGCTTGCGCCATTGTTCAGAACTACGTATTGCATGTACATGTACAGTGCTGCTCAAGGAAATCCAGTCGCATCACTCAAGTACGCGCCGGGCGTTGCGCAGCCCTAGGCCTGCAAACTCTGGGCAGGGAATTGGTGCAAGGCGCAAACTTGAGTGACACGGGTGCATTTCATTGAGCAGCACTGTACATGAAGACATATCTACTTAGTTGCAATCTCCAGTCATTCCTGTTCTGCACTGCTCCTTTACTGACCCTGCCAACAAACTGGACAATGCAAACAATCGCAACAACGTGTGCGTGTGTGTGTGTGCGCGATGTGTGTGTGTGTGTGTGTGTGTGTGTGTGTGTGTGTGTGTGTGTGTGTGTGTGTGTGTGTGTGTGTGTGTGTGTTTCTACGTGTGTGTATTTTGTAGCTGCACTCTTGAGCAATGGCGACGTGTATACATTTGGTGGAAACTCAGATGGACAGCTTGGTATTGGATCAAAGGATAACAGGTATGGCATACATACACGTGTACTTGCTTTTCTTGTTGCTCTTTGGAAGTAAAAACATTCTGCTATTGAGACTGTGGATTACTACAGTATTCTGGTAGCTTGTTCTGTTAAATATGGTGGTGTATGAATGGTATATATCTCCTTGTCTTTGTGTCTGTGTTGCTGCTTGCCTGCAGTACAATGCCAGTCAAGGTGGATCTTCCCTGTGCCGCCAAGCAAGTGAGAGCTGGTGGACACCACACGGTCATCTTGCTTGCCGATGGCCGGGTGATGACATTCGGCAGCTCCAAGGTATGCTGTTCAGCTGTATACTCTGTACGGAGCTGATCACTGCTACTGTGACATTTTCGTGTCCAGTGTTTTTAATGATTTAATGTCACACCATTGTCTTGAGGCGCCTTTACGTACTAGACATGTTATGTAATATACAGCCCTGCCACTGTTCTTGTGAGGTTGTTGTATGGCATGGTACAGGTAGGTGCTCTTCTTTAGCAAAGTGTGCAGAGTCTATAGCCACACGTATGCGACTGGGATCTCTTGTCTATGTACCACATTGTGCGTGTACTGCCCTGATTACATCATGCACTGCCTTTCGGGATTACATCATGCACTGCCTTTAGGGATTACATCATGCACTGCCTTTCGGGATTACATCATGCACTGCCTTTAGGGATTACATCATGCACTGGCTTTCGGGATTACATCATGCACTGCCTTTAGGGATTACATCATGCACTTTTCGGGTACATCATGCACTGCCTTTAGGGATTACGTCATTGACGGCCTTTGTTACATCATGCAGCTTTATCCATGCACTGTGCAAGATGAACTGGAACCCTTTTCCTATGGGTTGAAACAACAGTCAAACCTCGTTAGGACGAACTTCAAGGGACTGGACAAATTTGTTTGTCTTATCGGGAGTTCTTCTTATCCAGATCTGACAAATAAATCGATATGCATATCGTATGGATTGTATTTACGTGAAGGTGCATACTGTAATACATGGGAAGCATGTATTCTGAGCATAAGGCCACGCCGTTTTTTTTCTATGTTTCGCGTCACCTTAGTCGATGAAATCAATGAGGGAGGGCGAAAAAAATAAAAAAGCCATCCAAAAAAAACAGTGTGCGTGCATTGCATTTGTGTACAGTGAAGTGACGCGGCACTGTTCATGAATACATGGGTGTATCCCTCTGCCATGCTTGTTGTCCAAACACAGGCGGCATGATGATTGTGTGACTTGCGGCCCAGCTTATTGCACATACATGTACATGTACATGTGTGTGAGCTGAGTTACATTTTCCGGTTTTCTGGGTTTGCATTAAATTTGAATTGCATTTTCAAAAAAATTGCTCCGTTTTTTTATTTTTTTATTTTTTAACTCCGGCTGTGAAATACATGCGCGCGGGGGACGCGAAACATAGATAAAAAACGGTGTGGCCTAAGCCAGAAACAGGTAAGTACAATGTGACTGTGCCTCCATATCCAAACAAATACATTACGATAAAACCATGGATTGGATATGAGTGATTACGAGTGTGAAGCACAACACCTCAACATCCGAGTTTCATACTTCACAAAAATATTCACGGTTCGTGTGAGACTCGGTTGGAGCCAGTGGTGGCCGAGTTTTCCGCATCCGTAGGAACGCCACTACCCTCTACGGATCAACGCTCTTTACTTCACAAAACGCTTCACGAATCTCTTGACAGCTCACTTCACAACTCACCTTGTACACTGGTACTGGCAGGGACAACATCGTTGTTGCAAACATAAACGGAATAAAAGTCACCTTCGCCTGAAGCGCGATCAACGACGTGAACAGTCTACGCTAGCACGCTGAAACTACTATGCCTAGAAAGCACGGACCTCGTATTAGTGCGTCTACTACGATTCACTACGTAGATCTACATGTACATGTATGTACGTACAATCAATGTATGGACTCGGCTATCGAAAAAAAAAGAAGAAAAAAGACAGCCAGCGCACGCGACCACACCCAAAGTTCGTACTACGCGCTGATTTTATTCAAATCACACTTGAAAATAGTTCGTCTTCACGAAAGTTCGCCATACAGGAGTTCGTCGTAAACGAACAATTTTGACTTGATATGTTTGACTTGATATGATGCCTGGCCAACCATAGGATTGGCCCTAGTTCGTACTAATGGAAAGTTCGCCTTATCAGTGTTCGTCCTAACACGGTTTGACTGTAAGTTTTGGATGGAACTGAAGGTTTTTAGCACCCACGATTTAGCAATTGTGCATGTTTCAAACGAATCAAGTGAAAACAGAATGCCTTGTGTGAAATATCGTAAATTTTGAGTGCATGGGTACAGAGCGCGGTGCGTGCGAGTTACGTAATGAAGGCTGTGTGCTGCACACAGGTTCTTAGTCACAGCTGCATGCTTTTGGTTACTGTCTAATTATGTACTCTTGTCTCTTGACAATGGTGCTATGTGTACTGGATCTTACTTTCTGTGATCTAGTGTCAAGCTCATTGTAGTACATACTCTAATTTCAGAAATTTTCAGTGCTCAATATTTTCGGTATGAGGGCAAAAGGCTAGGTTAGGTGAACTGAAATTTTCGGTACAGGGAAGCAGTTCCCTATTGGATTATAATTATGCGTTAGTGTTTGTTCGGTGTATTGAAATTGTCGGTATGAAACAGATGCACCGAAAGTACCGAAAATAAAAGTACACCGAAAATTTTGTGAAATTACGGTATACTGATATGCCAGTGTGAACATTCATCTGCTGCACCAACTATAACTATCGGAATGTGTATGCGTCTGTGCAATTTGTTGACTGATGAAAGGATCAACAGCTGGGGCGCACAGCAGCCAATGTGAAAGATCCTCTGTGGTTCGCCAAGCCTGGATTCCTTGAAGGCGTTGGCTCTGGTGATAAACTTGCTTCGTGGGTCGGTGCCGGTGCCAGCAACACCTATGTACAGATGTCTTCCTCATTGCTAACGGAAAAGAACTTGGAGACATCAACGATCTTTGCTAACCCACACACACTGGGTAAGTACGTGGTGGTGACTTCTTTCTCATACAATGTCTCTGGCTGTTGCATTCTCCATGTTGCTTTTCCCCGTTCGTGCCTGTGCATCAGGCACTTTGTGTGCATGCAAGAAGAGTAGTTTTCAATTTTCTTCATGATACTTCGAAGTATGTTGTTTTGTCAGTTTTTTTCCTTGCTGATGGTCAATGGCTGAGATTTTTGTCTGGCTGGTTCTGTACGAGGTGGGTTGGTTGATTAAAGGGGCACTCCGGGAATTTTTTCGGTGGTGTGTTCTCTTCATGGGGGCCTTATATGGCCCCCAAGGAATGGGGAATCGCGAAAACTAGACCCAAAAAGTCGATATATGAAGCCAGGGAGGACCAAGTTTGTCTCCTCTTTTGATGGTTTTGATGACGTCACGTGTGATTAGTATTCAAATTCTCTGCATTTGAAGATCTTAGTTGTTTGAATTTTCTGGTGATGAAGAACGATGTTTGGTCGACATTCCCAAGCTTCACAACTGCGGACCTACTCTAAGGAACCTGAAGGACCCCCTGAGGTGCCCCTGGTAGAAGCGCAGCCTGATGAGGGCCAGGAGATTGGAGCGGACGACTTCACTGGTCCGAGTACGAGGATCCCGAAATTCTCTATGCCGTGAGGCATATGGTTAGAACAGTTTTGTTTAGACAAGCTGACGCGAAGTCGGGGTGATGTGTAACGCATGTCAAAGGGCTGTCAATGCTAACAGCTGCAGCGCTCTCTCGACAGCGAAGGTAATCGATCCCTCTGCATCACCCCACATTTCTGGCAGGAACACCAATCGTTATTTCCTTGTCGACCAGTGAAGTCGTCCGCTCCAATTTCCTGGCCCTCATCAGGCTGCGCTTCTACCAGGGGCACCTCAGGAGGTCCTTCAGGTTCCTTAGAGTATGGTCGCAGTTGTGAAGCTTGGGGATGTTGACCAAACATGGTTCTTCATCACCAGAGAATTCAAAAAACTAAGATCTTCAAATGCAGAGAATTTGAATACTAATCACACGTGACGTCATCAAAACCATCAAAAGAGGAGACAAACTTGGCCCTCCCTGGCTTTATATATCGACTTTTTGGGTCTAGTTTTCGCGATTCCCCATTCCTTGGGGGCCATATAAGGCCCCCATGAAGAGAACACACCACCGAAAAAATTCCCGGAGTACCCCTTTAAGTGAAGCGATGTGAGTAAGAAAAAGTTCACATGACCACGTTACAACCGGCTTTACACTTGTGTTGAGAAACACAACCAGCTTAGGGCGTTTTGCGTGTGCCAGGCCACCAGCATGAGTGGTATGACTATAAGTCAGGGCAAAGGGCAGAGGACAAGTGCCCAGTTAAGGGGTTGAATATGAATGAGGGTTCAGAGCAGAGCGAGAGTGCCCAGTCAAAGTGTTGAATTCCAGGCTACAGGAGGTGCGGTGCATACATTTGTCAAAATTTTATGTTTCTACTTCCCTTCCCTTGCAGGTATTGTCTCGAACCTGAAAGAATCACTCAATTCATCGATCCTGTTCTACGACAGGGACAACAAGAGGCTTAGCAGGTATGTGTTGCGTCAGTCCCACACCAGCACACTTCTAATTTGCCGCAGCGTTGATTTTGCTCAGGTGCATTGCTGTGTCAACTGATACCAATTTCTTAGCCTGCCTTTTAGGGGAGGGACTCTCTTATTTGGAAATTAGGCCACATGCCCACTGCTCTTATCTCTTCGAAACTCAACACTTGCAAGTCAGATATGAAAGAAAGAAAGAAAAGATCATCAGTCAGAAGACCACCGGGACTCGAACCACTCGAATTTCCTAATAACTTACTTGAAATTCTCCGTGATGTCCAAACTTGGAATTGGAATATCTGATCTTGTGTCCATGCTACAGGTCGTCCCTCGTTAATACATAATCTCTGGGACTTGAGAAATGTTATGTATTAACGGGGTTTATGTACTAAACGAAAGTGTACATAACTTGCTTGTGTACCAGAATTTTTCACTTTTTTCAACTTTTCTGAGCGTTTCTGGCTACCATGGCTAGGGAGCGAGATATTCTTGATTCCCTCGATATAACATATAAATTATGTTATAACGGTCACAGTCAGCGAAGATTCTACAGTTTACGTGATACATGTCCAGCCGCGCCTGTACAGTCACTCGAAAAAAAACAGAGCTTTGTCGGTTTGTGATGTGCGCTCTGATTTCTGAGCTAATTGCATCCACAAGTAGGCCAAAACGACCAACAAATTATGTACTATTGAGGTAGGTGGCATCCGGGTACGCAAAAATGTTATGTACTAACGGGGTTTATGTACTAACGAATTATGTACTAACCGACAAAATTTGTACGGAAGTGACCACGTTTCGTCCGGGACTTGAGATTTCTTATGTACTAACGGGGTTTATGTACTAACCGGACTCGTATTAACGGGGGACGACCTGTATAATGTTGGCAGTTGTACATGTAGACAATATTATACATGTACATGTACCATGTACAACATTTTCCTCAACCATGACATCCACCTCTGTGGTGCTAGGTACCGATGTAACGTTATATGTATTCAGGTCACTGATATCTGCAGGCTGCAGCTGTTTGGCCCTGTTAGGGCTCTTCAGCGACGGTCAGCTTTCAGATAATGCGTTTCGTCCCTGTTGTGTCCTGACCGCTGTATGCTCTGCTGTTGCCCGTGCCCCATCCAGCGTCTCCGACCAGGCCGACCTGTTCAAGTCATTGCTCTGCTATGAACCATCCTACTCTCTGCTATATCGGTAGGTTATGCACTGCGCGCCAACACTGTACACACTGCCTGGTTTCGTCGCTGCTGCTGCTGCTACTGTAGTGCCATGCTGTGTATGTGTGCGTGCATGCATGCTTTCTTGCGTGTGTGCGTGCGTGCATGCTTTCTTGCGTGTGTGCGTGCGTGCATGCTTTCTTGTGTGTGTGTGTGTGTGTGTGTGTGTGTGTGTGTGTGTGTGTGTGTGTGTGTGTGTGTGTGTGTGTGTGTGTGTGTGTGTGTGTGTGTGTGTGTGTGTGTGTGTGTGTGTGTGTGTGTGTGTGTGTGTGTGTGTGTGTGTGTGTGTGTGTGTGTGTGTGTGTGTGTGTGTGTGTGTGTGTGTGTGTGTGTGTGTGTGTGTGTGTGTGTGTGTGTGTGTGTGTGTGTGTGTGTGTGTGTGTGTGTGTGTGTGTGTGTGTGTGTGTGTGTGTGTGTGTGTGTGTGTGTGTGTGTGTGTGTGTGTGTGTGTGTGTGTGTGTGTGTGTGTGTGTGTGTGTGTGTGTGTGTGTGTGTGTGTGTGTGTGTGTGTGTGTGTGTGTGTGTGTGTGTGTGTGTGTGTGTGTGTGTGTGTGTGTGTGTGTGTGTGTGTGTGTGTGTGTGTGTGTGTGTGTGTGTGTGTGTGTGTGTGTGTGTGTGTGTGTGTGTGTGTGTGTGTGTGTGTGTGTGTGTGTGTGTGTGTGTGTGTGTGTGTGTGTGTGTGTGTGTGTGTGTGTGTGTGTGTGTGTGTGTGTGTGTGTGTGTGTGTGTGTGTGTGTGTGTGTGTGTGTGTGTGTGTGTGTGTGTGTGTGTGTGTGTGTGTGTGTGTGTGTGTGTGTGTGTGTGTGTGTGTGTGTGTGTGTGTGTGTGTGTGTGTGTGTGTGTGTGTGTGTGTGTGTGTGTGTGTGTGTGTGTGTGTGTGTGTGTGTGTGTGTGTGTGTGTGTGTGTGTGTGTGTGCATGCATGCTTTCTTGCGTGTGTGCGTGCGTGCATGCTTTCTTGCGTGTGTGCGTGCATGCATGCTTTCTTGCGTGTGTGCGTGCATGCATGCTTTCTTGCGCGCGCGCGCGTGTGTGTGTGCGCGCGCGCGTGCGTGCGTGTGTGTGTGTGTGTGTGTGTGCATGACTGATGTGCACCGACCAACAAAGGCATGCTCTATGTGCATGGCACACACCGAAATCTCCAGAGTGCACAACGATGTGTACTTTGGCCTGGGGCCAGTACTAAAACCTTTTTTATGACTTGAAAAGCTCTGCAAGGATTCTCTCTAGTTCTACAATTCGTTAATGTAATGTACATGGGGGAATTTTCCTACATGGGGCAAACGTGCTCTTTGTGCGTGAAATTCTTTCCTGCGTACTGCTGTTGCAGTGTTGGTTATCTTCAGCTCTAGGTTTAGAAGGTGACTAATAGGATATCTGGGGCTCTGGGGATAAATATCACTTTTGTTTGATGCGTGATCCATAACACGTCTGCTGCTGCTGCTGCTGTTATTATATGTGATTTGTGACAGGCTGAAAACTGACTCATTGCAGATGGATTGCTTTGATGTGTTTGCATCACACTCGAAGTCTACTGTCTGCGAGTCTGGTAGGTCAACACCTCTACATGTCCGCTAGGTTTCTTTGTGTGTTTGACTGTTTGCTAGTCTCTCTATGATGATCTCTGTGTTCTTCAAGGGAACATGCGCAACCATAACTGCCTCCAATGTTTTTGGGCTGCACAGCAACGAAACGAGTTGGCGTCAATTTTACGTTGAAGTTTGCTGCAGCCCATGTAACATATTTTGACGAATGATATTATATAAATGGGGTTGACAGACCAGGACACGAGCAAGCATACCTCTTGAGTTCTTCTTGGATAAACCAGGTGTGGTGGTGCAGTGTGCAGAGTTGTGCAATGGAATTTCGTCTCCTGGAGAAGTTGATGCCTTACTGTATGCAGTGCACAGCTCATTGTTGAGATTAGGACTGTGTGATGCCCGCCGCTTCCTTCCAATAACTCGTGAGCCCGGACGCCATTGGAGCACTGTACTGCTTACTCTACTCGTAGTTAAGGGTGCCGAGTAGGCAGTAAAACTCCACCGTTGCCGACTCTAATTTATTGATTGCTCTTCAATTTGGCTATTTACAGGTCAGTTTGGCAGCACAATCTTCAGTCCAGAGTTGTCTTTTCCACGACAAAATGCTGACTGCATTTCGGCATCGCAAGCATCTCTTCACTTGCTCGCTTGCCTGTCGCACCTGAACGCTGCAATCACTTCTGGAATATCGGCTACGGGTGCAGGCGGAGTTGCTGTTGTTCCTGGCTCAACGATAGCTCTGGGCTCGATCAATACGGTGCCTGTGATGCCTAATGACTACTCGACTGTTTGTCGCTTTCAATGTGAGTCAGATTGTGTATGATGTGCTTCTGCCTGGTAGCATTCCAGAACCATGGGGCAGTGGCTTGCTATCTGTATCGGATCCAGTCAACCAAGCTCCTGGGGCAGGGTTGCTCGGATCCCACCAAACGGCCTGAGTATAACCGAGTGTCGTCTTGGGTTTTTTTAGCCTTTTGTTTTGGGCCAGTTTGGCTCGGCTATCGTCGCTCCTTTCCCTGACTAATGTGATTGTTAGCAACAAGACTCTTTGCTGACAGAGGATGCTGCGTGTCATGATAGAATAATTCATTGAAAGACTGGAGTGCGCGCGTGCGTGCCTGTGTTGATTGCTGCAGCAAGCGGAGGTACTTGGGGATATTCACCAACTTGTGCTGGTTACATGCTTTACTGCTGTGTTTGCTGCAGCTACTGGAGGTCCTTGGGGCTATTCACAAACAGCTGTCGATGCCGTATCCTTTTTGGTGGACAAGGACATATTTCTGTATGGAGTTGGACTGTATTCGAACACGCAAGGATCCACGTTCAAAGCCACTATCCGGGTAAGGGCATTTGTCGATCGTGTAACAGCTATGTGTGCCGTGTATGTATGCATGCGTGCCTGTCTGTGTACAGCTTCATAACTGGTTACTGTCGCAGACACAATGAATACTGGCGTAGCACACTAATAGCGACTAGGGCAATGATCTAGACTTCTTAACTCGGCTACTTTCTGACTGTTTATCATCTTGTTACAGTCGTGGATAGTTGCTGCATAACGCGTTCTCATGTGTTTTCTTCTCTTTTTTACATCTAGACTTCTAGTACAATATCTGTCTTCGTTTTGTGTTTGTATCTACTGTGTCTGACCAGATTGAAATGGGGAATCGTGATCGTGAGCTTGTGACAGAGTACACTTCTAGCTTTTCCAAATCCGCCAAGCCCAGGTCAGCATTGTACTTACTCGTAGTGCACCACCGCATGATCATACTGTCTTGATTTGTTTTATTTTATTATCCTTTGCTGTAGCATGTGCCGGTGTGTGTGTGTGTGGGGGGGGGGGGGGGGGGATGCCGAATTGAAGGGCGTTCTTTGGTTTGAATAGCCCGGTGTGCCGCTACATCGGTTCAGAGATGTGTGGTTGTGTGTCATGCAGACAGCAACTGCTGAACAAGTCTGGTCAGGAAAAACCTGAACGTTTTATCTATGCAGGTCTCGTCAAATTAAAAGTTCTGTAAGTTGCTGAACCAGATTCCAGTCTGCTATCCTGTTCACATGTGACTCTGTGTGTTCAACTGTTCATGTGTAAGCTGTGCATGGCATGTGCAGCTTACACATGTGACTCTGTGTGGTCATGTGTAATGGCATGTGCTTAAAGGGGAAGTATACCCTAAAATCAAATTTTCACCAGTTGTAGTCTTCTGGGTGCTGAGTCGAATGGTCTTGGTCCGAGGAAGCTGCGACGCTCCCTTCCTACTTGAATCCCAATCGAACTCGCGCACTTCCACCGAAACTGGGTGACTGCGCCCTACTAGATGGGGATTTGTATGCAAAATGTCACTAAAAGCGCCATTTCGTTCTTATAAAAGCACGGATGACCGCGATTGGCCCATATGTTGTAGTCTTTTGGACGCTGAGTCGACTGGTTTTGGTCCGAAAAGGCTGCGATGCAGCGTTCCTCCTTTATTCCCAATCGAACATGGTTGAACAAGCGGTCACGTGCTCCTGCGTACACCAGTCAGCTGGTCACCGTGCCTGCAGGGTACAACTTACTAGCCTGTTTGACCTTTTTTGGGTGCAGTCCTGTCACTCGAGTTGAACTCGAGTTGAACCTTGGTGTGAAAGTTGTCGCCTGCTGGCGCGGTGACCAGGTGATTTGGGCACCCAGGAGCACGTGACCGCTTGTTCAACCATGTTCGATTGGGAATAAAGGAGGAACGCTGCATTGCAGCCTTTTCGGACCAAAACCAGTCGACTCAGCGTCCAAAAGACTACAACATATGGGCCAATCGCGGTCATCCGTGCTTTTATAAGAACGAAATGGCGCTTTTAGTGACATTTTGCATACAAATCCCCATCTAGTAGGGCGCAGTCACCCAGTTTCGGTGGAAGTGCGCGAGTTCGATTGGGATTCAAGTAGGAAGGGAGCGTCGCAGCTTCCTCGGACCAAGACCATTCGACTCAGCACCCAGAAGACTACAACTGGTGAAAATTTGATTTTAGGGTATACTTCCCCTTTAATTAAGGCCATGGTAAAAAATAAAGTTGATTCTCAGGTCATGAGCCTGTGAAAATCGGTGCGAGCGAGCGATTTTTTATTTTAATTCCCACAATTTTTTTATTTCCAAAGATAGGGTCACACATGTGTACGTCACAGGTTCATAATTAATTTATAATTATTTTATTATTCAGGCCAGGGAGTAGAAAAATACCGGTATTTTTCTACTCCCGGATTCATGCCTTTCGCATTGACCGTTTTCATGCACGCATATGCATGCATAGAAATAAAAAAAATCGTCGGTGCGCCACCAAAAATCGATGCGCGCGTACTTGAGAATCAAAGATATTTTTTACCATGGCCTAATAGAAACAACGTGGCTTCCCCAGCTGGTCATGTGTTCGATATAGCCAGTGCTGGCCGAGGTTATCTCCACTGATGAATACCTGCCGGGCCCCTGGTAGCATTACCAGTACTGTATACACATTTCATTGGCCAGCACTGGAGTCACAGTAAGTCATCATCCTTGATTGGTATTTCTGGCTTTTTTCTCCTACTGTTTTGTTTGCAGTCGCGAAGACGAATATTGTCACTGCCTTATGGATAAGCCGCTGAAGCTGGAGGCAAAGCAACTGTACAATATCTTGGTGACCATCACAAGTAGCAGTCGATCTGCTAGTGGTTCAGTTGGTTTTCCCTCTGTCAATGCTACCGATGAGTAAGTGTCCAGCAACATGGTGCTTTCTGCTGCTGCTGCTGCTGGTGGTGGTGCTGCTGCTGTTGGTGCGGCCGCTGCTGTTAGTGGTGGTGATGGTGGTTGTGGTGGTGGTGCTGCTGCTGTTGGTGGTGGTGGTGCTGTTACTGTGGTCTTGGATATTTTCAATGTGCATATTTGGATGGTGTAATCCTGTTGAGACCTCATGCTGCAGTACTGACTTCTGCTCTCCGGTATCAACAGTTTCACGAGAACAAGACCCTCCCCTTAGTGTCCAGCTCCACCAGCATATGCTGTATGCTAGTACCCAGCTGTCGGCTAACCTTGTAGTGTGGTACAGATGTGGTGTTGTGAGAATCCACACCACTTAAGCGAGCAAGGCAACAGTAGCATCCGACTGCCTGAAGTGAAATATACAACGTGTGCGGAAGTTTCTGTACTGAGCCTCATGACTGCCGGCGTTCATCACGTGCTTACAGTGACTCAGACTGTGCACGTGTGTTGCCACCGTCTGACACACTGTCTGTAGGGTTGCACACTTCTTTTTCGGTGTGTGTGTGTGTGTGTGTGTGTGCGTGCGTGCGTGCGTGCGTGCGTGTGCGCGCGTGCGTGCGTGTGTGTGTGTGTGTGTGTGTGCACGATTCATGCTTGTTTTATTGTGTGCCTCCGTGATCCCCCCCCCCCCTCCCTTCTTGTACTCACACTTGTCTGTACTGTTTTATTTCCTCATTTCTCAGTGGTGAGTCGGTGACATTCACCTTCAAGGCCTGTATGCATTCGAACAATGGAACTGATTCGGAATCCGGCCAGATACCTGGCATCTTGTTCAAGTAAGGCACTTACAGTACATAGCTCATGCTACTGATACTGATGCTGTTGCTGCTGCCATTGCTGTTGCTGCCGTCGTTGTTGTTGCTGCTGATACTGCTAATACTCGTCAGGCGAAATTACTGGTCAGTCGGCGACACGCATTTTTCACAAAAATTTGCGTTTCACCTGCTGGGAGAGTATGCGTGTACTCGAGTCTCATCCTGAGCACGTTTCTTTCTTCTTTTTTTCAGCTCCAGTATAGCTGTATTTTTCATTGCAAAGCCGTCCTCGATTGTTGTGTTTGTTGTTCAAACGAAGTGGACATTCAATCATGAAGGCAGAGGACATAGGAGCCTGATTGGAGTTTCTCGTGGCATAGGACGGCCACACAGAGACACTTTGGGATTTTCTGAATATAAAATACCGTACGCACGATGCTGAGATCAATTTGTGCGATATCAAATTGTTTGTGATCTACCACATCGAGCAGAACGGGATCCAAACACAAGCTTACCGACGGTTAGGCTGCCGACCTGACTGGACAAATGATCCCTGGCTTCACCAGACGCCAGAAGTCGGACACCATGTCCTTTGCCGCGACGTCCATCTCCAAAAAGAACTCCATCTTCGTTGTGAAAAGGCTTGAAATACTCAATATTCAACCGAGATTCGCGGACTCGCGCTTTCTCGGATCGATTAATTTCCTGTTGGAACAGTTGCAGGGCAGCTTCCCACCCGCCACTGTTTCAACAGGCGATGGCTCCAAAGCATGCCTGGAACAAGCCATATCAAGGTTGCAAGCCACCCCTCTCAGCAAAAAATTCGAAGAAATTCGAAATTTCAATGGTGGAAGATATACTATGAAGAGAATTTCAAAAAGTATGTTTCGCGGAGCGATCGCTCAACCTACGTCATTCAAACTTTTGCAGGATGGTTCAGACGTACATGCTAGGCATGGAACCACAGGCGATGATGCCATAGCTGACACACAGAGTAACACACACAGCAGATCCGTGTGCACAGATACTAAATTAGTGGACGTCGTCATCTTCTTCCCGCTGATCTCGAATGTACTATGACGTGCTATTTCGCCTGACGGATGCTGTTGCTGCTGCAGTTGCTGCTAATACTGATGCTGTTGCTGCTGCAGTTGCTGTTGCTGCTGCCAAGGGTGTCCTTGCTACTGGAGCTGTGCCCACAATACACTTACGGTTTTCTGAAGATAGTGGTGAGGAAGATTTGTGTTCAATAAATATGAGGAGTCCCTGGCGTGGTCTTTTGTCCCTTGGGAAAGCTTTGAAGAAGAGCACCCAATGTATTGTACTTGTCAAGTAAGACCATACCAAGTTAGACCATCCTGTTCAAACCTTGAACAGCTGCTGCAATCTGCTGGACCATATTGTGTGATGTTGTTGTTGTTGTTGTTGTTGTTGTTGTTGTTGTTGTTGTTGTTGTTGTTGTTGTTGTTGTTGTTGTTGTTGTTGTTGTTGTTGTTGTTGTTGTTGTTGTTGTTGTTGTTGTTGTTTTATGTGATGACACAGAGTGTACAAGGAACAGGCTGTTGCCCATACATCCTCCAGCAGTAGTCAGCTGACCGCCCATGTTCTGCGTCCGGAGTTTTCTACCAGCGTGTCCCAGGTTAGTTTCTCTATGACGTGTACTAGTATCTGTTCTCGCACTCGCATATACATGTTGTGTACGTTTGTGTACAGAGCCCGGACCTGGATAGTACATGTACAGATCATTTTGGGGACCATCCGCAACATTTTTTGGTGAAGATATTGATCTGGGGACCATCCACAACATCTTTTGGAGAAGATATTTGCTTGGGGGGGGCACCTTTGTTGATGTAAAAATGATCTCTAGATGTGTGCGCTGGGTGTTGTGCAAGTGTGAAGTTGATGTGTGCGCTGGGTGTTGTGCAAGTGCTGGGTGTTGTGCAAGTGTGAAGTTGATGTGTGCGCTGGGTGTTGTGCAAGTGTGAAGTTGATGTGTGCGCTGGGTGTTGTGCAAGTGTGAAGTTGATGTGTGCACTGGGTGTTGTGCAAGTGTGAAGTTGATGTGTGCGCTGGGTGTTGTGCAAGTGCTGGGTGTTGTGCAAGTGTGAAGTTGATGTGTGCGCTGGGTGTTGTGCAAGCGTGCAGTTGATGTGTGTGCTGGGTGTTGTGCAAGTGTGAAGTTGATGACTTGCACGTACGGTGGTGGCGAGTGACACCCAACGTCATGAATGTACCTGCGGCCAAGCGCTGTGCCCATGCGAACTGAGGCTGTACAGTGTGCCCATATGTACGGAGGCTGTACAGTGTGCCCATATGAACAGAGGCTGTACAGTGTGCCCATATGAACGGAGGCTGTACAGTGTGCCCATATGAACGGAGGCTGTACAGTGTGCCCATATGAACGGAGGCTGTACAGTGTGCCCATGTGAACGGAGGCTGTACAGTGTGCCCATATGAACAGAGGCTGTACAGTGTGCCCATATGAACAGAGGCTGTACAGTGTGCCCATATGAACAGAGGCTGTACAGTGTGCCCATATGAACGGAGGCTGTACAGTGTGCCCATATGAACAGAGGCTGTACAGTGTGCCCATATGAACAGAGGCTGTACAGTGTGCCCATATGAACAGAGGCTGTACAGTGTGCCCATATGAACAGAGGCTGTACAGTGTGCCCATATGAACAGAGGCTGTACAGTGTGCCCATGTGAACAGAGGCTGTACAGTGTGCCCATATGAACAGAGGCTGTACAGTGTGCCCATATGAACAGAGGCTGTACAGTGTGCCCATATGAACAGAGGCTGTACAGTGTGCCCATATGAACAGAGGCTGTACAGTGTGCCCATATGAACGGAGGCTGTACAGTGTGCCCATATGAACAGAGGCTGTACAGCGTGCCCATGTGAACAGAGGCTGTACAGTGTGCCCATATGAACAGAGGCTGTACAGTGTGCCCATATGAACAGAGGCTGTACAGTGTGCCCATATGAACGGAGGCTGTACAGTGGGCCCATGTGAACGGAGGCTGTACAGTGTGCCCATATGAACAGAGGCTGTACAGTGTGCCCATATGAACAGAGGCTGTACAGTGTGCCCATATGAACAGAGGCTGTACAGTGTGCCCATATGAACAGAGGCTGTACAGTGTGCCCATATGAACAGAGGCTGTACAGTGTGCCCATATGAACAGAGGCTGTACAGTGTGCCCATATGAACGGAGGCTGTACAGTGGGCCCATGTGAACGGAGGCTGTACAGTGTGCCCATATGAACAGAGGCTGTACAGTGTGCCCATATGAACAGAGGCTGTACAGTGTGCCCATATGAACGGAGGCTGTACAGTGGGCCCATGTGAACGGAGGCTGTACAGTGTGCCCATATGAACAGAGGCTGTACAGTGTGCCCATATGAACAGAGGCTGTACAGTGTGCCCATATGAACAGAGGCTGTACAGTGTGCCCATATGAACAGAGGCTGTACAGTGTGCCCATATGAACAGAGGCTGTACAGTGTGCCCATATGAACAGAGGCTGTACAGTGTGCCCATATGAACAGAGGCTGTACAGTGTGCCCATATGAACAGAGGCTGTACAGTGTGCCCATATGAACAGAGGCTGTACAGTGTGCCCATATGAACAGAGGCTGTACAGTGTGCCCATATGAACAGAGGCTGTACAGTGTGCCCATATGAACAGAGGCTGTACAGTGTGCCCATGTGAACAGAGGCTGTACAGTGTGCCCATATGAACAGAGGCTGTACAGTGTGCCCATATGAACAGAGGCTGTACAGTGTGCCCATATGAACAGAGGCTGTACAGTGTGCCCATATGAACAGAGGCTGTACAGTGTGCCCATGTGAACGGAGGCTGTACAGTGTGCCCATATGAACAGAGGCTGGACAGTGTGCCCATATGAACAGAGGCTGTACAGTGTGCCCATATGAACGGAGGCTGTACAGTGTGCCCATATGAACAGAGGCTGTACAGTGTGCCCATATGAACAGAGGCTGTACAGTGTGCCCATATGAACGGAGGCTGTACAGTGTGCCCATATGAACAGAGGCTGTACAGTGTGCCCATATGAACAGAGGCTGAATGTACAGTTTCCGCTGGTCACAGTAGTGTATGGAAATAGCCAGAACTTGCAACTGTCACATTGAGAGAACTTTGTTGAAACATACTGAAAACGGAATGTAAATGCTACACGTTGAGGTGACACGTACACATACGTGCCTCCGCACACATACACACACGTGTGCATGTGTGCACCCCCCCCCCCCCCACACACACACATGCACTCGCACACATACGCACGCATTCACTCCCACACTTGAATCTTGAGCATGCCCGTTGCCAATGTCAATGATAGTGAAGTGACTATCTTTCAGCTGTGCAGCACACCATCACACATGCGCACACTCACCCTCATCTGTGACGCTAACAGTAACGCACTGTCTTTCAATGTCACTGCAGGATGGCTTCTCAGCTCTGCTGCGATTGCTTCGCTGGTCATGGGACAAGCTATGTTTGTCAGTCAAACAGCCAATGACATCCGGTAGTCGACGTGACACTCTCGGTGCTCTTCAAGATCTCAAACGGCTGGCATTCATCACGTCTCATTGCTTGCAGCTGTTGCAGACATTCGTTCTGGAATTATACCCTGTCCCAGGTATGCGCTGGTGATAACGTGTACTGTGCAATCCCATCACTTTCTTGACTTTTATGTCATGGTTCTTGTGTCTGGTTTTATCCCCCTGTTCTTTTTCAATTCTGCTTGCTAATTGGGAGAACTTCATAAGTTGTCCAGTGCCCAGTTTATGAGAGCGAGGTTTCAAGACATGCAAGCCCTCGTGGGATTGGTGATGAATTTATTTTTGATCGTGTGTGTTTTTCTTGTGTGGTGCTTGTGACAGGCTCGAAGAACACTGCCAAACCAGAGGAGGACCAGCTTGTCGAGGCCATTGGTGATTCGCGCAGTGTCCTGAGTGACATTCTCAGCAAGTCTATTCTGCTCACCAAACTGCAGGGAAACCCAGCCGACTCCAATTCACCGGCTTCTCTCTTTATGCAGGCCCTGGACCAGTGCTACAAGACGTTTGTTGCCTGCTGCCATGCGTTCTATCCATCAAACTTCCTTCGCTGGACAGCACTGTTTGCTTTGCTGAATCAGTACACAGTTGATGTAAGTAGGTAGCGAAACACTGCATCTTTGCCAGGAGATGTTCTACTTGTAAGGGGTGGTCGCAAAAGTTTTCTGTCGTCCCTGAAACCAACATCGTTCATTTCATACTCAGACCCCCTCCCCTCCCTCTGAAACGAACACAGCTTGCTATGCTGGACGACGAAAATCGCATGCATGTGCATGTCATATGTACAGTGTCGGTCGACTTGCGATTTTGGCTCGCACCCCCCCCCCCCCCCCCCCCCCAAATGAATCATGTTCGTTTCAGGGACGACAAAAAACTTTTGCGACGACCCCTAAATACAGTCTGCATTTGATTACATTGGAGAGGTTAAGATGCACGTTATTTCTGACACGACGCGAAAGTTCAGCTCGCATGATTCGGCTCGCGCGTCGAAAAACAGCGCGAGTGACCTGCAGCTCACATCGAAATTTGGAGTTTTACGCCAGATTTGACGTGAAATTGCGCGTCACGTCGGAAATAACGTGCATCTTAACCTCTCTAGTGCCCTTTTCCAAACTGCCTGTGGTATTGCCACGGCAACAGCTCGGTCGTTGCACTGCTTCATCACAATGTGATAGAAAGCCTGTTTTCTCCAATTGGTCAAGAGTATTTATTCTTGAAGAAAGTGAAAATGGGAAGAAGAAGAAATGTTGCTGAAATATTGTTTCCATTGAAGTGAATATCACCTTGTTTGTAATGAGCTTTAACTTCACTTTGCCGTTATAGGCGTAAATTCTTGCACAAGCTGTGCAGCGCTGCTTACCGGACACTGGTGTAGTGTTGTGTGTTGCCTAGCCCGGGGATTTTCAAGACTTCAGTATCATTCCATGCATGTGTGTGTGTGCGCGCTTGTTTGTGCGAGTGTGTACGCACACATGTGTGCATGTCCGTGTATGTGTGTGCGTGCATGTGTGTGTGTGTGTGTGTGTGTGTGTGTGTGTGTGTGTGTGTGTGTGTGTGTGTGTGTGTGTGTGTATGGTGTGTGCGTGTGTGCGTGTGTGCGTGTGTGCGTGTGTGCGTGTGTGCGTGTGTGCGTGTGTGTGTGTGTGTGTGTGTGTGTGTGTGTGTGTGTTTCCGTTTATTCACTTTTTTGGCTCAGATTCGCGCTGGTGGTGTTCCACATTGTAGCCGTCATCTGGCTGCGCTGATGGAGGCTTTGGCCAAGCCCACTCAACCTTTGCTAGCTGCTATCAGTGCTTTGCCTGTTGGTGAAACTACAAGTATGTACCACTGTAGTACGTGTACTACTTACACTGGTAGTATTACAGTGCTCAGGAGCTCTTTCTCATATTCTTCAGCACCTGCAAAAGTTTTGAAGTGCGAATATGTGTGTGTGTGTGTGTGTGTGTGTGTGTGTGTGTGTGTGTGTGTGTGTGGAGGGGGGGGGGGGGGTATGTGATTATGTATGTGTGTACGTATGTGAATATGTACGTGTGCGTACGTGTGTGTGTACGTATGTGAGTATGTACGTGTGTGCGTACGTGTGTGCATACGTGTGTGCGGACGTGTATGTATGCGCATATGTTCGTGTGTGTGTGTGTGTGTGTTCGTGTGTCCCGTGTGTGTGCGTGAGTGTGTATCCTTCAATGCTTGCTGGGAGGGCTACTAGTGAGTTTATAAACTGAAAGAGGAACAATTGTCCATGTGCGCGTTATAATCGACCGTATTTGAACTGCTCTTGTACCCTGCAGAGATTTATTCCTTGATTGGATCAGCACAGAGTCATTATCCCAAGCTGGAGCAGCACATGGCTGACCGTATTCAAGAACAAGGAGAGTGCGATGTCAGCGCAAGCTTCAAGGACGTTGTATCCCAGTTACTGTTCCTAGTCGTACAGCCTGTCCGTGATGCTGTTGGACTGGACAAAATCGTAAGTACTGACCACTGCTGCTTCTGCTCTTCTCCTTCTGCTGCTGCTGCTGCTGCCTTCTTTGACTAGGTTTGGTTGGTATTGGGTTTCCTTGTACCTGGCAAGTCATAACGCTCAACATCAATGGTGTTGTATCTGCTTCTTGCAGTGCTACGTCTCAGTAGCGTTGTGCCCATGCAAAGCCTATCAATGTGTGACCTGTTTCCTTGTCATCAATCCATGATGTACATTTCATGGATAAACCCTGCTGGTATTTTGTCTAGGGCATGGGTGATGGAAGGTAGTGTTTGGGACGAGTCTGGGCTACTGCTATAATGTTGCTACAAGTAACTTACTATACCCATGCTTTGCTCTGCTGTGTTCTTCCCATTTCTTTGCTGTTCTTGCCACTACTGATGCTGCTGTGTATGTTGGTGGTGATGGTGGTGCCGTTGTTGTTATTGCTGGTGTTGTTATGACTGCCGTGGCTACTGTGGATGCTGCTCCTGCTGCTGCTTCTGCTGCTATGTAGGATGGTGAGCGTGATAACATGGTGACTACGCGGGCTGGAGATCTACTGGCTGCGCTGGTCGGCCAACTCGCTCTGGACTGCCATATTTCTCTGGTAAATTAATAAAATTATTCACGTTATGTGCTATTTCCTTGTGATGTAATGGACTGGATTTGTGGCGTTGAGCTCTCTGCCTGTTATCTTTCGGCATTGGTCACAGCCTAGGCTTACAGTGGACTTGCTACAGGTATTTACGTATGTGTGTGTATGTGCGTGTGTGCGTGCATGTGTGCTTGCGTGTGCGTGTGTACGTGTACGTGTACACGTGTGCATGGGTGTGTGTTTTGTGTGTGCAGGAGGACGGCCCTTTGCTCTCATCAACAGTCAAACTGCACAGCGGTGAGCAGGTGCAGTCCACACCGGCACGGTTTGTATCTACCACGGAGCAAGAATTCTCCGGGGCAATGCACTCAAGCATGTTCAGAGTGGACAAGGATGGTGTGATGATTGCTGGCACTTGCATTTACGCTGTCGACGGCCTTTCCAACTATGAAGTGGAGCTGCTGCAGTTTTCAATGAACCAGGTTCGTTCTACAAGTTCCATCATGCCTCACTGCCCTGCAGTTATAATTGACTTTCTGGTGACATTAAAAAAAATTCGACGCGTTCGCGTACCGGGCAGGTCAAGAACAAGGAGTCGTACAACTCCCTGGTCAAGAACCACCTTTCCGCTGCTTCTGGTGACATTATATACACTATATGGATTACACTATATGGATTCACGAAGCCGTTATGATTTTATTCGTGAAGTCAGTTTGTGGAGTCATCTGCGCATAAACTAAACATTACATCCTGTTGTGGATGGCTACACTACTCTGTTCCTCAGGTCAATTTTGGTATTCCAGTCCTCATGCTGATCTCATGTCATTCATTGTCTGGTTCTCTTCCTGCAGCCTCTATCTATCAAGAAGATGTCTGGCTCTCTGAAGGAGGTGGAATTGGCTGATGGAAAGCTGACCATTTCTTTTGACAAGCCCGTCAGCATTCAGGTATGCTGCTTGTGCTTCCGCTACTGGCGGAGGTGTTGGTATGCGCCGTGAGGCTAGTGTATCCACTTAATGTATTGCAGTTACTCAATCTACGCACAGCTAGCTGTTTGCTGTTTCGACCTTGTTAGGTCTCGTTAGTGGAGCCCAGGGGTACTGGCCGAGCCGATCGCAATCAAGCCTTATGATCAAAGCATTTTTGAACCGGCTCAAAGCATCAAATTCGGAGAGTTCTAACTGCGATAAACACAGCAAGCTTTGTATTGCAGTTATTTGTATTACATAGCTGTGCTCTCCTGTCCTGCACTCACATTACCATGTGTGTATCTTACACAGCGTTTTCACTCGTCTGGATTGTGCTTCAGCATCCTTGTGAATGTCAGCAGCCTGTTCTTTTGCTTGCTCGTCGGGAGTTGTGCTAAAGTATGCTGTTCAATCGCCAGCACCCCTGACGTGGAATTATCCTCAATGTGAAATGGCGTGCATATGCCCCTGACAGCTTCTCTAGTATTGCCTCATTTACTCCTGTGCACAGCCCTGTAATGAATGTAATTGAGCTCACGAGTTGCCTGCTTGTGTGTATTCCCTCTCTGTCTCTGGAAACATTTGACTTGTGACTTGCAGCCAGGTAAGGACTACATCATGAACGTCGCCCTGCAAATGGATACTCATACTCAGTTTCCTCTTGGCAATGATGTCGACATCAACCAAGTGAAGACGGACGATGACATCACGTTCTCTTTCTCTACATCGCCAATGAGCAATGAGAGTACACTGATGCCGAGCCTGCTCTATATCAAGTAAGTTAGAACCCTATGGTATGTGAACTCTGTCTGAACCCTTCTGCTTATAGGACTAGCGATGTAGCTACGCTGTTTTCTAGAATGATCTAGATCTCACTTACTAGTACCTCTTCTTGTCCTGCATGCTGTATTAGTGATGGTCACTGTGTTATATATATAATTATAGCAGATTGTATAGTGTATACACACAAAGGCAAAGCAACAAAGATCACTGTGTGCACCCCCCCCCCCCCGTAGCTAGGGTATAGAATACTCTTTGCAGTAAGGACCCTAGATACTTTGTGTCAGTTTTCATGTCCTGTACATGTATGTAGCCTTGTGTGATTGTCAGTGTCCAATTGGGTTTTCTTCTTTTGCTGTCACCTCTCTCTATCTCTCTCTCTCCTCCTCTCCTCTTACTTTTTCTTTTCTTTCTTTCTGCAGCACGCTGTCCAAGGACGGCAACGCTGCGAGGACATCTTTAGCTGATACCAGGCGCCGCCCAGCTGCTCATCTTGTTCAGCTTTCCATCACTCTGCTGGAGCATTGCGCGCAGATCATCGACTGTCTCAATAGCCAGTCACATGAGAAACGTAAGAGGTGGCTGAATTTCCCCGGGGTCTTGTTGTTGATGGGATTTTCATGCAATCAAGCACAATTGGTAGGGTGTATGGTACTGTGCAATATACAGCTCTCCGTTTCTATTCCTTTGAAGTGACGCTGTTGGCTTTGCCCTACCAATGTCACTGCCCCCCTCCCCCCTGTATGCTGGGTGGCTGTACGAGAAAGATGGCTCATGTATTGATGTGCTCTTCGCTGGGTGTTTCTCACTTGTTGCCTTCGCAGTCAAGTCTCTGCTATCCATGCTGGGTGAATCGTACATCTTCTCCACTCTGCTCCCGTTGTGCCTGGCATACTTGTCACCAGTTGTAGCTGCTGACCTTCAGGTACAGTGCACTCTGTGCGTGTATGTGTAGATGTGTGTGTGTGTGTGTGTGTGTGTGTGTGTGTGTGTGTGTGTGTGTGTGTGTGTGTGTGTGTGTGTGTGTGTGTGTGTGTGTGTGTGTGTTCTGCCGTGTGCAGACATGCATGTTACTCCCGTATTTAATACGCTGGAGAGCGTTCTTATGTTCATCTCCAATAGACCTTGTGACAGCCGATTACTAGTGGCATGCTTAGGGTTATTACTAGTGGCATGGTCTAGGATTTCTAGTCTATTAGTGGTGTGCCCTGCCTTGCATGCCTTGCTTAGTCGCTGTATAAATAATATGTGTGTGTGTGTGTGTGTGTTTGTGTGTGTGTGTGTTTGCGTGCGTGCATGCGTTCGGGTGCATGTGTGCAGTAACTTTCATTCCATGTAGGCAACATAATCAGTTTGCAGTGGTGTTGATTTACTGCTGCTTATGTGTTGGATGAGCCTGGTTGTGATCTTCACACGATTGTTTTCTCTGCGTTAGTCGTTGTATGTGTAATTTTCAGTATACTGTTCTTCCAAGGGATATAATGTTCGGTTTTATGCGAGGTCAATTGAGTTGAAAATAAGTACTAAAGTGTACATGTACTTTATATCGAATGCGAAGATACTAGTGTGTTACAGACAATGTGTTTCATGCAATGAAGTTTCACTGTTGCTGTTGTTGCTGCTACTGTTGCTAATCACTGTTGCTGTTGTTGCTGCTACTGTTGCTAATCACTGTTGTTGTTTCAAATCTTTATTCTCACGATAGCCAGTGGCCAATAAGAGATAATAGTGTAAGAAAGGAGAAAGAGTGAGTTGTTGTTGTTGTTGTTGTTGTTGTTGTTGTTGTTGTTGTTGTTGTTGTTGTTGTTGTTGTTGTTGTTGTTGTTGTTGTTGTTGTTGTTGTTGTTGTTGTTGTTGTTGTGTTGTATGATCCTTGTGTGCAGCTTGCTATTGACATGATTGCACTGCTCCAAGCTGTATTGCCATCCGTCACCGGTATCAATCGAATGCTGCAGTCCAGCAACATTCTTGCTGATCTGGCGGCAGCAGCAAGCACTGAGAAAGCGTCCAGCGATGACAAGGCTGCTGAGCAAGAGAAGCCTGTGGTGGAGGTGAAGGGCGATGAAAGTGCGGCTGTTGAGGCCACTATCACCACCAATGGTGCAGACTGTCAGACGGCCAACAGTAATGCTGCTGATCAGCCTGTTCTGCCTGTGGTTACACATCACGTTGTAGTGGAGAGCGATCATCCGTACCCCACTGCCACTTGTAGCGGCTACGGGGTATGTACAGCATTACTCACTTTTTTCTTTTCTTTTTAGATTGGTTGTCTTGGATATGATGTGAGCGGTAACTATGCCGTGTGCATCACGCCATCAGTCAGGAAACGGATGGACGTGGCATGGGGTGCAAGGGGAAATCAACTATGCTGGAAGAATATTGGGGGGGGGGGGGGGGGGGGGAGATGACGGATGATGCGAACTCTGATGCAGCGGGGCTTAGATGATTTGAGCCAGTTTTGTTGTTGACTAGACTTCATTGTGATTAGTTCAGCCAGTAACTCTAATCTCCGCTGATGAGATCTAACAAAGTCGAAACAGCTAGCTATTACGCTCCCTTGCCTCGGCTTGGTTGAGCACATCCGACATAGTAACAATTAGCACACCCAACAGCACAGCAGCTTTTCGGCATATTGACTTCGACTGCAAGAGCGAATACAGGAAAGAACGGCAATGCAGCATCTATCACAGTCTAGAAGATCGAAACAGCTAGCTGTCCGGAGATTAAGTGAAAGCAAACTCCAAGTCAAGTAACAAACTAGAATAGGTGCGCGGGTAAAGAAAGAGTGCCTTTCGTTTAGCGTTTGCCACTCCGTCATGTAAAGTCTCCTTGGCACCTTCTCCGTGACGTCACATTCATAACCTCTATATACTGTACAGTGAAATGTTCTGCAACCACTCGTACAGCCCAAGTGTAGTCATGTTGTGTTGTTGTGAAGTAGCAGTGTCCTTGCTAGTAAAACAAGATCAACTAGGGCAATGTGTAGGGGTGGTGGTTGGAGTATACTAGCTGTTACTGCAGTCATCTTCAATGTCATAAATAAGACATTGTGTCTCATGTGTTGCTGGTACTGACATCATTGCCAATGCTGCTGCTGTTGCTGCCGCCGCCGCTACTTCTAATTCTGTTGTTGTCACTACCGTCACTGCCCACTGCTGCTTTTGCGTGTGTCCATAGGTGAGCTTCCCCAGCTGTGTGAAGTGGATGCTGGTGGAGTTTGACAGTCGGTGTGGTACTGCTCAGCCGGAGGATGTTGTGTGCCTGTACATATCAGACAAGAAGAAAGACAAGGATGTAAAGCAACAACGGCGTGCTCTCAGGATTGATCCCAACGACTCGTTGCCCGTATTAGAGGAATATAGCGGTGCTCCTGGTGGCAACTGGCCCAAGCGGCCGCTGGTAATTGCAGGTATGTTTGTAATTTGTGCAGCTGTTGGCCGAACAAGAAATCCAGTTTGGCTCTGTAATGTTAGTTGTTTGCTTGTTTCATATCATCAGTGTACTGCTTTTCCATACTTATCTTGCAGTCCTTTTGGTTTGTCCACTTGACGTTACTTACTTCATGTAGCTGCATGCATTTTTATGTATGTATGTTGACCGTGTACCTCTTGTGTGTGTGTGTGTGTATGTGTGTGTGTGTGTGTGTGTGTGTGTGTGTGTGTGTGTGTGTGTGTGCGCTCCTTGTGTGTGTGTTTGTGTGTGTGTGTGCGTGCGTGCGTGCGTGTAAATGTGTCTGTGTGCGTGCGTCTGTGTGCTCCGTGTGTGTCTGTATGCGTGTGTGTGTGTGTGCGTGCGTGTGTGTGTTTCTGTGTGCGTGTGTGTGTTTCCGTGTGCGTGTGTGTGTGTGTGTGTGTGTGTGTGTTTCCGTGTGTTCCACAGGCAATAGTCTGTCAGTGTGGCTGGAAACAGCGTCTGACTATGCAAAGGATAACAATGCTTGCAAGTACGGCTTCCGCTGTACTGTGACCGGGTACGAGTGGGCACCTATTCCAACACAGGTAAAGTTAGTTCATGTTCCACAGGCATGATCTATCATCACCTATCATGATAGTGATACGGAGGAGCATATGTGGTTAGCGTGTGATATGTCGTTGTTCTATTTCTGTTCAGAACATCATCAATTGATTGGAGGGCACGTTTCACCCAGTCACTGTGTCCTAGTCTTTTGCTATGTGATACGTAAAGTGACATTCATGCTTTTTTTGTGGATGTAGTATAATTATTGTGATTTGACCCATATGACAATAACGGTGGTGGTGGCGATGGTGGTCAGGCACATAGCTCGTGTGTAGCGTAGTCCGGTCACCACAAACCTGGATATTATTTTAGGGCTGAAACGATCGTGGATTTTCACGTATCGATTACTCTTTAGCTTAAAGGGGAAGTTAAGGCAAAAATTTAAATTTCACCAGTTGTAGTCTTCGGGGTGCTGAGGCGAATGGTCTTGGTCCGAGGAAGCTGAGACGCTCCCTTCCTACTTGAATCCCAATCGAACTCGCGCACTTCCACCGAAACTGGGTGACTGCGCCCTACTAGATGGGGATTTGTATGCAAAATGTCACTAAAAGCGCCATTTCGTTCTTATAAAAGCACGGATGACCGCGATTGGCCCATATGTTGTAGTCTTTTGGACGCTGAGTCGACTGGTTTTGGTCCGAAAAGGCTGCGATGCAGCGTTCCTCCTTTATTCCCAATCGAACATGGTTGAACAAGCGGTCACGTGCTCCTGGGTGCCCAAATCACCTGGTCACCACGCCAGCAGGCGAGAACTTTCACACCAAGGTTCAACTCGAGTGACAGGATTGCACCCAAAAAAGGTCAAACAGGCTAGTAAGTTGTACCCTGCAGGCACGGTGACCAGGTGACTGGCGTACGCAGGAGCACGTGACCGCTTGTTCAACCATGTTCGATTGGGAATAAAGGAGGAACGCTGCATCGCAGCCTTTTCGGACCAAAACCAATCGACTCAGCGTCCAAAAGACTACAACATATGGGCCAATCGCGGTCCTCCATGCTTTTATAAGAACGAAATGGCGCTTTTAGTTACATTTTGCATACAAATCCCCATCTAGTAGGGCGCAGTCACCCAGTTTCGGTGGAAGTGCGCGAGTTCGATTGGATTCAAGTAGGAAGGGAGCGTCTCAGCTTCCTCGGACCACGACCATTCGACTCAGCACCCCGAAGACTACAACTGGTGAAATTTTAATTTTTGCCTTAACTTCCCCTTTAACGATCGAGTAATCGATTATAATCGTTAGCAAATAGTGTCATAATTCTGCGCAAACATTACTCTGTTTCCACAAACTATGCCTTCATAACACCAAGAAATCTACATAAGTGAAAGGGTAGCTCCGAAACATGGCAGTTTTGAAGTCAATTTAACCTCAGAACATGAACCATACCCCTGGCAACTGCATACTCCCAGCGGAAACTGATTCAAACTTCACCAAACGAGGGTTTACAGTACTTTCTGGACAAAAATTAAAAAAAACGCAAAATAATCGTAATCGGTAATCTAAACGATTGCTCGATCATTAGAGTTATCAAACGAGTACTCTCGATTATTCGGTATAATCGTTTCAGCCCTAAGTATTATTAGCGTAATGTTGTGTGTGAAAGCCGGGCATATTCCTGTAGAAACCCATGTCAGCGCTAGGCTTCTATTCCAACCAGGTATTTCTATGGATGTCAACACTAAAACCAGGTATTTCTATGTATGTCAACTCTAAAACCAGGTATTTCTATGTATGTCAACTCTAAAACCAGGTATTTCTATGTATGTCAACACTAAAACCAGGTATTTCTATGTATGTCAACACTAAAACCAGGTATTTCTATGTATGTCAACACTAAAACCAGGTATTTCTATGTATGTCAACACTAAAACCAGGTATTTCTATGTATGTCAACACTAAAACCAGGTATTTCTATGTATGTCAACACTAAAACCAGGTATTTCTATGTATGTCAACACTAAAACCAGGTATTTCTATGTATGTCAACACTAAAACCAGGTATTTCTATGTATGTCAACACTAAAACCAGGTTCATGTGCCACCAGTGCGTTTTGTATATCAGTCTTGTATTCAGACAGGCATCTATACCAGACAGGCTTTAATATATGACACTAGGGTATATGTGGTGAGGGGCAGTTAACGTTTTACGGCCTGCCCCTCCCCCCCCCCCCCCCCCACACACACACACGCTTGTCTGTCTGTTCATGTCTCATGTGTATGTGTGCGTGCGTGTGTGTGGGTGCGCGTGCGCATGCGTGTGTGCGCATGCTCGTGTGTGTGTGTGTGTGTGTGTGTGTGTGTGTGTGTGTGTTGGGCATGCTTTGGCTAAACTACAGGTTACTCTCGTCATGGAAAGAGAACTAGCATTTGTGGCCAGTACATGTGCTGTGTCACTCATGCATGATGATGTGCCACTCATGGGTGAGAGGACACTGTCTTTGCTCTGTTTTGAGCCTTATCTGAGCAGAGCATTGCAGCAGCATAGTTGTCGAGTTACAATTCAGAGAACAGATGCATGTTCTTCCTCTGGCGTGCATTGAATTGAGGGTCGGTCGAGCTGCAGCAATCTTTAGCAGACATCCAGTTTCATTGTATCTGAACTTGAATATGCCCTTTGCTTTGCAAATAAGGTATGTATGAGTTATGCATGTGAGTACCCCGGGATCAGCAATGCACTGTTCAGCACCATGCACGTGCACTTATATGTGAGGGTGCGCTTATACCCGGATATCGGCACATACGCTTTTATGCGCGTCGTAATGGTATCTGTGGGTCGCAGCACGGCTGGATAAAATCCTTCTGCTTCCAAGCAGGACATGAACCTGGTACCCTCTGTTTCTCAACCATGGTCTTAGACCACCCCACTATGCCTGCCTGCCTGCCTGCCTGCCTGCCTGCCTGCCTGCCTGCCTGCCTGCCTGCCTGCCTGCCTGCCTGCCTGCCTGCCTGCCTGCCTGCCTGCCTGCCTGCCTGCCTGCCTGCCTGCCTGCCTGCCTGCCTGCCTATGCCTGCCTGCCTATGCCTGCCTGCCTGCCTATGCCTGCCTGCCTGCCTATGCCTGCCAATGCCTGCCTGTGCCTGCCTGTGCCTGCCTATGCCTGCCTATGCCTGCCTATGCCTGCCTGATCTGTATAATCCGTACATATATCACTAAGCGTCTTTGTGTCTTGGACCTTGGTTCAATCTTTTTTTTCCTGTGCTAGATGTGAGTGCCGACGAAGACAACATTCATCCCACAGTCAAGCAGCTAATGGCTGAAGAGGTATGATGACACCTGATGTGCTAGTGAGATGGGACTGACTCCCAGAGAAATCACCCTGAGCAATTCAGCTTTGAATGGGTGAAATATGTGTTTAGAAAAGCAAACCTGTCAGCTTTTCTATTATTGAAATTTTGCAAATGACTATTCCAGTGTACATGCAGCACTTGTTGTGTAAATCTAGTGTTGGTGTGAGCAGGCCGCTGTTGGCAGTGGGGCATGTTGTTTCCTGGAGCATTTCCGTTGTTACTCTCTGCAGGAGTTTGCACAGCACAAGGATGTGTTACAACAAGGCCTTGGTCTGAACCACGTGCCTAGTATCACGGAGGTTGTGCATGGCCACATTGCCTGGCAGGAACAGTCCAACGAACAGCAGTTCCTCGACGATCTCATCAGTCTGAAGCCAGGCACTAGTGGTGGTCGACTAGCCAGGTATGTTCTGGAGCGCTGTTCTGATGTCAGGCCTTCTTTGCTGGATACAGAATACCTTATAGGTGTTGGGTCTATTGTGAATGCCCGAGTATATCACTAGTCTTCTGGACCATGTAGCCTCTTTGTACTGCTCTGCAGAGAAGTATGTAGCAATTAGGATCAGAACAGGATGTGCATTGTGGTATAGGATGCCTTTATCCTGGGGATGATGGCTCTTCACGGTAAATCTGCCTCCTTCGCCCATGTAACAATGTTTATAAGCTTGTGTGTGTGTCTGTGTGTGTCTGTGTGTGTCTGTGTGTGTCTGTGTGTGCCTGTGTGTGTCTGTGTATGTCTGTGTATGTCTGTGTATGTCTGTGTATGTCTGTGTGTCTATGTGTGTCAATGTGTGTGTATGTGTGTGTATGTGTGTGTATGTGTGTGTCTGTGTGTATGTGTGTGTGTGTGTGTGTGTGTGTGTGTGTGTGTGTGTGTGTGTGTGTCTGTGTGTCTGTGTGTGTGTTTGTGTGTCTGTGTCTGTGTGAATATGTGTGTGTATCTGTGTCTGTGTGAATATGTCTGTGTGTATGTGTGTGTGTGTGTGTGTGTGTGTGTGTGTGTGTGTGTGTGTGTGTGTGTGTGTGTGTACATGCGTACATGCGTGTGTGTGTGTGTGTGTGTCTGTGTACGCACACGCATGTGTGTACATGTGTGCGCGTGTGTCTGTGTGTGCGTGCATGCATGTGTGCATGGTGTGTGTGTGTGTGTCTGTGTGTGTCTGTGTGTGTGTGTCTGTGTGTGTCTGTGTGTGTCTGTGTGTGTGTGTGTGTGTGTGTGTGTGTGTGTGTGTGTGTGTGTGTGTGTGTGTGTGTGTGTGTGTGTGCATGTGTCTGTGGGCTTGTGTGCAGGTGGCTTCAGCCCACTCAGTGTGTAGATGCAGAGTGTTCAGTGCTGAAGACGGCATCCGAGAGTCTCTACTCGCACTGGTTACAGCACGCGTTCAGCCTGAACACGTGTGATGCTGAGGGGCACACAGTGTTTGTGCTAGGAATGAAGGTATGGGAGCTTCTCCTGTCGATGTGATACTCATTTGCTCAAAGTTAGAAGCTCTCCTGTATTAAGTGTACTTGTAGTGCATTGAGTATAGTTTTGTGCAATTCTCGCAACTTGCAACAGCAATTGACAACAGTAAAACCCTAGGGCGAAGGCCAGTTAACCATGCGGCAACCTTCTCTGTTACGCTTATTTTTTGTATAATAACTTTTCCTGTATGCTGTTTTTTCTTTTTCTATCAGGTGGAGTGCATTGCCACGCCAGTCAGTGCGTCAGGAGATCATGTTGACCCAGCTCTTTTTGCGGGCTTGCCTAATGTCAACTTCGCTACAAAGTACAAGGCAACAGAGACCGGCACTGGACTGCTGCAGTCCATCACTGCCATGAAGGTTAGTCGTGCTGCTGCTGATGATGCTGCTGGTTGTGCTGCTGCTGATGATGATGCTGGTTGTGCTGCTGCTGATGATGATGCTGCTGGTTGTGCTGCTGCTGATGATGATGCTGCTGGTTGTGCTGCTGCTGATGATGCTGCTGGTTGTGCTGCTGCTGATGCTGCTGCTGCTGCTGCTGCTGCTGCTGCTGCTGCTGCTGCTGCTGCTGCTGCTGCTGCTGCTGCTGCTGCTGCTGCTGCTGCTGCTGCTGCTGCTGCTGCTGCTGATGATGATGATGATGATGATGATGCTGCTGCTGGTTGTGCTGCTGCTGATGATGCTGCTGGTTGTGCTGCTGCTGGTTGTGCTGCTGCTGCTGCTGGTTGTGGAGGTGACGGTGGTGATAGTGGTGATGGTGGTCAGGCACGTAGCTCGTGTGCAGTCAGCGTAGTCCGGTCACCACACCAGCAAATGGCCGTCATACGTACCACATAGTCAAAATAGGCAAAAAAAGAAAAGAAAACAAGGGGTGGCTATGAGGTTGCCGGTGGTACATAGTCACCACACCACAGATGTGCTCTGGCGCATAGTCACCACCCCACAGACGTGCAAGCTGCGCCTCTGGTGGTGGTGGTGGTGGCTATGGTGGTAATGGTATTGGTATTGGTATTGGTTGTAGTGGTAGTGGTGTTGATCATCATCTATTGCCAGTGTCGATCCATACAGCCCTTGTTGAACCCAATGCAACATGCCATGTCTTTCACTGCTCCGTATTCCTGTCTACTGACATCTACCATGATCCTTCACCCCAAGGATTTACATTGGACATCTCAGCTCGCAATGAAAAGGAAATTTGTAGTGATACAACAGATATATAATTGTTTGATTTTTGAACTAACAGTGCTATAAGATTGATCTCGGATACTAGTATTGAGACTATGTTATCATTGATAAATAAAGGAAGGGCCTTTGGTGGACAGTAGGTCATAACTCGTAACATTTGGTCGGTCCTTTATTTATTCAGTCCGCTATAAGAATGTTGGAATAGGAAATTTCATATTCGAAGGTTGGAAATATCTCTAAGCGCTGGTGCATTAACATGCTAAGACATACTTAGACGGTGACAATGATACATCAGTGCTGCTGTGAGGGTAATCCTGCCTGAGTAAGTGGGTGCCTAGGAAATGGCAGAGGAAAGCTATGCCATCTTGGAGAATAAGGACGGCTTTGCAAAGTACAGGTCAAGGTTCCGAAAGTCATGAGCGGTTAAATTATGGAGAATAGTAGATTTTCACTAGTTTGAGGGAAAGACACAAACGGGAAAAGTCTGAAGAAAATTGACTGTCACCACCAGGACTCGAACCAGGGACCCTCGCTTGTAGCTAGCGATACTCTAACCACTAAGCTATGGTGTAGTCGTCATCCCAGCAGAGACCGTTCAACATTTTCTTCAGACTTCGTAATAGTAGATTATTAGCTTTTCATTGAATTGGTATTCTGGTGAATAACGTGGAAATCGTAGTACATTCGATCACTTGAAATTATATCTCATTCTAATTGTTCACAACTGCACCGATCAGCAGTTCAGTACAAAAATGTCTGTGCGTTCATCCTCAAGCCCGTGTTCCTGCCTTTTTGTGCGTGTGTTGTCTGCGTAAATTTCAGGATTACGAGAAGTTCTCCTTTGAGGAAATTCGTCTTCAGTCACCCAAGGAGGCCAAGTATGCCATTGCTTTAGTTTGAACTGTTGTCTCAGCATCATACTCGATCAAATCTTGTGTTGGGCTGTACGCAAAAGAACCTCACAGCCACTAGTCTTCTAGCCTACATTGTGTTGTATGTGTGGCCGTTGAAATGGCTCTATGATGTGCTGTGACTATGGTGACACTGTAGGCAATAACATGCTGGTCTCATCTGTAACAAGAGTGATCTGAATTGGCTTGTCACACTGTGACATTCTATAATCTAGCATTCTCTCTATTCAACTCTGGCCTTATTCTTTCGTCTTGGATCAGCCAGCACGCTGTTAAGTCGCTGTGCCCATCCATTTCTGTTCTTCTTCAGGACTCCGGAAAACATGGAGGTTGTGTCTCGCAATGATGGCCGCTACGAGGTGATGTGGTCGCCATCTTTTTGCGGAGAGTACACGGTTCAGGCCCTTGTTGACGGCTGCAAAGCTGGTAGGTTTGGCGGTTGTGAACTGGTGCTGCTGTCACAACATGCTGTTACTCTATCAACTGCCTAACTGGCCACAGAAATGACGTGGTTTTGCGTTGTGATTCAAGAACTGTAAAACGTCAAAGCCAGCTCTGACAGCAATAGAGAGGTTCCGCACTACGTAAAGTTGAGCAACTTTACGTTAGTGGGCGGGAAAAACCCGTGAATTCGCGAGTTTGCACTCCACTTACGGAAAGTTGTCTACATAGAGTACGTAGATAGGGCTCTGATAACGCAGGTGCTTCGTAAGTGGATTGGGGTACACATTTTTGACTCTCTCCCCAGGTCGATCCGGTCGTACACTGCTGCGTTCGGAGTTGCAAAGGGCAGCTACGTGATTTGAAAACTCCGTATCGCGGAACACAGATCCGCATGCAGTTTACGAAAAACTTTCCGTAGATCGACTACGTTTTTTACTAACGTAATCACGTTATGCGGAACCTCTCTAATACCCACTATATGTCCTGTAGTTGCACTCATACTGAGTACATGTTTTAGAGGTATTTGAGTGATACTGTAAGACCAGTAATGCTAACGAATTTAAACAATTCGTTGACATTTGAGTTCGTTATGCACAAAGCGATATGGATCTGTACAGTCATTTGCCGGTTTTGAGACGGAATTCGTTAGAATTTCACCTCGCTAACCCACACAAATCCGGAGATCGTAAACTTTAATTGACGTTAAAATATCTGGTCTTACAGTACTTGAGCTGTGTTTTAGAGGTACATGGCATTGTATTTGAGTGGTGGTTGAGCAATGCTGGACCCCCTTTTAAAAAGCATCCAAGTTGTACAGGTGCATTGTGCAGAGTGCATTGTGCAGAGTGCATTGTGCAGAGTGCAGAGTGCATTGTGCAGAGTGCACTGTGCAGAGTGCATTGTGCAGAGTGCACTGTGCAGAGTGCATTGTGCAGAGTGCATTGTGCAGAGTGCACTGTGCAGAGTGCATTGTGCAGAGTGCACTGTGCAGAGTGCACTATGCAGAGTGCATTGTGCAGAGTGCACTGTGCAGAGTGCAGCAGCTGAGCATGAGGTTTGCTAATACTGTACTTGTTGTTTGCTTCCCTGTTCTTGCACGGCCAGGCGAAGAGCTTGTCGTTGTTGTCGAAGAGCCTGCCAGTGGTGCTGTTGCTCCGCCACTACCTCCTTTTGCCTCTGGTTGGGCAGTGGCCAGCGCTGCTGCCAAAGTCCGGGAGACGCACGAACACAAGGTACATGAGAGACACGTGGCCTGCACAGGGGGGTAGGCAGGGGGGTGCTTTGGGTGCCAAAGCACCCCCCTCAAAAATTTCGATCTTGGTTCACAGCTGGTTCGAGAGAGACCATAGCAAACCCGCTGATCACATGCGCAACTCTGCACATCTCACACTGTAGCCATCCCTGTTTTAGACCAGCAGGGACTAGTAGGTACCACTCCCTGGTTCAGACCTGCAAGTACAATGTATCTGAAACCAATCCACATGCTAGTGGACTATGAATTTGTGTCTCATGATTGGCCATTTTGCAATGGAATTTCTAGTCAAGGGAACTCCGCGTTGTGCAGTGTCACATCAGGCCTCAGCAGGCTCAGCACATGATTTGTATTGCACTCCACATGTTTTGTTAGAAGCAAAGAATCATACAAACACGCCATTGGTAGAAGCAAGGAAGTAGCAACGCAGTCTATGGCCGGAAAGCACACGTCAGACATAGCAGTTTGTTCTCGCTATGTTTTGTAGTTCTCGCTGTTAATTGGTCTCGTTGTGGAAAGGCGAAGTTTCTTTCATGCATTGCAAGTGTGGATACAGCAGTAGAAGAGTGAAAGTAACGTTGAAGTGCAGTTTGAGTTTTTGTGGGGAATAGTGTAGGTTTGATCAAGGATGCCTTACTGCACTATCAAACATGACGAAGGGGAAAAATGGCTCGAGAAATCCCACTTTAAAAGTTCGATGGAGAATGTGATAATTCTGGAGAAAGCAGCATCCAGGACTTAGTCCATCATTAGCTGGAAGCAGGCCAGGGTGTAGTAAAATACCATAATTATTACTACTCCCTGGTTGGAGATTTGCCATTCACTGATTGATCTTCAGCGTCGAATTAGGGGCGAATTTTGCTCCCCCCCCCCCCCCCCCCCCATTTCACGGATCGAATAATGTGCATGAAAGGTAGGGGTGTGCGGATAATGCTCGAAAAGCTGGCAGATTCTGCTCAAAAAGGAGTGAAAATGGAAGAACCATACAAACCTTATGGCGGGCAATTCCTCGAATTCTGCTCCATTTCTTTATCCACATACCAAACATGCATGAAACTTACCAGAAAAAGTACCGAATTCTGCCAATTTTCTGCCGGCATTATCCGCAATGCCTAATGAAAGGACCAACATAAGTGCATGTACATTTGTGTGGGGAAAGTCTTGGCACCCCCCCCCCCCCCCCCCCCTTGATCACTATCCTGGCTACGCCCCTGCTGCATGTTGATGTTCACTCTTGTACTGCTGTCAGTTGGTGGCATGCAGTGGTGACTACATGATGTCTTCCAGTGTTATGAGTGTAGAGTGTAGACCACGTGCACACTCTCATTGTCATGTTGTCCGCACACATTTTCTGCACAAATCGGGTGACGTAAAGAGACTTTGGGTGCTTTGCAGATCTCCGGAAAAAAACCCCAGTGCACCCATTTTATCCTGCCGGTTTGTACGCACATCGCACAGACTGGACAATTGTGTGTCCGGTCTATAGCAGGTCATTGGCTGCATGACTTTATCACTATGCACACTGCTGTATGCGGGTGAGTGTGCCTCTGCTTTATTCATGAGGTCACATTTTATTTGCCATCGATGTTCCTGCACATGTGTATAGAACGTCTCCACTGGACTCTTTTTGTTCACGTTTGATTTTGCTACCTACATTTGGTGGCAGTATGGTGTGCCGATGGCACCACTACTGCGACTTGTAGAAAGCCTGCTGCGGTCAAGTTGTGATGCTCCGACTTTTTCAAAATTACTTTTGATTCGGCCAGGATTTTCTTACAAGTGTTGCCTTGATTGTCAAATTATTCTCTGCATGTTCTTGTTTTGCAGTTGATGGTTTTCAAGCACATTTCTGGATCGTTACGGGTGCGAGCATCGCCTTCCTTGCAGGTACTTGTGTGGATGTTCTTGTATTTCTTGGTTCCACTGCCTGTGCGCTGTATTTGTAGATTGAGCGTGTTTTGTACCTATGTTTCAATGTTTCAGTCTTGTCAAATTTGTGATGACCTGCATGACGAATGTACAGTGCATTTCAAAACTATAGACGCGTAGGGTTTTTGAAATATTTCAAATTTGGCTGGAACTTTTTGAGAATAGTTTTCGGAATATTGCTCAGGATCGCTCCACAATTACTCTCATATAGTTTCTAAAGGATTGGATAACAGACTCCCAATTTGGAAAAATTTATGCACAAAGTGATCACAGATTTTATGTGGTATAGATGCTGGCATAACGGTTTTTGCCTAGGTACGCGTCTATAGTTTTGAAATGGACTGTAATACTCCATGGATTGCTTCTAATGAATGGCACTCGTATGTGTGCGTGCATGGATGTGTGTGTGTGTGCGTGTGTGTGTGTGCATGGTGTGTGTGTGTGTGTGTACGTGTGTGTGTGTGTGTGTGTGTACGTGTGTGTGTGTGCGTGCACATGTGTGCTTGTATTTTGCAGGGAAAAACAATCGGGACACTCAAAGGACGAACTGAGGTTCGTGTTGTCAAAGAGGTAAGAACGGTCATAGTGGTGTACTCCGTCATGATAACATCATTAGTTCTTACGCCTGCCGGCACGCTGTTTTTCACCGGCAGAGTCGATTCAGGCATTGGAATTCTCATTGAGCGCGTTTGACATCATGCAAGCATACAATGTCACCAGTGTATGTCTGTGTTTTGCTACACTAGATGCTTTTGTACTGGCATGTGCTGAAATGTTTGGCATGCTGCGAGGTATGTAGTACTATTGCTAAAGCCTCTTGTACGGGCAAAAATAAATACATCAATGTGAAATCAATGTGAAAATCAATAGTGATGAAAACAACACGCAGAGAAAATAGCAAGCAGAACACAATGTCAATGGTCCGTCTAACCAGCCACGGTAGTTAGAGCACATTATACTTAATTCCCGTAGCTATGCAGAAGACGTGACTTCAGTAACGTCTTCTGCATAGCCAGGGTCCACACAGCTTTAACCCTTTACCATCCGACCAAATTTCCCCAGCAGTCCCAAATGCAATAATTCTCACCTTATTCTGAGAATATCTTCGGTTCTAATCAACCAATTTTCACAATCTTGGGCATTCTGGAATGCTCTCCACGAGCTGCGTACATTGAGCTCGAACAGGACATTACCGAGATCACATACCCAGCGCCGGGGAGCTTCAAATACACCCCATCGCTGGATATACGAGGAAATTCTCTCCTCGCCAGCCATTTCTCGCTCCTTCATCGTAGACATTCCAAATTTTTTGCTTGAGTTTCTTTTCATGCTGCCCACGCGCTCAAAGCATGCCAAAGTGACTCAGCATGTCAGGAGAGGGGAAAATCCCCGCACAAGGTCAGTCACTCGGAAAGAAATTCGACTTTTGCCGTAGGTGAAATGTCGAGCGAAATATCTTTGGAATGCGACATCGCAGCTCTTTACCGATTGATGCAATGGAAAGCTGGGCTCTTCGGCTTCTTCCTAGATACTTAGTTCTTTAAATTCCGACAAGAAGCGATCGAGTTACGAATGTTTTAGTGTATGCATGTCCATCGATCTCTAGAGATCGATTCAAGTACGCACGGATGGTAAAGGGTTAATTTGGTATTTGTTTGTTTGTGTGTTTGTGTCACGCCTGGCGCTATCCCGTATCTGTCCCGTACCGTACCGTACCATCAAACACAGCTGGCCACATACAGCTGGCCGCAATATTCAAATAGGGCTTTCAAACGCAAGATCATAACGTGAAGCAACTTGGTAGAATGAGTATGAATGCGAAGTGTATTGGGGAATGCATGTAGGGCGATAGCGCGGGTTCGAATCCCAGGTTATGCGTGAAAAAATAGGAGAATTGAAAAATGTATAACATCCCTATGCTTTTTTTGCCTAGGTCGGTAGACGGTGTCGTATTACCCTCGACCGTATCTGTCCCGTACCGTACCGTACCGTACCATCAAAGACGGCTGGCCGGCCACAAACAGCTGGCCACGATATTCAAATAGGGCTTTCAAATGCAAGATCATAACGTGAAGCAACTTGGAAGAATTAGTATGTATGCGAAGTGTATCGGGGGATGCATGCAGGGCGATAGTGCGGGTTCGAATCTCAGGTTATGTCTTGAAAAAAATAGGAGAAATGAAAAATTTATTTTTGCCTCGGTCATCAAGGCAAAAAAGCATAGCGTAGGGCCCTGAGCTTCCAAGCTCTCTCGTGTACACCAATACAGCATGGATGCATAACAGCAAACCAGTTGTGCACATAACGTTACCACCATAAGGACCACTTCGTGCTCTAGACATCATCCGACAATCATTCACAAAACTGTATCGACGTGACCGGTATGATGTCCGAGAGCCTCGCAGGCAGGTGATGCACCACCGAAGCAAACGAAATGAAAGGCGGCATCACAACTGGCTCACAACAACAGAATATGCATTTTTCTCCAGAATCTGGCACACCAAGGCCTTCAGGAAGATGGAGCATTCCTTGCCGAGCATGCCATTGGTTGTGAACACCAGAGGCGTGAAAGATCCACGGTCGATCTGATTTATCCGCTCACTGTAGCTGCGATGCTTCTGCCTCTCATTCTTCTGGAGCTGGTTTGTGATTTGCTGGCGCGACAGCAGGTCCGACCTTGGGTGTGTAACCCGGATATCGAAAAGGCATCCTGCTGCCGCGTCCAAAAACTACCAACCCTGATGTCCAGCCTGGCCTCCTCAGCGCGATTGGCTGTCTTACCTGCCAGCTGCTCCCCAGCGAAAGGCAGCAGTAGTTGCTCGATCTCAACGTCCCGAATTTCGTTATGACGAGCCGTCGGGTAGCCTCCCGCAGGACAGGTCATGGCGTGGTCCACTGTCATTGTCGCTCCGCAGACACATTTAGTCAGAAGGCCGCCGAGAAGCAAGCCATACCGAATACATACTGCATCTCAAAAATCTGAATTGTTCAAGACAGTGTCGCTGCTCGTTGATGGGTCAGCTGTGAGCCACGAGGAGACACCGCGCTCACCTGCTGTCTCCGTGAGGAGTTTCTGGGATGGTGATAATGCCGACTGGATTTCCTGGATGACAGCTTTGGCGTGATCGGCCTTTGCCTTGCGAGCCTGGCGTGCTGCCGCACGAGACTGCTCCAGAGCATTGTCCAGCGGATGCTGTTGGTCGGCAGTGCCCTCACGCATTGGACCATCAGTTGCGGTAATCAGGGCAACAAGAGGAGCCACAACACGTCGGGAGGACTTGAACTCTCTCTCTGCTTCCGCTGCCGGTACAGGAATGGCCATGCCACCAGAGCGCGTGGGAACTGACAGAAGAAGGCGGAGTGCAGAGCCCTCCCCCGTGATGTGCCCTGTCAGTGATGGCAACAACTTCTGGTCAATAATCGCTGCAAGCTGATTGAGGAGTTCAGGGGGGCAGTCCATGGCACGCAAGTGGTAGTGCCAACTCGGTACCAGGCCTCGCACGAAGACAGTGTAGGCTGCGTGAGGTTGTGTGACAGCAACCTCTGCAAGGCTCTGTACTTGCAGCTCCCACCGGTGGATAAGGCCATGCAGGTAGTGTAGTCTGTGCTCACTGGTGCCTAGAGATCCGCCAAGGTAGCGTGCACCCTCTGTAGTGATGTTGATACCTGTGTCCTGGAAGAGCTGAATGGCCTGATCTGCATGCTGCTCCTTCACAATGAGAGTAGTCTTGGACGGGTTCGGATAGTACCCAAAGCCAGGACCAAACTCCTGGACATCATCCCAGTACTTGCGTAGCTGCACTAGCTGTCCACCTCCTGAGTCGTCGTCAGCATACCAGGACTGAGTGACATCGGGGCAAGATTCTGTGAGCCTATTGATGAGAGGCATCATGGCCACTGCATAAATTGCTATTGCTGCTATTTACTCTTCCTCATTCTGATCTACAGGAAGCGAATGATGATGGGCAGTGGGTGAAGTTGACACCTAAATATGCCAAGAAGTTTACCAAGTCGGAAACTGCCTGGGTCTTGGCTTTCCACAGTGGCACAGCTGACACTTATCTGGAAGAAGTCGAGGAGGAAGATCCTACGGCTGCTGATGGCACTGCCGCTGATCCTTCTTCTGCTGATGGCCTCAAAGCCAATCTGTCGGTGCTGAATGGAGCACTGCCTGCGGAGCCACCAACCAATTGGCATCCTGGTATGATAGCTAAGCTGGTAAGTCCACGGTGTACACGCTGACACGATTCTATCTGCATGGTGAAACTTCTGTACAGTCAACTTTGAGTATAACGACACTCGACCGGGCATCAGAAAAGTGTCCTTATTCGCGAAGTGTCGTTATACCCGAAGTCTCATTATATGTATACAGGTAGTATGGACTTTGCTCTGGGCATGGAAATTCTGTCGTTATTCGCGAATTGTCGTTATATCTGCAGTCGTTATTAGCGAAGTTGACGACTGTACATGAATAACATACCCTACAGGCGGACCGGCCCAGGTCTCGGGTATCCGCATCTGGCCAGCTTGTCAGTACATTAGAATCTCACAGTGCGCACAGTGATAGCCGGAGAGTGGAAACACGACGAGGACAGTGACTAGGGATTTCCACATTACGTTTTGCATCTTTTTGCATCTTGGGGGTAAAATCGCATCGTCCCAGAAAAAAACATCTTCCAATTTAGCAAGGATTGAGATCTCGGCAGCTATGCCCGCGACAGAAAACAATGGAGTAACATCTGCTCAGCCATTTAGTCTAGTACTGCTCTTCTTAAATTTGACCTTTATTACAAGACTCTTCTTTTCTTTTTCTTTTCGTTCTCACACACACATGCTCACAGTTAATTCTGCCGTCGTGAGTCCCATTCGGGACGGATACGAGAACAATAATAATACTTTAAGTAACAATAATAATAAGTGATCGAGCACATCCCAACACCATTATTTTGCAGCTGAAACATTTCAACCAGTACTAACACCCTTGGACACTTGTTATAGATAGAATATGGGCACAGCATTCCACAGTTGTATACGTGTACACGTATTATTCTTACTTCGAATATTATTATTTTATTATTTGACTATGGGCCAGTATGGCAGTGACCACAGACACTAACGTCTTCTGACGGGGTACCCTAGGTGCCGCGTGTATGCTATGAAAGCACACATCATAACAAGTTCAACCGTAGGCTCAACAACAGCATGTACATGTATCTCTAACTTTCATTTCTTTGTCAGCACAAGCCAAGTTATATTGCCCAGAGCATGGGAACACTTCATTCACTACATGCAGGATGACTAGAGTCATTAGAAACAAGGCCAAGGGATGACAACTCATGATAATATATCCTCTAACAAGACGCACGTCTGTGCGTCTGCCCTAGTAAAATATTGCTAAATAATAATAATAATAATAACAATGAATAACTGAGATTTCCAAAGCTGCACGAGAGATGATGTTAGGAAAGAAGCAACCATGAATAAATGAATGAATTGGAAGAAAAATGTCATCAGAATGGGAAGAATCCGATCAATCCCCGATTCAGAAGAAAGGTACAAACAAGACGTCCAAGAAGCGAAACTAGTGAGGAGCAAGGCAAAGGGGTGTGCAAATGGCAGACATCAGGCAGAAAGCTCATCATTAGGCACACATGCATATACTTTCCACCCCAACCAAACTAGCACAGAAGGAGAAGCAGCTCTCATAGATACAAACCAACGATCTAATGATTGTATTGGAGCATGATTGAACCCTCAATGTAATTCTCCAACGCACGCTCCTGCCTGCCGCTAAAAGGGTTCTGGAGAAGGCTGAACACGCGCTCAGCAGAAGCAGAGCTAGGCTGCACCAACAGAACCTTGCGAAATGCACTGCACCAACTTGCCATATCAAGGTGGCCTCGCCACCAAGCAATAGGATCGATCCCATTGTGCGTGTCTTCCACAGCTGCCAAGTATGCTGGGAGATCTGCGACCATGGCATCCGCGTCTTCTTCTATGATGCAGGGGAACCTGGTGAGAGCATGAACGTCGGCCTCGCTTGGCTGCATCTCGGTGGCTTTGCCGGGGTGGAGCAGCCGCGCAGCACGGAAGGCCTGAAGCAGGGGGTGCAGGACACCGCCAACTCCAAACCGTACCCTGAAATACTGCACAGCAGGGCGCAGGCAAGCATACCCGACCTCCATCCATACTTCGAAATGCTCCTCGTTGCCGTTCGCAATCACCCGGGCAACAGCTGCAGTAGAAGGCAGTCGAAGGGGATCGGTGTTGGTGAAGTTGAGTCGGGCACTCACTTCTTCATACACATTCAGGCAGAGTGCACCATCACCCTCCAGTCGGTAAGTGGTCTGCACAAAGGGCTCCCCAAACTCGACCGTAGCAGCGAGTTCCATTTGAATGCGTGCACGAGTTTGAGGATCGTCGATGCACTCCTTCAGACATCTCCAAGTCACGCTACTCTCATCCGACTCCTGCACAAACTTGACGACATCCCCAAAGAGGTTATGCATTTGCCGCATCACCTCCCACTTGCTCCACCACAGCGAGTCTTGCTATAGGAGCACATCGTCAATCCTGTCTGCGTCTTCCAGTGAAGTCTGGACCTGGGGCTGTGGGAAAACAGTTCCAGTGAAGTCTGGACCTGGGGCTGTGGGAAAACAGTTCCAGTGAAGTCTGGACCTGGGGCTGTGGGAAAACAGTTCCAGTGAAGTCTGGACCTGGGGCTGTGGGAAAACAGTTCCAGTGAAGTCTGGACCTGGGGCTGTGGGAAAACAGTTCCAGTGAAGTCTGGACCTGGGGCTGTGGGAAAACAGTTCCAGTGAAGTCTGGACCTGGGGCTGTGGGAAAACAGTTCCAGTGAAGTCTGGACCTGGGGCTGTGGGAAAACAGTTCCAGTGAAGTCTGGACCTGGGGCTGTGGGAAAACAGTTCCAGTGAAGTCTGGACCTGGGGCTGTGGGAAAACAGTTCCAGTGAAGTCTGGACCTGGGGCTGTGGGAAAACAGTTCCAGTGAAGTCTGGACCTGGGGCTGTGGGAAAACAGGCCAATCCAGTCAGTCACGAACGTTTTTAACGCATCACTGTCTATGGCTCGACCAACGTTGTCTAGGGTGTGACTGAAACACCCCACATCTAGTACCTTCGGATAGAGAGGCCTGATGGTTCTCACAGCCACATCACTCACCGATGCCCGGTCACGCATGACAGCCACTAGGTGGGGTGAGTCGACCTGGTAGGTGACCGCCAGAGTATGAAGCAGCCTGTGCGCAACTTGCTCTCCACTCATGCTGTCGGCGGCCAGCTTCAGAGAGATGAGGCGTTGATAAATACACAGGTCTTCATCAAGGCACCAAGCAACAATGGCCATCGCCTCACAAATGTGGGTGGTACCATCGAATATGATGGACATGTGCTTGTACTGCAGATTACTAAAGAACGCCTTCAAGTCAGCTGCCTCCTTGTCCCCAACCATGGCGACGAGCTCCGACATGTGCTGGCTTCCGGTCAGCCGCAAGCCATGTTGTTCCAGCAGAGGGCGAAAATGATCCATTTTGGACAGAGGCACACCACCGGTCATGAATGCCTTGAGGCACTGGACGCGGAAGACAAGCACATCATCCGGCAGGGTTGAGCCTTTGCCGTTGGTCTCTTTGATGTAGGTATGTGTGTCCATTAGCTCCTGTGCTTGCTTTGCACTCTTCTCGACACTCTTTGCCTTCCCATCTACATGCTTGGAAGAGGCAAGGTGCTTCTGCAGAACATTCTTCGTCAACGACACTTCATGCCGGCAAACATCGCAGAAAAGTCGCCCACTTTTTACACTCAACTTGTCGTGGGGAAACTGCCGTGCACGGACGGTAGCGGACACCGTCTTCGGAGCTCTCTTTTGCGATGGCGGTTTGTAAGTGCCTTTTGTTTTAGAGCCACTGTTCACCTGCTCAAATCGGTTTTCGATGGCGGCCGTAAGCGATCCAGCTTGGACTTCGGAGCCGGGGCTGGTGGTTCTACACTCTCGATGTCGCTACTACCGCTGTGCTCATCCGACTGCGACTCCGACTCTGGGTCTACCACGTCCAGGACAGATGGTGCGTTGCTAGCCATGACCACTGACCCAAGGACAATATTATCATAAACGTAAACTCATGCACTATTATTATTATTATCATACAAATGCTCGCACTAGAGGTCAAGCTACCCTCACTGTGCCACCTGCTTCATCTCGTTTTGGCTTTCACTGTTCTTCCTTCCTTGCTGCTGACAGGTGGAAAGCGCTTCCATAATAGGGCTGAAACGATCATTCATTAACTCCTAACGATCAACCAATATCATTAACGATTGATAACAGTTATATCGGTTTTATCGATTCTTGTCGGCTCTACTCGTGTGCCTCGAACACCAGTTTACGAAGAAAGTCCAGGATGCTCATGCTACTTTAGAATTTTGTGGCACCGCACTGTTGACATCTGTAGACATCTGGCTGGTTTTATCAACATGAACTAGAGAATTTCATGTTGTTTCCAGAGCGAAGAATCTTGTTATCACGGTTTGGAAACTGCTCTCATCTACGACTTAAAAAAAGAAAAGAACTGAAAAGACAGTCTTCTCTCCCGATCTTTTTCAAAGCCACAAATCAATTTTTCTGTGCTTGAAAGTACATGATAGCACTCGTATTTACTATCGGATGGAGTGCATGGGCTAGAACACTGTCAATGATACGCATGCATAAAAAAATCGTTAGCACTCGTTTGGAACACTGACGATTATCGATTGCAATCTTAACGATCAATATCCGAGTTATCGGTATAATTGTTTCAGCCCTATTCCATAATAATAATAATAATATTATGAAAATGTTGAACGGCCTCTGCTGGGATGACGACTACACCATAGCTCAGCGGTTAGAGCATCGCTGGCTACAAGCGAAGGTCCCTGGTTCGAGTCCTGGTGGTGACAGTCAATTTTTTCTTCAGACTTTTTCCGTTTGTCTCTTTCCCTCAAACTTGTTAATATTATAATTATAATAATAAAACTTGAACGCGCCTATAGCTTAGCATCCAAGAAGCTGAGTACGAGCATGCGCACGTGACATATTTTCGATTTGGGGATCACGTGGGTATATCGCGGCCATGCTGTTGCCATGGCAACGGATGCATTTTCACGCCCATCTTGGCTGAATTTTTGCATCTTTTAAATTTTTTTTGGAGACTGCCCCAAATGGCAAAAAACATTCCCCGAAAAAATCGAGTTTTGCATCCGCATCTTGCCGTTATTTTTTCGCGTAATGTGGGAAAGCCTAACAGTGACGATGACGACGGCGACGATGATGATGATGTGTGTATACGTGTGTACATGTGTGTGTCCGTGTGTGTGTCCGTGTCCGTGCGTGTGTGCCTCTGTAGAATCAGGAGGATTTCATTCCAGAGCTGAAGGCTTTGAAGTTGAAAAGCAAGAAAGCTGCGTCTGCCAAGGCTAAACCAAAGCTGCCTGAAGGTAAGATTTTCTTGTAGTGCTATGCACCCACGTGCTAATGCTCTACACACGGACTTGCGTATGTCCCTGCAGCTGGTTCAACTGTAACAAAAACTATGCGCAGGCTGAAGGCATGAAAAAGAAATTCATGGTCAATAAAGCGCCTAAGCATTGAACTGCACCAGTCCTGCTCTTGAGCTTTGTTGTTAAGTGAGTGATGATGTCATTGACATGGGTGTTCTGTCTGTTCTTACTTGCACATGCTGGTGATATGATGCATGCACTCACGCTCACACTCACACTAACACTCACTCATACTCGCACTGACACTAACACTCACACTCACGTACTCACACACTCGCACTCACACACTCACACTCGCACTCACACTCAAACTCAAACTCACACTGACAGGTGGTGCAGGTAACTACACCGTTGTGCACTGTGGATCTCTTGGTCACAACATACGCAAGAAGCCGAGCTGCAAGGCCACACCTGTTGGCTTACTTACGTATGGTTCTGACTTGATCGCCATTGCTTCGGTAAGAATCACAATATTGTAATGTTATACATTGCTCTGGAGTAAAGACTACTAAAAATAACGTACTACAACAATAGTATGATTGCCTGGTGCCAGACCTCCAACTAAAGACTCAGTAAAGACCACCTGCTGCTAAAGACCACCTGCTGCTAAAGACCACCTGCTGCTAAGGACCACCTGCTGCTAAAGACCACCTGCTGCTAAAGACCACCTGCTGCTAAAGACCGCTTTTTGCCCCTAAGGGGTGGTCAGGTTATAGGCTTTATTGTAGGGGTGAAACGAGTGCCAAAATCGAGGACTCGTGTACTCTTTGACAAACGAGCAAGTATTCGAGCGGGTAACAGCTACGAGTATTTTACAGACAACATAAAACGATGCACTGCACACACTCTCGCAACACCGAACGTTGTACACCCGATTCAAATGTAGTCTTGTATGCAGCCTATGTGCAGGAAATCACCTGAACTATTGCCTTTTGCTGCTAAAGACCGCTTTTTGCCCCTTAAGGGGTGGTCAGGTTATAGGCTTTATTGTAGGGGTGAAACGAGTGCCAAAATCGAGGACTCGAGTACTCTTTGACAAACGAGCAAGTATTCGAGCGGGTAACAGCTACGAGTATTTTACAGACAACATAAAACGATGCACTGCACACACTCTCGCAACACCGAACGTTGTACACCCGATTCAAATGTAGTCTTGTATGCAGCCTATGTGCAAGAAATCACCTGAACTACTGCCTTTTGCTGGTAAGTAGGGACAAGCAATAACACTACAAGACAACTCCTGGAAGCACTTCTCACAACAAACAAAAAGCACTGGATTTCACAAGTTGCAGTTCCGGGGGTGCTAGGCCGTAATAGGCGCGCTTGCATGGATCAGAGTAACAGAAGTGCTTGATGTACATGCATGCAGTACGCTCTATGATATACATCGAGTGTTTTTGCAAAACGAGTACAATAAAACCTGGTTTAAGCGACCACCCCATGGTGCGAGCAAAAGCGGTCATTAAAGCCAGGTGGTCTTTAGAACCAGGTTCCATACATTCGTGGCATGTCGGATTGTGCACATACTTGTGCATGTTTGTACTTCCATGTACTCATATTGACAGGTGCGGAGCATAGAATACTTTCATGCAGGCAAAGCACACTTCACTGGATCGCATGCAGCGCATCCTGCACTGTCACCTTGGTCACTTGTCACTTCTGTTGACTGCATGCATTTGCTTCAGAGCGCACTTCAACCCTGTTGCAGTCAACCGTGCCAGCCAATATGGCACTTTTGGTTACTTTTGGTCGCTCAAGGCAGGTGGCCTCTGTATCCGGTGCAGTTTCTGTGTAGAACTATCCGTGTATGGATAAACGGTCGTTAAAAGTAGGTGGTCGCTAAAACCAGAGGTCGCGTACACCAGGTTTTGCTGTACTCGCTCTTTTCAAATTTCCGAGCGAGTGCTCGAGTATTCGGTACTCGTTTCACCCCTACTTTATTGTACTGTGAACTTGTGTCGTCTTCCTGAACTCTGAACTGTTTTGAGTCTTTCGAGCTTTGGACCTTTGTGTTCTCCTGAACGTGAAAGAGAGAAATGAGAAATGAGGCCAAACCTAATAGAAATGAATATGTATGCCCCCTGATGCTTTCCACTTGCATTTGTGGCTTGCAAGTGTATGCGCATATGTGAAGCTACATTTGAGTGATAACATACATGTATATTTGATAGCCTCCCCCCCCCCCCCCCCCCACACTAGTCTGACCTGTCTGTTCATGTTCATGTCTTGTGTGTGTGTGTGCATGCGTGCGTGCGTGTGTATGTGCATGCGTGCGTGCATGCGTGTGTGTGTGTGTGTGTGTGTGATTGCATCGTATACGCTTGCATGTGCAGGTGAAGAACAAGGATGGGCTGTGGATTCGTCTGGGTGATAAGAGTGTGGAAGAATACTGCGAGTCTAATGCTGAATCCTGGACATTGTCGGCAAATTGCAAAGGTGTTACTTTCATTCAGAAGGTTGGATCAGATGGTGACAAGGTTGTTGGTCACGAGGATGAAGACGATACGAGTGATGAAACGGAAGCGGTACCTAAGAAGGAAGAGAAGCCCGTGCCTGTTGGCGGTTTGTTTGGCAACGCTGGCAATGCTGGTGGTGTTGGATTGTTTGGAGCTGCTAATGCTGGCAATGCTGCTGGTGGTTTGTTTGGTGCTGGTAATGCTGGTGGTGGTGGAGGCTTGTTTGGTGCTGGTAATGCTGGTAATGCTGGTGGTGGTGGAGGCTTGTTTGGTGCTGGTAATGCTGGCAATGCTGGTAATGCTGGTGGTTTCGGTGTTGGCTTTGGTTTTGGTGCTGGCAATGCTGGTAATGCTGGTAATGCTGGTGGTTTCGGTGGTGGCTTTGGGGGTTTTGGTGCTGGCAATGCTGGTAATGCTGGTAATGCTGCTGGTGGCTTTGGTTTTGGTGCTGGCAATGCTGGTAATGCTGGTAATGCTGGTAATGCTGGTGGTTTGGGCGGTTTTGGCGGTGCCTTTGGTGGTTTTGGTGGTGCACCCGCTGAGCCTCCCGGTACTCCTCCGTTTGGTGGCGGTGGTGGTTTCAATTTTGGAGCCCCGGCTGCAGCTCCAGCTCCAGCTTCTGCGTTTGGCGGAGGCGGTGGTTTCAATTTCGGAGCCCCAGCTCCAGCTCCAGCTCCTGCTTTTGGGGGTGGCGGAGGTGGTGGTGGCTTCCAGTTTGGTATTGAACCTGCCCCCGAAGCACGTGGATTCCAATTCGGTGATGTGCCAGATGAGGACGGTGATGGTGATGACGACGACGGCGACGACGCAGACAGTGATGAGGAGGAGGAGGCTGGTGAGAAGCTGGGCAGTGACGGTGGTGAGGAGAGTAACAGTGACTGTTCTGGCGACACAACAAGTGAAGAGAACACCTGCAGTGACCTCTCCGACCATGATGAAGACCCTGGTTGGGGAAGGAAACTGGGCCGTAAAGGCAAGGCAGGAGGCAAGAAGCGTGGCATGTTTGACAGCAACAAATCGCGGGACTCCAGCGGAGACAGCGGTGATGCCCTTAGTAGCTTAGCGCAACTCTTTGCTGCTGCCGACCAAGATGATGCAGTGTCTGGTGGTGCAGCCCCCAAACCAGACATACTCGCTGCTGCTAAACAAGACGATGTGAACGTGGGTGGTAGCAAGGAGAAAGAGAGCCTGCCCACGGTCCTGTCTCCTGCAGTGGCGCAGTGTTTGCGCACTGTTCTGGCTGCTTACCTGTGGCATGGCTCTCTGGTACATGACGCCATGGCCAGTGCATCCTACCTGAAATTCCATCCAGACCTAACCCATGGCACTGTCCAGGCCAGTAATGTCGCAGCTGACTCTATGGCAACTGAGGAGACACTGCCTGCCATGTCTGTTGCCAGTGCATCCGCTACCGCTTCAGCCGATGCACAGCCATCAAGTGAAGATATAAAATCGTCTTGCGGTGCTAGCCCAGCCATTATGTCTTCTCTGGAGCAAACAGCCGAACGGAGGAAGGGTACATCCGTCTCATCCGACTTGTCAGCAGGTGAGGCAGGCGATTGCGTGCAGCCGCCTGTAGAGCAGCAGGGCCAGTCAATGCCACCCACGCTGCGCTACCTCGTACGCATCTTCCAGAAGCTGTCCGAGGCTGTCCTTACAACACTGAGCAAAGACAAGAAGGCAAAATGGACTCCACGAGTTCCTGCATCAGTTTCCAATGTTATCGTACAAGCGGAGAAAGATGCCAAAGCCAAGAAAGAAGACGAAGAGAAGAAGAAGAAGAAAAAGCCTGGAGGCGGCGGCGGTGCCTCGGCTGCTGGTGGTGATAGGACGGACCTTTGTGAGCTTTGTGACGAGTACTTCCCATCTCCAGTCACGTATCATATGCGTGACAGCCATCCTGGATGTGGCCGACACGCTCAGGGTAAGGGTTACAACTCACAGGGACGTCATTATGGTGGGTGGGCCGGCAACTGTGGCGATGGTGGACGTGGCGGCAGCACCTGGTATCTGATGTGCAACTCCTGCAGAACAAAGTATCTTGATCAGAAGGCTGAGATGAAGCGCGTCGAGAAGGTAGCGACAAACAAGCCCGAGCAAAAGCTAGCTCCCAACCGTGGAGAGTTGAAACCGCGCAAGTGTGCAGAGCAGCCAGCACATCGTGTTCTCACTGAAAATGCGCAGTTCCTGCTGCGTCTGGCGCCCTTTTCTGAGAAATCCGCAGTGTCGTCTGTCACCACCGCCTCTGCTGCAGCCCCTGCTGCTGCCTCTACTGCTTCTACTGGCACAGGCACTAGCCACGAAGGTGAAGACGACTCCTCGAAGAACCGATTGTTCCTCTTCCAGAAGATGATGTCACAGCCAATCACGGCTAGTGGCGCTTTTGCCAGTTTTGATTCACCCGAGCCTGGCTTGTTGCAGCGATCGTCCTCAACGAGCGGTAACGACAAATGTGACGATGATGCTAACCCACCGTTCTACCAGCGCTCAGTCTCACTCTTAGTTGGCGATGCTGCAAAGCAAAGACTCATTGAGCCAGTCAGTGTGGTGACTAGCGCTTCCTCATCACTGCTGCACAAGCCCTCGCATCGTCTCAAGAAGCTGGTGGCCATTATCAACCGTGCTGGCGACCAGAACACTCTGGCTGAGAGCCCTGTGCTGCGCTTCATCTCGCAAGCACATGATCTACAATCACTACGCTGGAGTATGGAGCATAGTGTACAACTGGCTGCCTGCAGGCATCATGCGTTAGCTGTAAGTCGTGTGTGTGTGTGTGTGTGTGTGTGTGTGTGTGTGTGTGTGTGTACGTGTACGTGCATGTGTGCGTGCATGTGTGTGTGCATGTGTGTGTGCATGCATGTGTGTGTGTGCATGCATGTGTGTGTGCGTGCATGCCTGTGTGTGTATGTGTGTGTGTGCGTGCGTGCGTGCGTGCGTGTGTGGATGTATGCATAGTGACCTGCACCATACAAGCGCTCAGCTTTGCTAGTCCAGTGCGGTCACAACTTGCACTGTGTTCCACATCTGTGTTGCTTGGCAGTCACATATTCGTTCTGCATATGGTTGGAGAATCATGGTTGCTACTGTCGTGGACATGGAAATCCGGTCGCACGTCTAGCGGCCCCAGGGCGCAGGGCCATGCAGCCGTGGGTAAACTGTACACACAGAGCTGCAGTGCGCTGGTCGCATCGGATCAACATTACATTGTACATGTGCACTGCATGCAACGACGTAACTGTACGCGCTGAGGGCGCCGGCCCCGGTCAATCGACTGGATTTCCATGTCCACGACACGATCCTTACCACCTTTCTAAATCACAGTCCTGGCTCTGCTCATTGCTGTACACGCGTGGTTGTGCAGTCCTGGCTCTGCTCATTGCTGTGCACGCGTGGTTGTGCAGTCCTGGCTCTGCTCATTGCTGTACACGTGTGATTGTGCCAGCAATTACCCATGTTACCACCTTACTGTAGAGTGTAGTCCTAACATGCACCTTGTCTCTGAAACTGCACTGGGATGACTAATGTACAATCAACACCTACAATATAGTCGCTGCTGAAGCCAAGTGGTCACGACAGACCAGGCGGTTGGCAAGACCAGGCAGTCACTTGTGCTGGTTTTACTGTTAGTCTGACCTGGCAATGGGATAGCAGTGACATGCAATGGACAGACCAGGCGGTTGGCAAGACCAGGCAGTCACTTGTGCAGGCTTTACCTAGAGTCTGACCTGGCTAATCCCCAGTGACGATAGGATAGCGTTGACAGGGGCGTCGGATATGGTATTGACCGTACCACTTTTTATCTCAGGCACCCCGTGAATCAATAAAATACACTGATCTGGGCTTTAAATTTCCAAACTTTTCGCCTCGGCAACCACTCCCCCACGAGTAAATTGTACTTCAGATGGCTGACTGTACCACACTATAATACCTTCCGGCGCCCCTGGTTGGCATGCAATGACTATAGATGCAGGTGCACACACTGTGTTGTCTGTGCCAAGGTTTACACTAGGAATTCTATCTACCTGCCAATGCTGATTGGAGTGAAGCATCCTGCATGCACAATGACCTTATGTTTCTTCTGTCATGTGTGATGTGTGTCCGTATGTCCGTGTGTCCGTATGTACGTTTGCTTGTTCTTTTGCAGACATTTGGCTGGGTGTTGCGTTGCTTATCGCAAGAAGCCGTGCTGCACGATGTTCTCTGGATGTTTTCGTCCAGCTTGAATGCAGATCCCGTACCTGCGGAGAATGGGAAGAAGGCTGAGGTGGGCTATTAGAGCATTCAGCTGTCCGTGATTGCATGCTGGACTGTCCGTGATTGCATGCTGGACTGTCCGTGATTGCATGCTGGACTGTCCGTGATTGCATGCTGGACTGTCCGTGATTGCATGCTGGACTGTCCGTGATTGCATGCTGGACTGTCCGTGATTGCATGCTGGACTGTCCGTGATTGCATGCTGGACTGTCCGTGATTGCATGCTGGACTGTCCGTGATTGCATGCTGGACTGTCCGTGATTGCATGCTGGACTGTCCGTGATTGCATGCTGGACTGTCCGTGATTGCATGCTGGACTGTCCGTGCATAGTACATGTGTGTGCAGTGTGTGATTGCTTGAGTGTGTGCACATGTAGATGTAGATGTATTAGCGTCAATGCATGGGTGTGTTCGGATGCATATACATGTACGTTCATCTGTCTGTTTGCTAAGGAGTCCGTCTTAGTGTGTTTGTTTTCTTTTGTGTGTGTGTGTGTGCGTGCGTGCGTGTGTGTGTGGAGCAGGCAGAACCAGCTCAGCTGGGCAACCATCCGTTGGTGAGCCTGCTGTGCAGCGGCCAGATAGTCATGCAAGTTGTGCGCAGCGCCTTCCACGGCTTCCTTGGCAGTGTGTCTGACCTCCTGAAGGCTGTGCCGTGCGGCTCACTCGTTCAGCAAGCAGCTATTCGCTGTCTGGCTCTTCGATTCCATCCTGATGACCATGCTTTCCTGCACCGTGGACAGGTAAGACATTACCTGCCGACAGAACTGCTCTCGGCTCTAGCGTTGTGTTGTACTTGAATGTGTCCAGTGCATATCTCTTTTACAGTGAAACTATTCAGTACCTTGTTCAGTACCTTGTTCAGTACCTTGTTCAGTACCTTGTTCAGTACCTTGGACATAACATGCTATGGGATATGAAGTGCAGTTGTGCTCGGTGAAATCCGACACTGGAATTGCATATTTGCTGCTCTCCACTTGCACGGCCCTTGAAGTCCTGGAAGTGGCAGTTCAGTAAATATTACATAACAGCACTGAATAACTGTTAGCCTAGATCAGGCATGCCAGTATACCGTATTATCTCTCTTATAAACACAGGTCTCCATTATAAGCACAGTCTCCATTATAAGCACAGGTCGGAGGGCTGTTGAGATTACAAACGCACAGTCTCCAACATAGTCACAGTGATAATACTGGAATGCAGCTGTGCGTACTCCAGAGCTAAAAAAAACAAAGTGCTCCACGGCCACGTGCGGGACTTCCACTTCCGCATCATTCTTTTTTCTTCTCTCTGTTCTCTAATCATGAAATCTGAGTTAAATTCCAATTTGAGTGTGTTATCGGTATATATTTTTTCAACCATGAAAAAGTCAAAAAAGTTGCATACCGGTAACACACTCAAATTGGATTTTAACTCAGACGGTCTCCAGTATTATCACGGTCTCCTCTATAAGCACGGGTGCGAGGTGGGTTGAAAAAATATAAGTACCGTGTTTATAAGGGAGATAATACGGTAACTATTGTGATGCCGTGCATTGTGTCCGGGTGCCACAACCTAATAGTTGGGACAGTTATAGCACAGCTCACCAGACACTGTGCCGCTGACATGTCCATCATCATCATCCTGTTGCCATGTATTGCTGTCTAGGTGTTCTCGAGCATCAGTGAAGTCCTTGCTAAGGTGGAGGAACAATGTAATCGACAAGCGATGGTTACCTTGCCAGCACCAAGTGTAAGTCTGTATGTCCTCGTTTCCCCTGTGCTTTCCCCTTCTTTGACTCTGTGTACACATGCTAGCTATTGCATTGTGAAAGCTTTCTTCTTGCACCTTGTCAGCTATTCATTAGGTGTGGATAACGGAGAGTTGTGGTGATAATGGCTCAGCAAACTGGCTAACACATGTGTAATATCTATATGCTAGTGATTATGTTTGTGAAGCGCGTATGGTACTGCAATCTCCTCGTACATACAGTCATGTTAGTAAAACTACTGCCTCAACTATTCTTGCTACCTCTGCTGTCCATGTTGTCATTGTTGTTAATGCTGTTCAGGCCGATGATCCCGGTGCGAAGGTTTACCAGCTGCAGAACGTTCTCGATGAATGTGAGCTGAAGATGTCGTCTCGCGCAGCCATGGCTAACAGCCTAAAGGATGGTGATACGGAGACTTTCTGGGAGTCTGGTGAAGAGGACCGCTTAACCACCAAGTACTTGCAAGTAACATGCAGCAAAACTGTCTCACCGCAGATCATTTGTGTGCATATCGATAACAGCCGAGACAACGGTGTAAGTTTTCATCGTACATGTACTTTTGCCTGGACTATTATATAAATTCTTTGAGTAGACAATTAATTCCTCGCCTGCTACGTGCTGTGCGTGCGGTGTGTGCTCTATGTGCTGTGTGTGCTCTATGTGCTGTGTGTGCGGTGTGTGCTGTGTGTGCTCTATGTGCTGTGTGTGCTGTGTGTGCTCCACGAGTACATGTATGTATCCTTTGTTCTGCTTTGTGCTTTGTTCCCTGTGTATGCCGTGTTCTCTTTGCCGTTTAAACTTAGCTACTATACGACAGTTGGTTCTAAGCACAGCCTGTACTGTGTACTGTAACCTGTCATAACGTTACAGTTCATGTGCACACAAATGCTCTTATTCTTCTTGCTACTGTGCTGGCCGAGAGGAGAAAGGCCTAGACTTACTAGCATTCACGCAAGCCATGTGTAGATCTAATGTATGCATGATCCGGAACGTGACACCTGGCACACGTATTCAACTGTTATTGGCATCCTCCAGGAAGAAAGTATCTTATTGTTTCAGGTGGCTGACTAAAAGTGATGGCAACCTGTCACGAGTGAACTGTGCATGCACAGACTTGCTTGCTAGTCTCCCTATCACCGCCTCTGCCGTGGTAAAGTGCTGTACTGGATTGCATTAGCTTGTGTGCACTGCACGTTTTATTGACATGCCACCGGTAGATGAATGTGTATGTTGTTGTGTGTATTTGTTGGCATGTGCTCATTCTCTGTACAGCATCGTGTGAAGAAGGTGGTACTGGGTATTGGAGAGGTAGCAGATGATATCAAGAAGACCAAGCATGAGGTATGCATGTATGGCCTGACCTCATGAATATCACGCACCCCCCACCTTTGATTCCGCCTTTGATTCCGCTCCTATTTCTCCCCCTTCGTTGGTATTGTTGTGTGGTTGTGAACGGCTATATCGCTATTACTGGTATTGTTGTGTGGTTGTGAACAGCTACATCCCTACTGGTACTAACTGGCTGGCTGGCTGTGTCTAGCTCTAGTTGGCATGCCTCGTACATCACACTTGTAAACAGTATAAAGACTTTTAAAGTTAGCTGGTAACCATAACACCGATCAACTGGCACTTGATCCCGTCGGATAAGTAATACCATATACGGGAGACGAGTGACTAGACCATTCCACGGAGACACAGGACTGGTTACGAATGAATTAACTTTTCGTATACTGGTCTACGTGGCATATCCGTGGAAATACAATGATTTAGGAGTCGTTATCCTTTCCTTTAAGGATCCATCTCCATCTCTCCCTCACGCATTCTCTGTCTGTCTTTTCTTGACTAGGTTCCCGTTTCGAACAACTTTGCTGGCTGGATAAACATGGCGATACCAGTGAGTGATAGTAGTCCAGCTCGCGTTATCCGTGTGTTCCTCCATGGGGCTCAACAGTCCGTACGGCTGCGTCAAGTCATGCTTCTCGGAGTCAGTGAGAAGTCGCCGGAGAAGATCATTGCTGGCGAGTTGCCACCGCAAATTGCACACGGTCAGACCTGCCAGGCGGAGGCTCTGCATGTATTCCGCCAGCTAACTTCACAGGTAGGCAACTTGAACAGACGCACACGGATGAGGCACTTGCCGCACCTGTGTTGTTATGCTCTTAGTCTTTGTTGTTGTCAATGAAGAGTTCTGGGCGTGTGTGTGTGTGTGTGTGTGTGGGGGGGGGGGGGGGGGGGGGTGTACTGGTGAAACAGTGATATTCTTCCTTAAAAATGTGGTGTGAGCGGAACGAGACTTCTTTGGGATTGGTGTTGCCATCGCTGAGTTGACTGTGTGTGCGTGCGTGCGTGTGTACATGGGTGCCTTGTGCATATGCCGTAGGTGTTTGGCCGGCTGCTGTCTGGTGAGAAAGAAGATGACAAAGCAGAAAGGAAAGCAGGCGTAAGTACAATGAGACTTCTAACCTGTGGACTTGTAATGCGTGCTGTCCACCCTGATGCCAAACTCATCTTTGCAATGATAGTAGTTTCACGAGTGTAGGGGGAAATTTTGAAAGAACAAGGCCAGGTGTTATTCGCCATGGCGTGTACATTGGAGCATGTCAACGCAGGCATTCCTGAGAGCTTGGCCATTTTCTCTTGTTTGCTGTGTGTTTTCCTCGGTTTTCATTGATCTTATTTTAAACTGTAGCAATGATTATATTATTGCAGGTGATGATTAAGCCGAATATTAAAAAAAGACATGGCTTTGTCGATGCACGTCTACTGTATGTTCAGGCCGCTACTAGAGCACATACGGTCCTCTTATCTTGTGCAAGTCGTTTTGTGTTCCTGCTGTGCTCTACAATTACTCTGTCCATGCTCCACAACTACACTGTCCATGCTCCACAATTACTGTGTCCGGCTGTAGGAGAGCACAGACCTACGTGAGCAAGTTGTTGGTATTCTATTCAGCGAAGGGAAGCCGCTAACACAGCTTCAGAAGCAGGTTAGATGCCTTGGCCAGTGACAGTTTGAGTATTGCAACCTCTGTGTCCTTGGTGTGAGCTGTGCTGTGTGCTGTGTGTAGTGTGCTAGGTGTAGTTGTGCCTTGTTCTGCTGCACCATAATATTTGTTGCATCCGGCTAGTGATCATTACAAGCAAAATATGTAGAGGACCTCACTATATGCTGTGGATGTATGCACACAACTGCCTCAATCTTAAATTACTTTGTGTTGAAGGCAATTCTCAACGGTCAGACTATATCAACGCATGTATATTACTTTATCTCCTGGGTCTGGTCATCTTTTTCTCTATGCCATGGTCTCTCTCCTGTCTCTCTCTCTCTCTCTCTCCTGTCTCTCTCTCTCTCTCTCTCTCTCTCTCTCTCTCTCTCTCTCTCTCTCTCTCTCTCTCTCTCTCTCTCTCTCGCTCGCTCGCTCGCTCTCTCTCTCTCTCTCTCTCTCTCTCTCTCTCTCTCTCTCTCTCTCTCTCTCTATCTCACTCTCTCTCTCTCACTCACTCTCTCTCTCTCTTTCTCTCTCTCCCTTTCTCTCTCTCTCTCTCTCTCTCTCTCTCTCTCTCTCTCTCTCTCTCTCTCTCTCTCTCTCTCTCTCTCTCTCTCTCTCTCTCTCTCTCTCTCTCTCTCTCTCTCTCTCTCTCTCTCTCTCTGATTTGTGTGTCAGGTGTGTGAGCAAAT